GTCAAATTCGTCACATTATTGTGATAAAAAACATAAAGAAATTGTCACGACTTGTAGGCACGCCTTCGTGAAGATTTCGGGGGTTAAAATTAGTGCGGTTTGGCCACTGTATCAGTCACAGAATCTATAAATTTTCGGGATCACGTTGAGCTCACGACAAGTAGAAATCGTAACAAATTTTGCAACGATTTCTTCACGAGGTGTTACTTGGGAGAAACCGATAAGGTTAGTGACGTCATATGAAATCTAATATGGCGGCCGCTCCAAGATGGCGGATTACCTTTTTCTTCACAATATGCTAAAATGATGACGACAAGCCTAAATGATGACTAGCTCAAATAACGACTAGCTAAAATTACATGCTAAAAATATCTGTTAAAATGCTTCAAGCTATATTGACGGCAAATTTAAATATAAATAGTAATCCTGTAGGTATATTGACAAGACTCACCCAAGCAGCATTTTTGGTTTCAAAAACCATTACCAAAGTGGTGATAACTTAAAATTAGTTAAGTATACTAAACAGCTACTTTAATTTTACTTAAAATTAATTCTAACTTTTAAATAGCAATATTTTGCAACATAAACTTCATTCTTTTCTTAAATGGTTACTATAAAGCAATAAACATTTAAGTAAAACTTGTTTGCCCCCAAGAAGACTTTGCAACTTTAAAAAAGGTGTTATAAGTAAAAAAAACTTTCAAGTAAATTTAATTTGTAGTAGTTAGTTTCGGTTGCTATAGCAGTTAGTTTCGGTAGCTATAGGTATACCTAAAGATTACATTATAATTATTTTTACTTTGTAGTCCCTTTGCAAGTTAAAATCTCGAAACTGGAACATGTGTTAAAAACTACAAAGTTAAAAACTTAAAAGTTATTATTTTAGTATTTGGAACGTTTATGGTACTAACCAAAACTACCGTAAAGTAAATTAAGGTGGAAAAAAACTTTAATGTAGCGAAAACTGCTTTTTATCGGCCATTTATTACTGTAGGGTACCACGTGGTATTGTAAATAATAAATTATTTTAATTGTTTGCAAATTGTTTTTTACTTTTTAATAAATAGTAATTTTGTTGGTAATAATTAAATAAAAAATTATTTTTTTTTTATTTATAAACATTATTAAATAAATAATTTGTTTATACTTAAAATTTGTTGAAACTATTTTACAAAAACAAAGTTCAACAGTAAAATTTAAAGGGTTTATAAATTTACCTGCCTAATTAAACATTATATTGTTATTCTGGAAGTTATAAACTACCAGTACATATTTAATAAACGACGACATTGAAAAGCCAAGTCCGTAGTGGTTCCATTTAAAAAAGGAGGGATAGTATAATCTAATATAAGTTTGACAAAGACAGTTAATATAGAAGTAAAAACAAATAAATAAAAGTAATTATAACGCTCTAGCAACGATATTGAAACGTTCTAGTAACGTAGCAGCTACGTTCCAATAGTAGCTAGTGACATATTTGCTACCTTTTTGGAACTCAATAATTGTTCCCCACTTTAGTGGTAACTTAGTAATAAAAGAGTAATATAAAGAGACGGGCGACTGTCGCAAAACACTTTAAAGTTACTTCAATAGTCCCATATACGTAATAAATACTTAGATTGTTGCTTGGGCAGTGATGAAAAATGTTATTAACAAAATGTCTTACTGTCGACAAGATTATCAAATAATTTTGGTTTGTATATATATAGCTATGTTTCAAGAGAGAGAGAGAAAGGGGGGAGAGTACAATAGGTAGAGTCCGGATATATTCGATGGAATAATTAAAAAAATGGCATCAAAGTCCTGTGTCTATAGCTCGGTTGATTGGTGTTTATTAGAATAGATGGATATGAAAATGAAAAAGGAGTAGGTATCGCCTGGCGGTTTTATTCGAAAGCAGTTCGTCGTCATATAATATTAAGATCAAACGAGCCTGAAGCTTTTGCCCATTGAAAGAGCGGCTTTTGATGCGAGACTGCATTGAAAGCTGCCGCTTTTACATGGGCGTTTAGGTACTTTCACGTCATCATCATTGGAAAACCTACCAGCTACATCGTGTTTAACCAGCCCGCCGCCGCCGCTGCCACCGCTTGATGTTCTCATTAGCCAAGGTCTAAAGTTTCCACAAACATGATATTCCTACATCTCCTTTACATCCAACGAATTTATTTAATTATCAAAAGATGCCATCAATATTTGGTTTTAATTTGCTTTGACATACTAAGGGGTGCATACACAACAAACAACCAATTTATAATAAGGAGCCTGCCGTTTTCTTTTTTCCAGTCAACTTTTTTTAACCCTGTACACCTAACTTATAAAATAATAATGATAAAATTACCTATTGAAAAGTATATATGCAAGATTTTACCAGCATTAAACTACACTCACAGGCAAAATAATCGATCCACACAAATTTTCGATGAATTTTAATCGCAAATAACTTTTTTATTTGATATAATTACTAAAAAATAGATGTACTTTTATAATAAACAGGTTTAAACAAAAATAAGTTTTTTACCATAAGTTTAAGACACTCTGTAGAGTGGCAAAACCGTATATTGTTCTAAATTAAGTTTTAATTATCAACTCACATCTATTCTTAACAGTTTTGTTTTTGGTTCACCTCGATATATTTATTTTTGTGTTAAAAAAGGAGGGATAGTATAATCTTATATAAGTTTGACAAAGACAGTTAATATAGAGGTAAAAACAAATAAATAAAAGTAATTATAACTCTCTAGCAACGATATTGAAACGTTCTAGTAACGTAGCAGCTACGTTCCAAATAGTAGCAGGGTTTATAGCTTGTGACATATTTGTTACCTTTTTGGAACTCAATAATTGTTCCCCACTTTAGTCGTAACTTAGTAATATAAAGAGAACGGCGACTGTCACAAAACACTTTAAAGTTTCTTCAATAGTCCCATATACGTAACAAATACTTAAATTGTTGCTTGGGCTAGTTCTTCAAAGCCTTCTTGACATGGGTATCAAATGAAAGGGTCTGACGAGTAGAAACCGATAAGGTGAGTAACGACATACAAAATCCAATATGGCGGCTGCCCCAAGTTGGCGGATATCAACGAATTTATTTAATTATCAAAAGATGCTTTGACATACTAAGGAGTGCCTACACAACAAACAACCAAGTTATAATAAGAAGACTAACTTTTTTAACTTGTAGACCTAACTTATACTTTGAATTTGTGATTAAATTAAATCATAGATTCAAAAATCGAAAAGGTCCTCATATGGCCGGGTGAAAAATTAATCATAGCAAGGATAAAGGGAATAGGTTTACTAATTAAATAAAGCAACCCATTTGGGAGTAGGACGATGATGTGAACGTTAATTGTTGACCGCGAATGAAGAGCGAAAGTAGTAGGCGGAGGGGTGGAACGCTAGATTGAGGCATGTGACAGCAGCCGCAACAGGGGCTGAAGTAGGGGGCGGGGGAGGGGGGGATGTTCGGTTGCACACTCCGACACCACCAATTACATTAGCAAGCAGTGTTGCCGTTTGCGGGTATTTTACCCGAAAATCGGGTATTTTCGTCATGCTTGCGGGTAAAATATTTAAGCGGGTAAAAGCGGGTATTTACCAAATTTCGGTAAAAATATTTAATTAATTTATTTTTGCAAGCAGAGCTGAAAAATATATTTTTTAATAATTTTATTTTATTAAGAAAATATATAATTTATTAAAAAAATATATTTTTTAGCTCTGCAGTTATTAAAAATACCGCTACCTTTGTAGTTGTGCCGCCCGCTTTTTTTTAGACTACTTATAAAGAAGCCGCGACACGTGCCCTGAAATGGCGCACCTATTCGATACCATGCTGTAGAGGAGGTTATTTTAAGCATAAAAAAAATTGCAAAAAAAAATCCGACCAGTAGTTTTCGAGTTATTAAGCATTTAAGTTTAAAAAATTTGGCAACGCTTGTACGTTTCAAGCCCATTTAAGAGACATCTAAAACGGTTGTTATGGAACAAAGCATCTACAGCCATTTTAAGTTAACATGATGTTTTTTAGCAGTTCCTGTCAGAAAACCCAAACTTTAAATCATCATAACTTTGGTAATATTAATAAATTTAAACTTTTTATTTTTTAAACTTGATTAGAAAATTGTGTTTAATCCTTTTATAAAAACATATATCCTTAAAAAATTAAAATAAAGAAAATTTAATGGAATTTTTAAACCCTCATAATTTAAAAACTACTCGGAAAAAAATTGTAATTTTTTATATACTTAAAATAACCTCCTCTCCAATGTGGTACACCATTTCATAACACCCTGTATATATATATATAAATATATATATATAAGATAAGGTAAGTATTTTTTTACTCTTGCGGGTAAAATCGGGTATTTTCTAATTTTTGACCGGGGATTTTCATGAAAGACATCCGGCAACACTGTTAGCAAGCCAATTCAACATCATCATTGCGAGGAATTGTCAATTTCTATCCGTACACGTACACTAGTTCATATTTTTAATTATTAGATATTTTAGTAGAATAAATAAGACCTTTTTCATATTTTTGCTGAACATTTAAGTGTCCATAAAACACTCTCGTCACTTTCACTGTGAAAAACTGCTTTTATATCAGATTTAAACGGTTGTTAGTCCAATTTCAAAATATAAAGTTACCAAACAATTTTTATAAATTGACTAGTTTTTCTTGATTTGGTGATTACATTTTCCTTTATGTTTTGTTTGTTGTTAATATTTGCTTTGAAACCACCCTCTTATCAAAGTTTAGTGTACTTCATGCGGTAAATATTTTTTTTATACATAGGGCATTCTTTCGACAAATCAATATAAACACAATACTTTTTAAACGAAACTATGAAACTCATAAATTGTGAATCAAACTGTAAAGTGAAATCGCTCGGAAATTATAAATAGCTTAATTTTCAGCAAAATTCCGGAAATTTGATTTGACAAATACACCGGCAAAATCCATACAACTTTTATACGAAATAAATAATTCACTGGTTTTTAAACAATCGTTTTATTTAGGAACAATAATAAAACTTAAAGCAAATAAGTTACAATGAGCTAAAAGACATGCTTCAATTTTATGGAATTCTCATTTTTTCTAAGGGCTAACTATTTTTACTTCATTGCTGTTTTGTGCATCGGTTTTAACAATTGCGAACTCGTTTTTCTCGGGGCCAACTATTTCTTCTTCATTATTCTTTTTTGCATCGGTTTCACAGATTGTAAACTCGTTTTTCTCAGGGCCAACTATTTCTTCTTCGTTGCTGTTTTGTGCATCGGTTTCAACCATTGCGAACTCGTTTTTCTCAGGGCCAACTATTTCTTCTTCATCACTATTTTTTGCATCGGTTTCACAGATTGCGAACTCGTTTTTCTCAGGGCCAACTATTTCTTCTTCATTATTATTTTTTGCATCGGTTTCACAGAAATACGAGTTCGCATTCTCGGGGCCAACAATTTCTTCTTCATCGCTATTTTTTGCATCGGTTTCACAGATTGCGAACTCGTTTTTTTCGGGGCCAACTATTTCTTCTTCGTTGTTGTTTTGGGCATCGATTTCACAGATTGCGAAGTTGTTTTTCTCGGGGCCAACTATTTCTTCTTCATTATTATTTTTTGCATCGGTATCACAGAAGAACGAGTTCGCATTCTCGAGGCCAACTATTTCTTCTTCATTACTATCGGTGTCACAGGATGCGAAGTCAGTTTTCATGTCGCCAAATATTTCTTCTTCGTTGCCGTTTTGTGCATTGGTTTCACAGATTGCGAACTTTTTTTTCTCGGGGCGAACTTTTCCTTTGTTGCTGTTTTGAGCACTGGTTTCAGCAATAGGTTCAACATCAGAACCACTTGAAGAGTTGTAAATGCTGCGTTTTAGAGAGCGATTACGTTTTAACGTTTTAATTTTTTTTACTGGAGTTTCGGTTTTAACTTTGGGCTTACTATCACTCTCATAGTCACTTGTGGGGCCATTACAATGCTCAGTTTCAGAGCCACTGGAAATAACAATAATCTCGATTGTATTCTCTCCCGCAACTGGTTCGTCTATATCCATGGGTTCTAAATTAATTTGAACTTTACCTTGCACTACGGGTTCCAATTCCAACTCGAACCTAGGCTCAAAGTCTTCGGGGTTTACAGTCGGTAAACAAATTTCAACCATGTTTTCATAAAGAGGATCATCCGGCGGTATAGTTTTATGATCCAATATGTTAAAATCATAGTCTACGTAATCAAAATCAAAATTGCACATCATATTTTTTTCCACCAATTTCTGATTGACCAACTCGTGTCTAAATAATTCTTCGATGAAAAGCCTTAACATCTGTTCTTCTCTAACCGGTTCCAAAACAGTGCGCCACAAAGCGTCACACACAACTTCCAATATTCTACAGTATTGAATATACGGTGCAAACCACGGTCCGAATTTCGCAACATCAGATTTCTTTCCAAATCTCGTTTTAACAAAAAGAAGTTCTTCATCGTAGTGCTTCGAAATTTTAACCGCGAAAAACAGCAACGCCTCGTTCGTTTCAACTGGCCGTTCGTGCAACTCTTCAAATACAGCAAAAATATACCGACGTATCCCAGTGTAACGTAGCAACTCACCGAAAATTAATTTTTTTCCATCTTTCGTTATTCTTTGATTTGCAAATAAACGATGAAACAACGACGGGGCCTCCATTTTTACGAACTGTCAAAAATATCTACTAGCCACCAGATGGGGCATATATCGGTAGATTTAGGTTTTTTAGCTCTATTGGTCAACCTAAAAACATGGCAATGTTGTGTTTCAGCTCTTAAAAATTAATTTACAAAAGTTTGAGCTCTACCAACGTTTGAAAACCCAGATAAAAGTGCTTCAGGCGCAAGTTTTGGTTTCAGATGCCGCTAAAATAGAAAAAAAGAAAAAAACCGCCTCAATATTTGTGATAAATAAATATATTAAAAGTAGTATTTTAGAAATTGTATTTTTTATATAAAATTATATATTGAAAGCATTTTTATCATAATCAAAGTTATGGTAAAAATTCTTTTGAAGAAACCGTTGTAGATAAATAAAATGTAAAGATAATTAAGGAAGATTAATATTTTTATTTTAATAGATTGATTTGACTAAATAAATATACTTTAATAAAAGCATCTAGTGTCAAAATATATAATCAACAAAATATATTACAGATCCCTGTACTAGAATTGATTTAGTCTTCTTGCTTTATCTATTGTCTCATAGCATAGCCCAAGAAGTACTAACCCAAATGGGAAAATTTACAGAATCTGCCCACCATATCTCACAAATTATGTTTTCTTCTTTTACCACTAGCGGCGCTGATATCCATTTAGTACTGATGTCTGCTAATACCCCACTGTTTTGGCACAACATTTTTTTGTCAAAAATTTGTGCAGGCTCCATGAACTAAATTGTTAACATACAGAAAACTGTAATTGCATTGATAATATTCAAACTTTTTTAATGAGGTTTGAATATTTTTTTTGGTAAATTTTGTAAACATACAGAAAACTGTAATTTTATTAATTATATTAAAACTTTTTTAGTGAGGATTAAGTATTAACAAAATTTTGTTGATTTTTTGGGGGGAATTAACAAATAGTTATTACATAGCATTTTATTTATTAATTTGGATTCAACAATGTTTTTTTACACTTATAATTTAAAAATTGCAAAACTTTAAGGTATTTCAAAGTTTTTATCTAAGGAAGTTTAATATATATATTTATTTATTTACAAAACATACAGTAGTTTTACTTTTTAAGAGCTTGCACAGTTGATAATAATAAATATTTTAGTCGAGGCTAGAATATTTAATATAATTATATTATTGTTATAATGTATTTAATGTAGTGAAATGAAAATGGAATTGCCTAAGTAAGCAGTAAAAAGTACTTGATACTTATAAGTACACTTAAAAAATAATAAATAAACGGTTAAGAAATAAGAATACACGGTGTTCTAACATTCTATATTTTTAATAATAGCCACAAATTAAGGGAATAATGTTGGCATATAGCTGAGCGCAAAATCAGCGAGTTTGCGCTGCTCACACAAGTCAATGAAGAAAAAGCAGTCGATCGTGTTTAACTTGAGATCAACAACAAAGCAAATTTATACAATGCTTAAATCACAACTTTTTGTTTGTGTTCAGATTATTATGATGTTAACATAATGGTCAAAAAATTAAATGAGAACTGATCTAATTTGAAACGTTTGTTGTTTGTGTATGAATTTTTGAGTAGTTTAGTTTGTTGTAATGTGAAAGTAAATAAGTAAAAGGAACCGAACAAAAATGATAAATATCATAATGTTGGTAGGTTTAAATAGTTATGTACAGCTCGATAATAAATTTACATTGTCCAGTATGATGATTCCATCATCATCATTATCAATCTTTTATATCAAACATACTAAAAAACTCGGCCTTACTCTTTACTTTGCTTAAGCAGTACTGAGTAGTAATAAAATTATAAATAATTGTTAAAACATGTTTACTAGAACGCACACTAAACTAGTCAAAATTAATATATAATTATATAAAACATAGTATTTGGTAATTAATAATAAATAATGACAAAAACCTAGAAATAAAACGATAAATACAAGTTAACAAAAAAAATAAGAAAGTACAGAACCGACATATCGAGTAAGGCGTCTGTATACATTCACAGATATGGTACGACTTAAAATATCTTATTCAATAATTAAGGCTAACCTATTAATTAGCTATTTTTTGTTTAAATAGTTCAAGTAACAAGTGACGTTGTTGGTTTTCCATTCATAACTAATGTAATAATGTCAATTTAAAGTCGCTGCACTACTGTGACCACATGGCAACAGTGTCAGGTGTTGGTCTGTTTCACTATACTGTAGTCATTTGGTACGGACACCTTTCTTCTTCTTCCTTTTGAAAAAACAGCAACATCTAATAATAAAAAAATATCATCAATAAAATGTTTCAGCTTTTTTAAATCATTTTTTAGATAACAGTGATGCCAGACCTTTTTTTATTTTTTTCACTAGAATATGGTTTTAATTATCAGTAGATTTTGAAAATCATCATAAATGGTTATAAAATTTTTATAATAAATGTAAATAATTCTTAAGAAAAATAAATCGTAAAAATATATTAAGAACATTAAAAAATAAAAGTGAAAAATAACACTGGACGACCTAATGAAATTTAGGGTAATTTGGGTGCGCGTATTTCAAAAATCATTTTGTTCGAAAATGAAATTTGAAATTTAAAATCGACGGAAAAACCACGGAAACCTCGAGATACCTAACAATAAAAAGTTAGAATTGTATAAATATCTCAAAAACATAGGCTTATTAAGCAAAACTATGTTTATTTTTGGAAATAGGCTAATTACCATAAAAAAAGTTATTGACCATCCTGTGGTAAAATGGCTGTTGACCAGTGTAATTATTAAATTCAATAAATTAACAACAATTTTAGAGTATTAGGCATTTATGTTTAAAGAACTTGGTAACCGTTTTTAATTTAATTTTACATTTAACTGTTATAAAAATAATTTAATTTTAGTGTTGACATGGTTAAAAGTGTATTTGACTATTAGTCTCTATAACTTTATTATTTCTTACTTTTTTTAACCAATTTAATCCATTCGCTGCATAAGTAAGTTTTTTACAGAAATCTGTTTAAAGAATTTTTTAAAATTAAATTCTTTATCGAAAAAAAGTCACTCCTCATAATTTCTTCTGCTTGTTATATAAATACCATTCACGATGAAAAACTTCTATTTTGTTATTTTATATCTTTATATATGTAGGTCGTTATTTTTCAACGATTTTTTTTAACAGTTTCTCTACCGAAATCGATGATATCCGTATTTTTTCTTTTTTCTTGAATTTGTTTTGTTTACCCGTAGGAAATTTTATGAAAAAGGGACAGAAACATCGATTTTTCTCTTTTTACGAGTAAAATTTTTTCTTGAAAATTCGATAACTTGGCCAAAAATGTTTACTACATACAATTTTTTTTTAAATATTAAGTGAATTTACACATTTTTTTAATTGTTTTTTCTAAAAAAGTAAAAAAAAATGTTAATGAAAATGCCATTTCCTAGTAAATTCGTGGTTCATCGAAAATTTGGTATTTTATCTAGGGTCATGAAACTAATAAAGTGTAATTTAGAAATTTTTGACATATTTAACATATTTTTGTCACTTCCCTTTGATTCTAACCACCTCAATTATTATTTTATTTACAAAAAGTTTTAGCGTAAAATAAAATGTTAGTATTCACTTACCAGCAAAACAAAATAACGAACTGTCAAATCTGATACTTGTTTTAAACACAAAGGTATCAAATTTTAATAAAGTGGATTTCTTTTATGACAAACGAGAACCACGAATTTACTAGAAAATGGCATTTTCATTAAACAAAAATCCGAAACGACGAATTTAGCCATCTCGGGACTTTTGGTTGTTCATATTATCAACTTCAAAAGAAAAAAATACGAAGTAAAAAAATGTGGCAATGTTGACCTCAATTTTTTTTGTATGTAGTAAACATTTACCTATAATTAAAAAAAAAATTGTACTCGTAACGATCGAATTTAATAAAAAATTTCATTCGCAAAAAGAGAAAAATCGATGTCCATTTTTCAAAAATTTCCTAATGTTGAACAAAACGATTTTAAGCAAAAGGAATTCGTTAAAAATTAACGACCTACCCCTTTTTGCCTGGTCTATTTGAGATGGAAAGGCCCATTGCATTATTTTCAGAAAATTAGCTTAACCCTGATTATAATCACTAGTTTTCAAAATCGAAAAAAATTCTGCCCTCCAAATCCCATTATAATTTTTCCATGTATTTTGACCCACTTAACATGAAAATCACAAAAAAAAATTTTTTATGAAAGCGTTTTGAAATATGAATTTTCAATTGTTTTTTTTTTAATTTTCGGAAGTGTTTTGACGTTTTTGAGTATAGCTTGAAATCTAATTGATCGATTTTGTCAAACAAGCCCTTAAATTGAAGGTATTTGAGCCCTCTAAAACTTTATTATACATACTTTTGATATCGGATAAGTATTTTGACGCTAGCGATTTTAATAACTTAAAAAAAATTCGTTTTTATGGCAAAAATTGAGGTCGAAAATTTACATATCGTCCTGGGAATGGTTTAAATCAAACAGATAACTCCAGTTTAGATTTTTTTCGTAAAGATGACATTTTAAAAAAAAACAAGCTAATGTTGATAAAAATACATGAAAAAATGGCGAAGTTATGAATTTTTTAGTGGAATACCAAAATTCAGCTTTTTGACGATTTTTATTTTATTTTTTTTCTTTTATTTCGTAATATGTTTATTTTTTAATGAAAAACTAATTAAAGTGCATGATTGGAATTTTTTAAGTTTTTTACGTACTTTTTTCACCGAAAACATTATATAAAATTTAAATTTGACATGACTCCGCAAACGTGAATTCTTTTGTTTCTCGTGTTGGCATAGTGACATTTTACTGCTATTTTTTGATATTTTAACAGAGTATTTTTATCATGGTTTTATTTAGTTAATAAAAAGTGTAAAATAAGTAAAATAAGTAGAGAGTTCGAGTGCGTAATAACCCAGACAATCTGGGCGACGTTAGTGATGAGCACGGAGAACGTTTTCACCAGCAAATGAAGGCTATGGAGCGGCGGTATCACGGCTTCTGGGATGCAGCCATGATGGGTAATTACATTTGGTGCCTTATACGAGAAACGGAATACGAAAGCAACAAAAAACAAAAAAGGAGCCAAATTTTTTTTAAACCTATGCTTATTACAACAAAATAAAACTTTCAATATCTTCAATGTTCAATATTCAATATATAATTTAATTTCAATATTTAATGTTTGAAATAAAAATCAATGTTCAATATTAAACTTTATATAACTCAATAAAATGAAAAAAAGTAAAAATTCTCAAAAAAACTGAATTTTGGTCTTTCACTGAAAAATTCATAACTATGCCATTTATCCATGGATTTTTATCAACAGCAGCTTATTTTTTTCCTTTAAGTATAATCTATACGTAAAATAAATCAAACTGGACTTATCTTTTCGATTTATATCTTTCCCAGAAAGATATGTAAATTTTTGACCTTGATTTTTGTAAAAAAAAGTACTTTTTTAAATTCATAAACTCGCCAGTATCGAACTACTGAGCCGATACCAAAACTATACAAGAGAAAGTTGTAGATGGCTCAATTACCTTTGATTTAAGTGCTTGTTTGGTCAAATCGATCAATTAGAACTCGAAGTATACTCTAAAACGTCAAAACACCTTTTCGCGTTTAGTGAGCCAAACTACACAAGAAAATAATAGTGAGACATGGTGGGCAAAATGGCTGTAAACTAGTGATGTGTGGAGGTGTGGAGCATAGCAAATTTTAAGGAAATTTGGTAAATTTTAAAATTCGAATTTGGCAGTTTATTTTTTTCAACCACTGGCAACAGTGGGTGGTGCGCAGTGCGTCGCAGGTAGTGCTGCGCAGTAGAGTGTACTCACTTGGTTTCGTCGAGCAGTTCGATCTCCTGCGGCTGCGTGATCGGCGTGTTGCTGTGCCCTGCTGTCGGGTCGTCGGTGTTCAGTTCGCCGTTAGTGGAGCGGACAACCTGCACAGAACCGTGTCGATCAGCGGGCGTGATCCCGCCCAAAGTGCTTTGTTTCGAAGCGTCTGGCCACGCGTTTGTTTTGTTTGTCTACAAAAAAACTCAATGTTAACTTGATTTTTAACGTGTAACTTTATGACGACCCTTGCGGGTAAAAATTTTTCATTATCACGCGCATCATTGCCATTTTTATCGACCTTTTATCACTGTATTTATCCCCCTAAACGAAATAATTGTGCCCCATCTACAGTTTGCTTTAATTAGCGCACTGCAGTAAATTTTGCGGACGAAAAAATGGCACGACGCTCTTGTATAGTCAATGAGTTTTTTTATTTCATTATTTGCCGAGCATTTAATTAATACGCAAGCAACACTAGCGTTTTCAACAATTAATACCTCGTTTAATTGAGATATGAGCATTATTGCGTCTTCCTCTGACCAATCATCCTTTTTAAATCGTGCAAAATCAGAATATCGGTTAAAACAAAATCACAGTTGTGAAAAATGTGGGGGTTAACAAAACAAGCAGATCACTTACCTTAGGTACAGCATGCCTGTCTCGGCTAGGTGATATTACTTCGTGTGTTGTGGTTTGCAGCGATCCTACCGGGGTACTCTATAAAAATAAAATGCTTTCAAAAATGGAACTATTAAGGTCATATAATGCATAACAAACTACAATTTCTATGTTTATTAGCGCACAGTTAAGATCTTTTTTCAACACATTTTTATTGCCTTAAACAATGTTAATTTGGGTACTTTCGAATTGTGATGGCTCAACCTCTGATACTAGGCAACAAACTGTACATGCCTATTGATATTTAAATATTTGACCTTTATTAAGTCTCATTAGTGTCAGGCAACTTGGTGTAGTGGAACACACCCAAAACAAAGGACTTTCTGAGCTTATATACTGCGTTTTTAAGCCAACAGAGGCGAGATGTAAGAACATCACGTGATCCACGCCGTTTAACGATGTGGCCTTTGTCGCAATCGGTACATACTATGCAACCAAGACTGCACACGGCAAATTGTATCACAGATACTATATATATATAGTATATAAATATAACAAAAAAATTCTTTCTTATGAATATTACCAGTAATGGTTCAAGTTTCTTGAAGAAAGTAAGAAAATTGAATGTTTGTTACTATAAGCGATATTTCTGAAGAACGTAGTGATACGATTTTTTATAGTGGTTCTAATATAGAAAATAGAGAATTTTTATAATTTTATAGGTTAGTTTATTCTCCCTCTTTTTTGATGACTTTTAAACTGCTGTTTCAAACTGAAAGTATATGCAAAAATAAAAACTTAACAACACAATCAAATTCTTTGACAGTTATAATCTTTTTACTTGTTATAACATCATTAATAGCATATTTTAGTATTAAGTTAATACAATTATTATTAAAATTTAATTTTTGCATCTCATTTCGTCGATTTCAAACGATTTAAATATTTTAAAGGACATGGAACATAACTTAGACACCATGCTAGAAACGGATTTTGGATTCATTCGTAATTCTTGACAAATCTGCTATAACATCGTGACGTAACGATCTCTATTCAAGGCCATCGAAGCGTTTTGAATATTGGTTATCAAAACAAAATTTGTTTCAGAAACGTAGGAATTTTTTTAATAAGAAACTCGTATGCGTTTATTCCAAATATGCATTTCCCAACCCCATTAAATGAGGGTATCTACATAATATAATTTATAAATTTACGTTATAAAAACTACATTGTTCGAATACAAAAAATAGAAAAATGGTGGTGTTTTATTGTTATTTTATCATAATTAGTATTTTTGCTGGACTATCACGTTTTTTTGGCCATACAACATGGCGATTGCGAATATTTAATTGATATGTTTTTTTTTTAATTTTGAACCATTTGAGATCAAAATTCAAAAGTATCCAAAAATAAAAACCATAGCATACAGTTGAACCTTTTTTTACACAAAATGTCTTGAACAATGAAACTACAGATAATGATTTTGGTAGCCTACATTTTGATTTTTTTACCTTTGCTGATTTAGTTTTAACAACGTTGGAAGGCGGGGCATTTCTCACTTGTTGAAATATGTACAAATTTTTTGGCTAATTAAAAAAATCCCTTAACTTATTTAAAACCAAAGTAAGAATGAAAAAAATAATATCTTACCATGGTCTTTCCGCTCCAGTCGTACTCGCCGTCTTCTGCGTAACCTTTACGCGAATAAAGGCCGGTGAACAAGTTCCTCAGGTATTCATAATCGGGCGTTTCGAAGAAATCCAACTTTCTGACGTACCGCAAGTACGTGGCCATTTCTTCGGGATGCCCTTCGCACAGCACATCGATCGACGTCGCACGTTTTGTGTCGCCGATTTTCTGGTAACGCTCCTTGAGCGTTTCCGCTTTAAGGCCTTGCCACGGCAACGAGCCGCGCAAAAAGTACATGAACATGTGCCCCAACGCCTCCAGGTCGTCTCTGCGGGACTGCTCTTTGCCCAGATGCGTGTTTATCGACATGTACCTCGCAGTGCCGGTCAGCGATTTGTGTTCTCTGTACGGTATGTGTTTATTCGTTTCAATTTCAATGTACTCCTTTGCTAAACCAAAATCTATAAACAAATAAATCAACCAATAAAAGCCGCCATCTACCGTTAAACAGACGATTTACCAACTTTTTTTTGCAGCGCCCCCTACATTTTTAGTTTATGACCTAAACAAATTATCAAACTCATTAAACCCGACGATACATTTCCCATTTAAATAACATGGGGTTTCGGCATGTTTTACATTTAATTTTTCCTCTCAAGCAAGTCACTACACAGCGATTAGAGACCCATATTTTTATAGGAAATTGATCGCTGTAAAAAAAATCTTTCTTATGATTTTTCGATAAATTCACTGGTTTAAAAGTTATTTAAAGTTAAGGTGGAATTTTTTACTTTGACAGCAAAATTGTCATTATTTTTATTAAAATTAATTGTTTATTTTAAAAATATGCGATATTTATTGTATCATTGAAAAAGTAAAAATTATTGAAATTATTAACAAGAGATTCGTACTAGTTTTACTCAATTTTAGTACGATTACTTTTTTTACATATTCTTTTAATTTCTGTTAAAACTATAAAATTTTATACGATTTTATAATAGTATATTAAAGAACTAATGTCATAAGACGTAATTTTGTCGCACGCGGACAATGGACGAGTGCGACATGAGTTCTTTATGCTATTTTATCCATTTTGCAAAAATTCTATAAAAAAAAATTTTATACCTTAAATTTAGTTTGGTCGAATTTTACTTTATATAGTTGGTTTGACAGTTAATGTCAAAATCGATTCGCCATGCTGTCCTTAATTTACTTATTTACAATAAGCCGCTGTTAATGTTTCCTTGGTGTTAAACAAAATTTATTGCCAGAAAAGTCTTGTAAGTAATATTAAAATCATAAAAATATTATAACCAATATGCAAAATATTATGCTGTTTAAAGTATAGCCAACCTATATAATCAAAATGGTGTTATAATGAAGTCATTATGAACGCAAAATAGATAAAATATTATAAAATAAATTTTCTTTCAGTACATACAGCTAATGACTTAGAAATTCTTTTAACAATTATTTGTAGAAAAAAATAAAATTCGTAGTTTTATAAACGCCATTATAGTTACGAGTTTTATTAGGCACGAGCGAAGCTTGCAAGCGAGTGTTTAGAGTGTCTAGATAACTTAATAAAACGAGTTGCATATTATCTATACTTTATCTATAAAAAACACAATGAAGAATTTAAAGCCAATTGTATTTGTTTTATTTGTGACATCTGTCAAATGTCCGCGGAATTAACCTCACTTTTCTCTAATTTATAATAAAGCCAACTTCAGTCCGTAACTAAAATGCCCAAAAGCCACTATTGCTAACTTCAGTCCGTGACTAAAATGCCATAAAGTCACAGCTCGTCAATGTAGGAGTAGATAATAGTATATTAAGTGTCAAGTTTGATAAACGCCATTTTATACACGAATTTAATTTAAATTAAATAAATTAATGAGTGTATAGAAAAGTTTATAAACGATTTGCATACTTTACATTTTCTACGACAATTACTTATTATCTTAAAATGATTTAAATCAAAAATTTGTATAGAGCGCCATCTATGAAACAATAGGGGAATCTGTGTGTCACCGTCAAATGTCAAATTTTTATATTTTATAAAAACAATTATAAAGGTTATAAATCGAAATGTATTTCTTGAAAATTGACAGTTTTTCACAGTGAAAGTAAAGAAAATGTTTTATGAGCACTTTACAGTGGAGTCCGTGCCCGAATTTAGGTTTACTGCCGGCGAAATTAAAAGGTCAGTATAATGTTCATATAAACTTTTCAAATATTGGCGTTGAGAAACTATTGAATACTTTTGTATTTGTATTGAGATAATAAAATAATTTTCACATTTAGTATTATTTTACAAGAAAGGCACTTTATTTTAACGATTGCATGACATTTGACAACTGTCAACTAACTTCAGCCCGTGACTAAAATCCTGTTGCTAACTTCAGCACGTGACTAAAGCTCCATAAAGCCACAACTTGTCAATGTGTATTTAAAAGGTCACTTAGTGTCATGGAAACATGTACGATAAAGGGCGTTTTAAAGGTGGGAGTAGTAACTTATTTGAAAACGATAATTGTAGCGAAAATGTCTGCATCTCATACTCAAGACAACGTATGCGTAACTACGAATTTTATGTTTTCGTAAAAAGAATTTCTACGTCATTAACTGTACTGAAGGAAAATTTGTCATTGTATGATATTTGATAAAAATCGTATACAAATTTGTAGAATTTCACATAAATAAAAAGATTATGTAAAAAAAGTAATCGTACTTTTTTAATAATACAATAAAAATCACATATTTTCAAAAATAAACAATTAATTTTCATAAAAATAATGATTATTTTGCCGTCAAAGTAAAAAAATCTAAAAAAAGTTCAACTTTAACCTTAAATAACTTTTAAACCAGTGAATTTATCGAAAAACTATAAGAAGCCTTTTTTGTACAGCGTTCAATTTCCTATAAAAAATTGTGTCTCTTATACCGCTGTATATTCACTTGCTCAGGAGGAAAAAAAATAAATTTAAAACGTGCCGAAACCCCATGTTATTTAAATGGGAAATGTATCGTCTTTGTGGCAGGGTTTATATGAATATTAAGGGCTTATATGAGTATGATAATTTTTTTAGGTCATAAACTAAAAATTAAGTGGTGCTGCGAAAAAAATAACCAAGTTGGTAAATAACAGACAACCTAATAATCATATTGCATTACAGTGCCCTGTAATTACAGTTACCTAAACTGATTTCGAGCTAAATGCGATAGATGGAACGAAATTGTTTTACCCTTGATAAAAAATATTGGTACCAATAATTTAATTTCCTCAAAAGATTAACTCTTGTACTTTCTTACCTATAATGTGAATGATTTTCTCCCGCTTTGTACTGGTGCGACCAATTAAAAAGTTCTCAGGCTTAACGTCTCTGTAGATCAGATGTCTCGAGTGAACGTACTCGATTCTATGTAACTGAAAACGAAAACAAATTGTGATTTTTGTTCAATTTTTTTTTGCAGGTATCTTACCAATTGTATCGCAATCATAAGGACAGTCTTAAGTGAGAATTTTCGGTCGCACAGGTCGAAGAGATCTTCCAAGCTTGGCCCTAACAATTCCATAACTAACGCGTTGTATTTGCCGCATGGTCCGAAGTAATAAACGTCCGGTATTCCCTCTGTAACTACATCGTTTTCAAAAACAAATTATTAAAAAAACTAGGCGAAAAAATAACATCGAAAGCATTTTCTATTTATTCCGTTTCGATTGATTTGATAAAGATGTTTATAAACATACTTGTTATAGAAAGACCATGAAATATCCTAAATAGGCTTGACCTTTACTAAACCATATTACCCTGATCAAAATCAAATTCGAAGTTATTTTCAATTGTATTTAAAACAGGCACTTCACAGAATTACAAATGCGTTAATGAAAAATTTGTATCAGAAAACTCTCTTGTCAAATATCTCTACACGTACCATGACTTCCAAGTAGCTTGTAAAACCTATACTCAAGATGCAGTTGCGGGGCTTTGGACTTCATGGGTTCCATTTTGATGGCGACATGCTCGTTATTGTAGAGATTTTTGCCCAAACGAAGCTCGCCGAAATTACCACAGCCAATCTTTTTACCTACGCGAAAATTCGGGCCCACCATCAAAACGCCCGAACTCGAATTGACACTGTGACGATTGCCGTGAGTGTCGTTTACGCCGTGTCGCTTCGAATTCTTCTTCTGGTCGGTTTTGTCCATCTTGAATCTGCAAAAAAAAATTGCGACTTCACTTTTTGGAGATAAGCATTCTCCATGGTTTATTGCTTTCTATAGTAGGCCCTGGAATTCAGTGCTTCCCCCTAATACTAAATTTACGTTTTTTACACTGTAAAAAGTACAATTTTCTCTACCATTTATTTGACAATAAAATGATCTTTTGTCCTTTAATATTGTAGATTACCAGATTCCGTCATTTGTGTAAGGTAAATTCACACAAAATACCCGAATCCAGTAGCATTAGCATTTATAAATCAGTGCCTGTAACCAAATCAAGTTTCAGCATTCTATAGTTTGATTTAATTCAATTTGAAAATCCCCTGAACGTTAAATAAAACTAAATCTGACCTAGCTAGACTGGTTTCATTTAAGAACTAAATAGGGTTTACACAGGAACACGCGGTTCTTTATTGTTGTTTACAAACGTGGAAAAGTTGAAAAACCAAACCGAACTGTCAACAGTTTTATGCATAATTTAGTTATGATTATCCAACTTTTGTGACAAATTTCTGCCTGTGTAAATTTAAGCACAAACTTTTGCTTGCACCCTGTATTTCCGATAAAATTAACAAAGGATTTTTTTTAATTTATGCGTACGGACTTCTGAAACATTGATATTTTTACAAATTCAATGTAAACCATTTAAGATTAAATGAAGTACTTGTAATCGTATGAATCACGTGATAATAAAAACAATGAAAATCGTTATTCTGACAGTGTTAAAATGAAGTTTTCACCTTAATATTTACAAATTGATAAGAATGAAAACAAATATAAATATGTTTTTTTGGTGAATATCAAAAAAATAATCAAGTAGGTAAATTGTTGAAATTGAAGGAAAATAAGCCAATGTAACGTTTTGTTTTATCTGTTAAATCTTCAACAAACATTTATTTATTAAGGATTAGTTTTTATAACATTTAGCTGTTAATTAAAAAATTACATGATTTTAAATAATAAGATTTCTTAATTATAAATTAAAAATGAAAGGATAATTAAAAATTATCTGTATTATCTGTTTAATTAATAAGTACCTACTCACTGAAAAAATCGATAGATCCGCTGCAAAAAACATTAAAAATAAATTCGTTTCATGGGTTAAATAATTAAAATTTTATAAATATGCGGCAAATAAAACCTACATGTATGTATGTACATATATATGTATACTGAAGTATGTGTACCTAGTTAGTTTTTCATTATTTCGCGTTCGCATGTTACTAAGCCTTAAAAAAATAAAAAAATTGTTTGTTGGTGGCTTAAAAATTTGATGTTTATTAATGTGTAAGGCTTCGTCTATTAAATACATTAAACAAAGTTTAGAAGCCCCATTTAGACTATTTTGAACAGATTTTATGTTCTAAATAAAATTATTTCGAATTGATTAAGTTTAATTTAAAGAAACCTCAAATATTTTTTTATTTCGTCACTGAAATAAATGCCAGAAAATAGGATTTATATGTGAGAGTGAGTCATCTCAAAAATGACCTAGATATTGATATTTTTCTTAAGGGCTTAAGACATAAAGGATATGATAGTTTTCGTTCAAGGACGACGATTTAATGCAGGTATATACCTGTTTGATGTGTAGTAAATATTTATATTATGGTGGATGGCTCTTTCAAATGGTCTTTCTCTGATAAGATAGGTATAAAAATAAATAACATTGGCAGATGCAAATTTAGCAAACAATAATATACCTACCATGTTTGTCAAATTAAAGCATACCTTTTTAATTGTTATCTAAAAGAGATAATTATTATTATTATTATTAAGGCAGATGATAAACTCTGATGGTTTTATTATCTTTTGTTAAGATAAATAAATTAAAATAACGTGTAGGCTTAATAAAATATTATTATTGTAATTTAGTAAATAAAAGCGGGCATAAAATACTGAGATAATTCGGTTATTATATAAATAATTACTTAATTCCCGAATAAATGTGGCGGTTTGTTTTAGGGTCATTTTCACCTTAAATCAGAGACAATCATAATGGAAATTACAGAAAACAAAATGTACTTACCCTTCGAACGTAGACTGCTATAAAAGTTTTTTAATAAAACTAGAACAATGCATAGGATTTTTTCTCAAAATTGTACTTCACAAAATCATCTTCTAACGTTTATATCACATTTTGTTACTATCACAGTTATTTATTAAATTCCGTGTTTTAATCACTATATACTGATTAAGGTGATCGAAAAATTGCACAAGTTAATTTAATGTTGATTAATAAACGTCTGTAGTTAATAAATTGTGGAGAAATGTCATTTCATATCCATATTCCGTGGTTAGGTTTCTGAGTTTACGCCATTATACATTACATACCCGGCCAATGCAACTTTTCGAACTGAAAATCGCCTCTCTCATCCGCCAAACATCAATAAACGCACTTTAATTAAACGCTAGTGAATATCCACAACACAAACTATCCTAAATAGATCTCTCTAATTCTAAAAATGCACCATATTCACCAAGTCCTTGTCATAGAGATTGTGCCGTACCATTGACTTTACCTCGAAACTGACACGCGCATGCGCCAATTTATATTTCCGATGTCATTTGCATACAAAAATAGAAAAACTATTTTTTTTTACTCCGACCGATTTTCCCCTTATTTTTAATCGCAGATTTATCCCTCAAAAAATACGGCAATTTTATCAAACTTACGTAACACACACCGAATCAAAAAATTCACGAAGGCGTGGTGAATCATATGTTAAGTTGCCATGACAACCGTTTTGTGATTAATTTTGAATTATCCCGCCAACGCCAAACAATAACAACATTTCAAAATAACAACACAGGGTGTTTTCTTATATAGAATTTACTACCAACACAAAACATGAACTCAAAAAATAATCAAAATTGTTGGTAAAATTAAACGATTTTATTTTATTTATTGAAATAAACTTTTATCATGAAATAAACTTTGTGATAGGTACCTACACATGTAAAATATTTTTTTTTCTCTTTGTAACCCTATCCGTGGACATGGTTTTTATTTTAACATCCTTGCATATTGGAGGTACAATCAATTTATAACTTGAAAATAATTCAAATACAAATTAAAATAAAAAACACAATTTAAAAATATAATGTAATATAAAAGAGTAAAATACATTAAAAACTTAAATCTAACATAAAAAGATTCACAAAACTTCTCTCAGTTTTCTCAATCAGTCGTATCTTCATCAGACGAATCTAAATTATCTTTTATTCTACATTGTCTCTCTTTTTCTCTTGTTCTCTTATCAATTTTTTCATAATCCAAAATGTTTGCTAATTCCTTTTTCTCCTTTATCCATCCATCCAATCTTGACGTTTGTATATAAGCAAGCTTTATATAGGCTAACTCTATAAGCGGAATGTCAAGTACTTTGTCTAGTGCCAATAAGTTTGGAAATAATTTCTTTTTGAAATGTTCTTTTAAACTTGCCCATGTTCTGTCCATACCTTTTTCCATTTCTTTCCATATTAAATTTCCATGTAGATTATAATGCACTTTTCTTCTTATTATGAATTTAATAATTTGCTGTTTTTCTTTGGGTTTAAATAAACTCATAATGGAACCTAAGAAACATGGTTTTACAACTTGTTTATAATAGTTATGCATGTCATTAGGCCAAGACTCTTTTTGTGTTATGCAAAGCACAAAAAGACACTTGGTACCTATACAACATTTTATCTACAACCACAATTTTATTTTTGAAACAATATCTAAGGTACCTACAATTATAATAATAATTCTTAAAAGTAGAAAGTGAAGTTTAATAGAATGAAGGGTATTGGTCCAAAGTGGTAAATACTGAATTTCTACGGCCTAGGCCATAACCAGTAACGAGTTTAAGTTATAGACGGATTTAAGAAAAATACTATTTACCATAAATATCCACTATTTACTACCAAACTGAATTTTCTGATTTTTAATGTTTTGACACAGTATAGTATGATATATAGTATGACACTGTATACTGTGGTTTTGAGTCAAAATCACAGATCAAAGATGTATGTATCTTGGTTTGTTCTGTGCTTGGATCAAAACAGGTCAAAACTTTTGACAACCACAAAACATAGAAAACCCCAAAATTAGTCATTGTTTTTTTAGTTGCCTATTTAAATAAATGTAATTGGGTTTTATTTAAATACATGTATTTTTATATAACTAATCTTACCAATTTAATTAGAAATAATTTATTATTTATTGTTAATTTGGGCTTTAAAACTCTTGCTATGCACTTGGTTATATTGGTGATATTTGGGTTGCCTACGATAATATTTTGAAATATTTTTATTTTCCATCTGTCAGTGGTTTGTGTGTACGTGATGTGGAAATATATTCAATTTTATTAACTATTTAAGGTAGTTAATAAAGAATCATCCAACCATTGTTATTCTTAAGTGAAATGTGAGCTAACTTTCGCATAAATTTGTTTAGTTTTTTTCTAGTAGTGCTGTATTTCGTAAGTAGTAAAAAAATAACAATAACCTGTTGATTTTAATATATTCATTTTGTTAGATATAGTTTTCAAGATGCGTATTCTAAGACAGAAATTTGATCATTTAAACAACTACCCACCTTCTGTGATGTATAAAATGTTGAAGCAAAATTTAATCTCCAAAGAATATGCTGATTATCAATTTTTACAAACCAGCAAATTACCTACAATGCATTTTCAACCTTCATTGCCTCGCTTGCCCATTCCTAAACTAGACTTGACTTGTGAGAGATACTTATCAGCTTTGAAGCCCCTTGTTATTGATGAGGCCCTCAGAAAAACTGAATCTAATGTTCAACAGTTCAAAAATGACATGGGAAAATATCTGCAAGATAATCTCAAAGCCTATGATAAGGAGAGAAAATTTACAAGCTATATATCTGAATCTTGGTTTGATATGTATTTGAGGGATAGAAAACCCTTGCCTATTAACTATAACCCCATGCTTGTGATGCATAATGAAACTCGGAGCGAATATAACAGTCAGTTAGTCAGAACAACAAATCTAATAATAAGTTCCTTGAGATTCTACAAGTCTCTTAAATGTGGCATATTAGAACCTGAAGTATTTCACTTGAATCCAAGAAAAAGTGATACAGATAAGTTCAGAAATATTTGCAGTGTTTTGCCTCCATCAATGTCTTGGTATGGTGCTTATTTATTCAAAGCTTATCCACTTGATATGAGTCAGTACCCAAATTTATTTAACACCACAAGAATACCTGAAACTGATAAGGACAGATTGTTCAGCAATTTTGATGGCAAACACATTACAGTCCAGCACAAAGGTCATTTTTATGCATTTAAAGTACTATCCAATGAGAATGATATTCTGCCCCCTGCACAAATTTTGGCTAGGATAAAATATATTCTGGATGATCCTGTTAAAACCTGCGAAAATCCAGTGGGTATTTTGACCACAATGGAGAGAAATAAGTGGGCTACCATACGGCACAATTTGGCTGACAATGGGAATGAGGCTACATTAAAAATAATCGATTCAGCCCTGTTTAACGTTTGTTTGGATGATAATTCCGTAGGCGATGATCCCTATTTGGTTGTTAGGAACTTTTTACATGCTGATGGAGTTAATAGGTATTTAATATTTAATATTAGGCTTGTCCCTACCGAGTCAAATGGTCAGGGACATGCGCAATAGTAAAATCTCTTCGTATTGCGCATGTCCCTGACGTCCATTTGACAGTCCAAATCTAAGGAAGAGAGGGGAGGTGTAATCAGAACGTTGAAAATGAGCCAAATGTGAACCAAAAAATGGCGTCAAATTAAAGCACATATGTAGGTTATGTCGAAGAAACGTCAAAATAACAAAACGCACAAAACAAACTTGCCAACATTTTGAAGCGACGCCATGTTTTGGTTCACTTTTGGCACACTTCACTAGGCCTGTCGCGTCCATTCTCTTTAATTGTCTAAGGACCAACAAACTTCAACATGTTTTTTTTTAGATGGTTTGACAAGTCTATTTCTTTACAAATTACCAACGATGGATCTGCAGCTGTTAATTTTGAACACTCATGGGGTGATGGTGTAGCTGTACTCAGATATGTACAAGATATATACAAAGATTCTCTGGAAAATCCTTTGGTTAGTTCCGAAACAAGACCTTATGATGAAGATATAAACAATATTATACGCTTAGGTAAACAATATTCTTTTATATTTAAAAAAAAGTTGCTATATTCATGTATTTTTACAGATATGAATCTCAATGATCCTCTTAAAGTAGCTATTAAAAGAGCCAAGGAAGACTACAAAAAAATCACTAAAAGTCTTGACATAGACTATTTGATCTTCGACAAAATTGGGAAAAATTCGTGCAAAAAGCAATCTTTAAGTCCTGATGCTGTTATGCAACTAGGCTTCCAGGTTTGTATTTTTGTTTTAATTTTTTTCTGCCTAAAAACATAATAGTATATTCATATGCTGTGTTTAGGGGTGTCAATCCCGAGCCCTTTTTCCAATTTCGGCACCAAAGGTCCCGGGGATCCCGGGATCAGTCCCGAAAAATATATATCATTAATTTTAAAACCAAATTCACATATCAGAGTGCGTCAGTTGGAGGAATGGTTTTCAAGAATTCGTAGGCACATTGTACCCACTCTTACCAAATTAACAAATAATTCCATTTCTTTTATCAATCTGTAACTTACATTGAAATTATCAAGTTTGTAACATTCTTTCAGGTTATGTTATATTATAGTTTATGTCACAGAACATGAATTTATTCTACAGTGACCTGTAATTTTACATTTTCTTTGCTGATTTTATGCTAAACGCCATAGATGGAACCACTCTTGCTATCTAATTTCAATGTATTTTCATTATTGTACGGCGGTGTATAATAATTTGACTTTTGAACTGCGTACAAAAATGAAGTATTTCTATATATGATTATGAGTATTATAATAAAAAAATTGTCATACGCTTGAAAAAAAGTTATTCTTTGTAACTTGTTACTAAGACTCTAGGGAATCTCTAAAATAAATATACAATACGCTAAAGAAGTATCACTAATCTGAATGAAGAAATAAATTGCATACAGTCTCTGTAAGTATAAATTGTACCTATTAGATACAATAAATACACATTTTAGTAGTGATTAACTTAAAAAGTGTAAACATTTAAATTCAGTAAAAATCCTCAAACAAATAAGTCTTCTAAATTTAAACAGCATTTAGCATTATTAAAAGCGTTGATTAAGAAAGTCTCCACTCAACGGTAAAAATACTATTATATTATGTATTATATAATATTATGTTGCCATGAATTCGTGTTGTTTAAAATGGTGTTGTCGCCGTTTTTTAGATAACTCAAATATAAAAATGGTTGATTTTAAAGATGTTTGTGCACATATCAGAGTGCGTATTTCTTAAAAATGTCTAAACTTAAATATAAATTATATTAAAGTTATCATTAGTTAATTCTGCACCAACAAATGTACTTACCGAATTGGATCCTTTGGCAAAACATGAAAATGCAACGATTTAGTTCTTGAATTTTATTTACAATTAAAAACACAATAATTCACCATCATCCCTTAGATAAAATACACACACTAACGTAACTATATAAGCATTTAAGCGTTGAGTTTCTTAATCAATGGTATAAGGAATAATCAATCGATATTGAGTACTAAAAAAGTTTTTTAATTTTTTCCTTGCAACGTAAAACACAAATAACGTGCGCGATTTAGCTGTGCAACTGAACAAAATTTGTCGAGTAAGACTTCTGCCTTCCTCTCTTTTGTGAAAAAACTACCTATTTATTTAAAAATGATGTATAATCTGTGCTTTAAATGTATTAAATTCTTAAATTCACGCAATGCTATCGAAGTTCACCAGATGGCGCGCGCGTTTCGAAAACCCTATACTTCTTTAGCGTATAGTTCTAAAATAACTTGGGGGTTTCCATGTAACCTTCTCTAAATTATTATTTTTAGGTTGCTTATCACAAATTGTCGGGGAAATTCGTGCCAACCTATGAATCCTGCAGTACGGCAGCTTTCAAGCATGGCAGAACTGAGACAGTGAGGTCCTGCACTTATGCCACAAAGGCTTTCTGTTTGGCTGTTAATTCGTCGCAAAAACCGTCGCACTTGGAGTTGAAAAATTTGGCGGCTGAATGTTCGAGGGTGCACAACCAATTGACAAGAGAGGCGGCCATGGGACAGGGTTTCGATAGGCATTTGTTTGCCTTAAGGAGAATTGCTGAGAGAAAAAATATTAAGTGTAATATTTTTGATGATCCTGAATATGCATATATCAATCACATCATTTTGTCTACAAGTACTTTGAATTCGCCGGCTGTTTTTGCTGGGGGATTTGGTCCTGTTGTCAAAGACGGACTTGGAGTGGGGTAAGATTTAAACTGAAATAAATAACGCAAAGTTTACATAATATTTTTTTTAGATATATAATCAAGGATGATTCTCTTGGAGTTCTCGTTACTAGCTACCCTCCATATCAAAATGGTTCAGACTTCATTTCTGCCTTAAGAGAATCCTTTGACGATATTCTCGAAGTAATCACTAAAGACTAAAAAAGAAACAAAATATTTTTATAAGTATTATATACTGTATTTCATGACCATTGGGTATTAAAGTGCCTTTCTCAATATTATAGGGTTTTTAGCAATAAGTCAGGTTACGTTTTTCAAATTTTAAATTTAAAAACTGTTTTTTATGCTATTTTAAATAAAGAATATATTCCTATATTTTATTTTATTTATTGCTTATCCCATATACCCCTCGTATAAAACATTTGGTCACCTCCCGTATATAAATCTCTTTTTCTTAACCGTAGCTAACTTCGGCCTTAACCTCAATGCAATAAAATTTACCTATAGCCTGTCCATCGTAACTGTACGCTCAATGCTTAATTCAAATTATTACTTCCAGTACAGTTTAACCAGTAAAATAGTATTTAATTACTTGTACATACTAACTAATATTTATTTTATTATAAACTATAACGTTATAACCCCAAACATCTAAAAAATTTACAATGCGAACTCATGGTGGACGTAGAGTATAAAAAATCATCAAGGGTCACGAAGGTGTATCCAAGATGCTGTCTCTTTTTCTCTTACTACTTCCCCATATAATTATATCCTTCTTCTTGCTGACGTAATTCACTCGCAATTTGCAGAACCGTACTTTGAAAAATAAGAATTATTTATATTTTTGCAAATATTTTCCAATCGATTTGGATTACAGTTATAAATCATTTAAAAAGTGTATATATTATTAAAATATAGTTGTATTTTTACATCTGGACGCTTTTTTTGGAGAAGTTTTTTTTTAAATTGTTGAATTCAGAGCCGGATCAAGTATAATGTGAATTTTACACATTTGCTATTTTCCTTACAAGTGGCACTTAAAACTATTACTCTTCAAATAAGAAATATTCTTGATAAGAAAAACGCCCCAATTTGCAAAAATAACGCAAAAAAGCATTATTTCTAATTGAAATGTCAAAATTAACCTTGAACTCTACGATGGCGATTATTGCTTGCGATGTAAAGGATATTTTCTTTTGCAATGAATTAATAAGGGTCAATTTTGTTCGTCATGGATGATTATTGGGCCTTATTGAATTTACAAGATATAATGGTTGTGCAAAATATAAAAAGCACAATTATGAAGTTGGGGGTTTAAAAAATGGTTTATCATTTGGGAAGTTGGGAGTAGAGGGATTTTTATAGGTGTACAGAGTCTGTTAGTGGAGTTTTATGGCTTGGAAATGTTGTGTGTAGCCTCTAGCAGGGTACAGCTACGTCATCAATTCTGTGTCGTCATAGGTCGTTATGTTGATTGTAGCGCTGTGATTGGTGGATAGAGCAAAACGGCGGCCATCTTCTAAATTGAAAATAAATGAAAATCCTATGGTGGTAAGCGTACCTTGTCGAGAGAGTAGCGCTCCTCGCCGGACTGAAACGGCTAGCTTTGGAGCAGCGAAAAGTTTAAGAACGCTGTCGACCTAAAATATGTACGCGCTGTAGCCTAAAAAGTGTTGGAAGTTGTTAAGTTATCAGTGTAAATAATGCAAGAAAAATTTGAATGTGAGCGTGAGCCAAAGAATAAGGTCTTAGACGTGTAGTTTTTAAATGAACTGAATCCGGCGATAGTGTTCGCTACAGAGTGTTCTCTTTTGATGGCGCTATGGCCGCTAAAATATAGCAGCCCATGAAACTCTCGATTCCAACCTAAACGTGCGGTTCGAAACAATTGATTTTGAATGAGTAAACAAATGGCCAATGAGCATCAGCAACAGTAAACAACCAACAATCGGTAAAAACAGTATGGACAGTGACAGCAGTCAGAAATTGGATTTGAAGTTCGTGGAAGAATTTTAAAATAAATCAACGACAATGAATGCAGTTAAGCAGGAGAGACACGATGAGGCCGAAATTCAGGAACTGGCGGCTAAGCTCGTCGAGGCCAACAAGGCGAAAATGGCAAATCCGGCCAGGCCTCCACCGCCACCGGTTACCAGTATGAACATCCTTAGTTTCCTTACATCTGATAAGGCCAAAACCAGCAAGCTTCAAAACTCAGTGTCTCTAACAACAGTCACTGAAACTAACAAGACTGTAGATGAAGACTCTGTTCGAGGAAAGTTTGGCTGGACATCGTTGGGTAAGGTTCACATTCCTTTCATTATTCGTTCTGGGGAGCATTACTGCTCAGTTAGGATGGTAGAGATGAAGGTCCTGAATAAACTGTTAAACTTCTTGCATCAGGACCTTTATAATTGCACCAATATCAGGAGCTACTACATCACAGAGTCAGAGGCTAGGTTATTAAACGAGATCAACTTCAAACACTGTGACTACCAGTTTGGTAGAGAGCAATTCACCACAAGGGACCTAATAGTGCGTTTGGCAGATGCCAATGAGTTTTATCAGTTTCTCGGACATTGTTATAATAAGCTAGTGAGTGCTGTGGAGGCAGACTCTCTAGATCGATGTGGATTCATTCGAATCAACAGGGAATCAGTGGTACCCTACACAGTGTATAATGAACAGAAATATGTGCCGCTCTTCTACTTTGAGGGGGAAACAGACAATTTAAAACAACGAGCCGACAAACTTGAGGGATGGGATTTATCATATCTAAAATTTTGCTGCAAAGTCCAGGGAATCAGGAACGAACTCTTCGCTCACGACTCCTGTTCGGTAATCAGTTTAAATGACATAAAAAACTACTTTCCCCCAGGCACTCTGTTTGAAGACTATTGGCCCAAGAAAAACTTGGACTCTCAACTTTTAATAAGTGGCAACTCAAGGAGCCAAGCCCAAATTGTGCAGTGGACCAGGAAGCCAACAGCCCCTCCAATGCCGTCTCACCCCCCTCCATCTCCAAAACCTGCCACTCAGGCCAAGGCTGCAAACAACAGCCAGCTGCACAATGTGCATGTCTACTCCAACTACAACATTGGAGCAGCCAGCGCTACAGGAGGGCAGCCCCCATATCACTCTCCCCAGCCCAGGACGGCCAGTTCGGCTGTGAGGGCCACCTATCCATCTGCAGCCACAAGAAACATGAGGCCATCCACTTCTTACTACGCCAGCATGGCACAAGCGCCTCCAGCATTGGTCAGGAGCACAGCGTAAGTTTTTTTCATCTTTCTTTTTACTCATTGTAATGCATACATAAGATAGTTTTTTTGGGATTAATTTAAAAATATATTTATTAGTTATCCATCTTATGGGAAGGATGATTGGTAAGTTTATATTTTTAATGAGTTGAAGGACTTTTTAAATTTTAAATTAAATATCATTTTACAGTAATCTCGAAGTTAATATATTTGAAAATGAGTGAGTATTTCATGTGGAGCATGTTTGTTGCCTGTTTTGTAGAAATATTTAATTTCTAATTTAAAAAAAAAACAGTTATGAAACCTGATTGTCCACTTTTTATGGCTTTATACTTTTATTAATATAAAAAAATTAGATGTTTTTATTTTTTACTACACTTTCTTTAGTAGTTGTTTTTGAATGATTGAAATGATAAATGATATAAAAATAATTATAAATAATTAAAAATTTATGTCTAGTTATTCTCAATATGGGAAAAAAGAGTGGTAAGTGTTTATTTAAATCAATAAAACACTATAACATTAGTTATATTTATTAAAAAACTATCTAATGTTGTCTGATGTTTTTATAGTTATTCTCAATACGGAAAGGATGACTGGTGAGTTCATTGCAACAAAAAAATCACTTTCATTAATTTTAAACATGGGGTAGTTAATATACTTTTTATGGTTTTAATACCCATAGGTAGGTACATATTTTGCAATTTAAAACATTACTTATAAAATTAAAGTTATTTGTAAGCAAGTTTTATAAAATTAATTAACTCTAAAGCATGTGGATGACTAATAATATTTCCTTCTACAGTCACAGAAAATAGTGATGCTCTTAGCCTTTATTATAACAAGTTCTCATTATCCAAAAACCTTAACAAAATACAATTAGGTTCAGCGACATTTGAACGATATAATGTGACGTCACATTTAAAATTCTAAATTAAAAAATGTTTTAAATTACAAAGTACATTCATTTGGGACTCCCATTTTAAAATAATCAGTAAAACCTTAATTTTGTATCCTGCCCAAGGTATGCTTAAGTTTCTAGTTACTTTTCTAAGATACTTTAAACAAAATAACTTAGTTTCCTCTGTTAACTAGATACTTTGAGTTAAAAGTATCTTTAGTTACAAGATACTTTAAAAAGTATCTAAGATACCATATGAAAGTATCTAAGATACTTTTGAGTAAATAAGATACTTTTAAGTAACTAAGATACTTTTGAGTAACTAAGTTACTTTTAAGTTTGAATAAAAAAAATTATAAAAATTCAACAAGTTTTAGGTTAGGTAATTACTTTGAATCATTCTGGAATTCCCCCAATTTTCTCTAAGAAAGTATCTAAGTAACACTGAAAAGTATCTAAGTTACTTTAAAAAGTATCTTAGTTACTTTACCGAGTAACTTATATACTTTTTAAGATACAAGTTACAAGATACTTTTCCAAAGTAACTAAGTTAAAGATACTTTCTGTCCAATATAAAAAGTATCTAAGATAAAGTATCTTGGATACTTTAAGTATCCCAGTTACTTTTAAGTATCTTTTTTACTAAGATACTCCCAGCTTTGAATACGCCTTATGTGTGTTGCAGAATTCTGCATCAAATCATACTCCACTTAAAGCAAAAGCACCGTAAAATGCCAGTTCTCATTTTTATTTATTGCACATAATTATTACTATATTTCATAACAATTTTTCTTCTTTTACTGCATTTATTTTATTATATTTGAACTAAATGATAATGTTATTGCTGTGATTAAGGCTGTCATAAAAAAGTCAACTTCTGCTAAACAGAGCCCATTTAAATTTAACGTTTTTAAGGCGGCCTTAAAAATGGCAACCTAAGCTAGATAAACCCTTAATTATCATACTCGTATATATTTTTGTTTAACATGAACGGTAGGCATTAAAATATTCTGACCGTTTTTTATATTTATATTAAATGCTGGGCACAATTCCGCGCGCACCTGATTAATTTTTATAAATTATATAAACTTATTAAACCGAGGCCACAAATTAAGGTCTTACTGATGAGAATATAGTACTTAAACCATTGAAAGTATGAATTGAAAAAACTTGTTAATAAAAGTGAATATTTTTTACAGGCAAGCTTCATATACGAATGCGCAGACAAATTCCGGTGCATCGAATTATATGATTCTGGATCCCTCAATTAACCAGACAAACTTCCATCAGCCGAGTCAGTTGAACAAGTACCCGCCGCCGCCGTTGCTGCACATGAACGGCGCAATACCTTCACCATACGACAGGTACCGATTTTGACCCATTTTTGAACTTATATCTAACCCAAGCGTCACGACAGGTACTTATTTCTACTTCAGTTTAAACCAAATCCAAACTTCGCGAAATTTTGGGCTAATAAACGCGAAAGCGACGACGAAAAATTGAGGGGCTTTAACGAGCACAATGCTCAGTTGGACTTCTACACGACCGGTTGTGTAGCCAAAGATCCGTTCGACTCTACCTTTTGGATCTTGTGCCCTTTGCACGGGTCCTTTCCCACGACATTCAGATTCATTAACAATATGCATGACGATAAATTAGGTGACATCGGCAGCTATCTGCATAAATGCCTCGCTAGCTTGAGGAAGAGCGAGCTTATCTTCGATTTTAGCATGGGCATTGGCGAAGCCATTTACGATAAAAATGGGGAACTCCACTCGATTATATGCGAGGAGTTTAACATTCGCTAAATATTTTTTTTGTGATTTTTACTAGCTTTAAGGTTTTTATGTAATTCGTGATATTGTAATACGGGGTGTTTGGCATGACACCTTGTTTTTAATCCTCCATTATGTCTACCTAAAATACGGCACAGCTTCTTCAGTTTAGTCGATAGATTGTGTGCTTTATTTTTTTACATTTAGTTTGACATTAATTTTGTTTTTAAACCATGTAATAGGTTTGTTCCTACCGAGTATTTGGACTGTCTAATGGACGTCAAGGACAACACCAAAATCGCATGCGCAATATTGAAAGTCCAAATCCTATCCGTAGGAATAAAATATATAGTAGCGTTTTTATCAATAAATTTATCAGTCCTTTACTTGATTATATTTTTTTGTGATTTTTACTAGCTTTAAGGTTTTTATGTAATTCTTAATATTGTAATACATGACACCTTGTTTTTAATCGGACTACACAGCTTCTTCAGTTTAGTCGACATTATTTTTACAATTTTTTTTAAACAAACAAATGTTTCTACCGAATATTTGGACTGTCTAATGGACGTCAGGGACAATACCAAAATCGCATGCGCAATATTGAAAGTCCAAATGCTATCCGTAGGAATAAAATATATAGTAGCGTTTATATCAATAAATTTATGGCATATAATCATGGCATTGTGCCAAACGCCCTATACATAATAGGTGATAATTTCGACGGAAAATTTGCACCGTTTTTCAAACTGCTTTGCGCAATGCTTTGCACAAATAATGACTTTTTCCAATTTTTGAAAAACCCCAATAATTTTCCCTCCTAAATCTGCATGTGGCTGTGGCTATTATAGCTTGTGATGTTTTTATTTCGCTAACGCGATTTTATTTTGTATAAAGAATAAAGTTTTCACTGTTCATATTTATTTCATTTCACGCAAGTTTTTTACAGGGTGCACTTACATAAGAATAACAACACGCATGATACTATAAGATTAATTTTAATTTTTTGTTGTTGGTATATTGCTATAAGCATGGTTTATGGTGTTGGCTTTGTATAATAATTAAATAAGTACTATTTAAACTGTAAGTATTAGACAAATTACCCCCGCAAACACTCTTTAAGTGCCCGTTTTTATCGCACACTCATTTCAGGGACCTCGCGCATAACTACGGAGTGAACAGCAGTCAGGCGCAGCTGATCAACCAGCAGCCTGCGCATCAGGCGACGCGCGCGCAGACCACCACGCCAGTAAACGACGACAGGAACAGCCTGACGAACGGCAGAATGTCGGGCGGAATGAACAGCATCCGCAAGCTGAAGCAAATACCCGAACAGCCGACCAATCACATTCCCTACAAGCTGGTGCCGAAGGAAATCGCCGACGGCAAGATCATCCAATGCATACCGATGAAAAACTATCAGAACTCCAACGGGGAGTTGCTGGTCACTTTGCCGGACCTGGTCGCGAACTTTTTTCACAACGTTTCAGTTCAGAGCTGTCAGCAGGTCATGCAAGTTTTGGGCATCGAGCTCTACAAGCCTAATAGGTAAGTTTTTCATCTCCCATCTTTCACGAAATTCAATTTTTTTATACAGTTATACCTTGAGATGGAAAATTTTACCAACAGCATAGCAGAGTTAGCCATTTAAAGTTTTATATATATATATATATTTCTTGTTTATTCTCAATATTTTTGAAAGTATACTGATTTTTCTTAATATTCTCAATGTTCCCAATATTCTAAAAAACAGTTTTCTTAAAATTTTTACAGGTGTTGAAATCTTTTCTTGATCAAAAAAACTCTTTATTATTATATATAAAATATATAAATATAAGCTGGTCTTAAGTCGGCAAACAACAGTTAAATATCTATACATTATCCAAAGGTTTAAAACAAATGGTTGTATTTAATTAATTTATTTAGAATTATTTTATAAAGTTTGATTTTTAGTTTTATTTTAAGAGAATTGATTTATTTATTTTAATTTGTTTTCAAGAGAGTTATTTCTTTTTATTTTAGTTTTTCAAGAGAGTTTTTTATGTTTAAATGTTTTTTTGTAAGAAAACACTTTTAGTTAAATGCAAAACAAATAATGATTTTACACCTTTACTTACATTTTAAGTATCCGAATCATTTTTAAAAGTAAATTAACTTAATAATGCTTAATTCGTATTAATAATCCAAAGCAAACTTCGACTATCAACCAACGCCGGTGAAGGGCCTTCTGCTGAATTACGAAAACCGTCTCTCGGCGTCTTCCACTCTTAAAAATTATTCTTCCACTCTTAAAAACCGATTTTTCTCAATATTCTTAATTTTCCCAATATTCTAAAAAAACATTTTTTTAAATATTTTCACAGGTGTTGAAATCTTTTCTTGGTCAAAAAAACTTTTTAATATTATATATATAATATTTATATACTGTATTTTCATTTGAAATATATACAGATGCCCCTCCCCAGATGCATTGTAAGCAGGTTGCCGTAGGCGACGATTCAGTTGTGTTTTGCATTTGCTAGTGTGTATTTCAAGCGTTTTAACATAAATTAATTTCTTTTATTTAAAATTATAAGTTATAATGTCCTACACATTGCAAGAGAAAATTTAAATGATAAGGTGGTCTTAAGTCGGCAAACAAATAGTTGTATTTTAGTATATTAAAGGTCATTTTGTCATAAGGTCTTATGACATGAGTTATTTATGCTATTTTATCTATTTTGCAAAAATTCAATAATAAAAAATTAATTTTATACCTTAAATTTAATTTGGTCGAATTTTACTTTAGATAGTTGGTATCACAGTCGTTGGTTTGACAGTTAATGTCAAAATCGATTCGCCATGCCGTCCTTAATTTACTTATTTACAATAAGCGGCTGTTAATGTTAAAGAAGAAAAAAAGGATATTCTTTGGTGTTAAACAAAATTTATTGCCAAAAAAGTCTCGTACGTACTAGAAAAGTCATAAAAATATTATAACCAATATGCAAAATATTATGCTGTTTAAAGTATACCCAACCTATAAAATCAAAATTTTGGGTGGTATAAAGTATCTCATTACAGCACCGAAAGCGGTGTTGTAATGAAGTCATTATGAACGCAAAATAGATCAAATTAATTTATTTTAGTTTTGTTTTAAGAGAATTGATTTATTTATTTTAATTTATTTTCAAGAGAGTTATTTTATTTTTTTATTTTAGTTTTTCAAGAGAATTTTTTATGTTTTATGTTTATAAGAAAATACTTTAAAATGTAAAACAAATAATGATTTTATACCTTTACTTACTGTTAGAAGTGGTTACGTTACATTTTAAGTAAATTAAGTAAATTAACTTGATAATGCGTACTTCGTATGAATAATCCAAAGCAAACTTCGACTATCACCCAACGCCGGTGAAGGGTCTACTGCTGAATTACAAAAACCGTCTCTCGGCGTCTCCCACTCTTAAAAATTATTCATATAAGTAATTGATGTATTTTTGTTTCAGTTCTCAATTGAGGGTGTTGTTGGAGAATGGAAAATGTGGTAGTGTGAACGAGGCGGTGCCGTTAGTGCAGGTTAGAAACGTGATTGATTTTATGCCGCAACTAAAGTATATGCTAAACATACCGGAAATAGCGGCAAAAAGACAAAGAACTAGCTAGGATTGGGGGGCGATGTGGGGCTATAACTTTTACAATTTCTAGTGAGTGCGGCTCCACACAACGCTTCATCGCGAATTATTTTTAATTTAAATGAAAATTGTTCCTACTGTCTGCTATCTTGGACTATAATAAGCAACATATTATTAATAATTATTATTTAGCCGATGGCATTTACGGGCTGTTCCCTGACAGATCATTAATTTAAAAAAAAATTGTGCAATATGATTTTTTTTTCGGTCGTATCAATTAATTAATAGGAAGTATAAGAGAGAAAGACTTAACAGCATGTCCGTGTATGCCAGCGGTCTCTATGACATTATAACTATAAGGGTCATTCCATTGATCTATTTACATCAAATACTCCTTTATAATATGTAAAAAATAGGCTTATAACGAAGAAACGTTTTTTGCTACATAATTTGCAGCATTTGATATATCGTGTAAATATGAGCCAAAAAAAAAAGATCGAGCAACGATTTGGTATGGAATGGCCCGTTATGAAACATAGTATTTTAAATTGACGCCATGAACAGGATTAATTTTTTTGTAATCGACTCAATATTTTTTTGGATGTTTTCTAGTCATTGTTCATTGGTGTTATCTAAATGAGTGTAAAGCATGGGCGTGATTTTAAAATACTCCATTCTGTACGGCGCCACCGTCGGAATTTAAGAATAATTCATCCACTTGTTGCTGTTATTATTATATTTTGGCGTGGTTTAGATAGCGAAATGTCCAGGGTAGGGGTATCTAAATATTACGAAACATTTTGATTGATTTAATTGAGATCTGACCTGTTTTATTCATTTTTCGGCTTCACTGGGTATTCTACGCATTTTTTATGATTATTGCTCCTGCCTGTGATGTTCAAATACAATTTTACAATTCAGTATTTACGTATAAAGAAAAATGTACATTCATCACACTAATTTATTTCTTTTATTATTAATTAATTATTATTCATTGATCATTTGTTGGTGTGATTCGTTTTGTGATAGTCTGTACATAAATTAGTGTGTTTTATCGATTAGAAAGAACTCTTTTAAAAGCGCCTTTTTCATTTTTGACTGTACATAAAGTTTATTAATTTAACCTTATTAAATTGTATAGGGTGACGCAAGCTCTTTTTTCTTAATTCTCTTTTCAAACTAATTAAATCAAACTTATGGTACACATGCTCTATATTTTTTTATATACAAAACAAAATGGTTTTCATTGATAAAGCTTACTGTTATAGTTATATACATATGTATATCATAGCAGTAGGTTTATTTAGATGAGTGGCAAATGGAAGGAATAAATTCAATGTTCCTAAATTCCAAATTTATTTATATAATACTGTAAATTTATCAAATAGGAAATATATGTATATACTGTATAAAAACCTTTCCTCAGGCTATGGGTTTATATAAAAACAAATTCATCATTTGTTTTAATTGGGGTAGTACATTTTTTTAATATATACCGCCTAGAATTTCTATTAGAGATTTTTGCTTTTGCGTATTGTCTTAAAATTTGCGACCTTTCTAAAAAAAATGATTTTTATACAGTTAAATAACCCAATCAGAGCACGGCACGCTAGATTGCCGTGCTCTGTGGAAATCATTTTTCATAGAAAGTTCAAGAAATCAGTATATGTTAAATAAATGTAACTTATCATTTGTTTTTTGATTGTTATCGATTAAATTTTGGCGTAGGTTTACTTATATATACTTTATCCTATGATGGTAAAAAATAATTTTACATTTTTTTATTGAAGTCAGATTGGTCTTAGACAATGATCGGTTAGTTATTATATTAATGACTAAATTTAAATGTTTTTTATTTATTTTTGAACCTTAACTAATCTGACTGAAAACTTGATGTATAATATAAAATACATAATTTTTAATTTTATAATTGGTATTATTTATCCTTTTTATTATTAAAAATTCAGTGAACCCTAGCCTTACACTTAAAAACTACTTTTATTTGTTTTTTTTTATATAAAAAAATCGTTCAATGTTTAAAATTATCAAAATGCATTCCCTATTTTATTATTATAACAAAATAGACTAGAAAATATAAATTGCAGTGTATGTATCAAGTTGTATGTATGAAAAAAACCTAAATGATAGTTTAAACACCACTTCATGTTCCTTTAATCCTAACTGTAACTGTCTATGAAATTTAAACAGTATTTAAAATGCAGAGCAAAGTTAAAATACGTTTTAACATTGCTTTGTAGATGTATATAGGAATGTAGGTTTTAATAATGCTTATTTTCTACAATATATTGTACATTAAAGCGTTTGATATTTGTCTACATTTTATTTTACAATGTACATAAATTTAGAATTTCCGAAAATATACTTTAATTGTAATGTATATAAAAATAAATATTGTTATTTAATGTTTATCTTTCATTTTTGACCCAATTTGTTAAAAATGTATAAGTTTTCTCTAAAAATTTAGATCTCTTAAAATCTGAAGGATGTACCAAATTATAAGGATTTTATAGCAAATTTACTATTTATATCTGCTATCCTTTTTTTACATTTGAAGATCTAAAAAATGTACTAATTTTGAACATAGTTTTTAGAGTAGAGATTCAACTTTTGATGCTAATATCTTGAATATTTTTCACAAATCCTTGGTTATTATTACACATTTAGATCTTTTTTGTGCAGATCTAAAATGTGTACAAAATTTGTAATACAGATTTTAAAGAAGATATTCAAAATTTTAGTATTTATCCTTGTTCAAAATATAGTACCCTTATAAGATCTTCATATGTTATTGTTTTCTCTAAAAATTTTGATCTTTTCCTACGTGCATATGAAGATATAAAATGTTTACCAAATTTTAAAGAATTTTATAGCAGATATCTCTGCTATCTTTTAAGATTTTTTAAGTAATAGTTTTTTTGCATTTGAAGATCTAAAAAATATACTAATTTTGAACATAGTTTTTAGAGTAGAGATTTAACTTTTGATGCTAATATCTTGAATATTTTTCACAAATCCTTGGTCATTTAGATCTTTTTTTTGCAGATCTAAAATGTGTACCAAATTTGTAATACAGATTTTATAGAAGATATTCAAAATTTTAGCATTTAAAGTTGAATCTCCACTATAAAATTCTTGTTCAAAATATAGTACCCTTATAACCCTGCTGAAAAAAACTGATCGAAACTCGATCTTTTTTTATCATATTTGATCATGGTCCAGAAAATTCTCGATCCTTTTTTATCATATTTAATGAGGTTCTAGAAATTCTCGATCCTTTTTTATCATTTTCGATCAGATTTCGCAGTCGATCCTATTTGATCATAAAAACACGATCGAGTTTCGATACTTTTTTATCATATTTGATCAGATTTCGAAGTCGATCCTATTTGATCATGAAAACACGATTGAGTTTTGATAACATATTATCGAAACTCGATCGTGTTTTCATGATCAAATATGATCGACTACTAGGTTCTTGAAATTCTCGATCCTTTTTTATCATTCTCGATCAGATTTCGAAGTCGATCCTATTTGATCATAAAAACACGATCAAGTTTCGATCCTTTTTCGAACATTTTTGATAAGGTTTTCGTGGTCAAAAAGGATCGTTTCGATCCTGTTTTCATGATCAAATAGGATCGAGTTTCGATCCTTTTTGATCACGAAAACAGGATCGAAACTCGATCCTTTTTCGATAAATTTCCATAATGTTTCCATAATTAATTCTAAAATAAAAGATACAATTTTCAAAACATGAAAACTTTATTGGGCACTTTCAAAAAGATCGGATGACAACGATGATGATGATGAAATTCGTAATTATAATTACATTTCCTTATTATAAGAAAATGTAGTATTATGTACTACTTTTCATGCGCTACCTTATGGCAGTAGTATGAAAAGAGATACCCAAAAATGACTTATCCCCTTATTCCCCAAAACCACGGAATTATGATCCACTTAATATCAGAAACATAAAAACTTAATTTCAGCAAAATTAATGATACAAGGTATTGCGCCTAGGCCATCGATATATCGATTTTATTTTATTGGAACTTTTTTTAATTTAAATATATATATTTAAATTAAAAAAAGTTCCAATAAAATAAAATCTTGACATACTTGTCTAGGGAAATCTAGGGATTTTTTTGTAAAAAATCTGGGGAAATAAAAAAATATCATCTGGCAACCCTGTCTGTAATGTGTGCACGTGCTTGTCATGTTGGTTAGTGTTTTTTGTTATCGATTTTACGGTTTTACTGTGGGTTTTTCTTTACTATAATAATTAAAAATTCGATGAAAAGTACTGATTGCCATCAAACAAAAAAAACTTATAATTCCCGAGTTGCGGCAATTTTTTATGAATTTTGTTTTTTCGGCCCCTGAAAAGTAAGGTTATGTATACAAATTTTACTATGAATTTATTTGTTATAGGTAAATTTAAAGACAGCAAGATAGCAAGATGTCAATTAATTTAACCGCTGATGGACCATGTGCTTTTCTTAAATTTTGCGACACGGGGCACAAAAAAAGGGTGTTGCTGTCGGAAATTTCAAATTTCGATGCAAAAACTTTCTCTCGAAACAAGAAATACTTTATTGAACGTGAGGGAGCAACTGCGCAATGCGTTGTTTCTGTTTTTGCAAGTAAATAATTAATTTTTAGTCTTGATTATTGCAAATTGTATATAGTTATACAGGGTGATTCAGTTTTAACCTACCAGGGAAAAATGCTCCTCCCATTATCCTGATTCAGAAAAATATCACACATAAGTTGACAAAGAAAAAACGTTTTTTCGTCATATCTTCTATGAAAATGATAAAAATTAATCATAATTTTGTATACATACCTTTCATATGAAAGCCCTATTTTTGAAAATAAAAATTGTTAAAATTTGATACAACATTGGCGTGCAATGGGGCCACATCAAAATATAAAGAAAAAAAGTACGCCACTAACTAAGGTATTTTCGAGCACTACCTTCTTAAGGAAAGAAAAGTGGAAGAGTTGGTGGCCTCTGATGAACTCTCTAAAATGAAGAAATACCTCAGTCAAAAAATATATGAGCTAAAGCAAAACGAAAATACAAATCCAAAAAAAAAAATTAGAAAAATCGCCGGAGGAAAAAAGGTATGAATGAAAATTTGCAAGATTATTTTGCAAAAGTTAAAAAGACAATATTAAAATAGTAATATAAATATATTCCCCTAAAGGGACACTTTTTTTTGTTTTAGAAAAAGGATAAAAATTTCATCACCATCGTCATCCGATATTTTTGAAAACGAAAATGTCCAATAAATTTTTCATTTTTTGTAAATTGTATCTTTTATTTTAGAATTAATAATGGAAACCTTATGAAAAATGATCGAAAAAGGATCGAGTTGCAATCCTGTTTTCGTGATCAAAAAGGATATCGAACCTCGATCCTATTTAATCATGAAAACAGGATCGAAACTCAATCCTTTTTGATCACGAAAACAGGATCGAAACTCGATCCTTTTTCGATCATTTTTCATAAGGTTTCCATTATTAATTCTAAAATAAAAGATAATAATATTCCATAATAAGTAAAAGTAGTATTATATACAACTTTTCATACTCTTACCTTATGACAGTAGTCTGAAAATAGAGACCCAAAAATGACTTATCCCCTTATTCCCCGAAACCACGGAATTATTGTTGTGAATATTATTTTATAAAATATATGACTGTTATTATTATAATTACGAATTTCATAATCATCGTCGTCGTCATCCGATTTTTTTGAAATACAAAGTGCCCAATAAAGTTTTCAAGTTTTGTAAATTGTATCTTTTATTTTAGAATTAATTATGGAAACCTTATGAAAAATGATCGAAAAAGGATCGAGTTTCGATCCTGTTTTCGTGATCAAAAAGGATCGAGTTTCGATCCTGTTTTCGTGATCAAAAAGGATCGAAACTCGATCCTATTTGATCCAGAAAACAGGATCGAAACTCGATCCTTTTTGATCACGAAAACAGGAGACAAAATCCTTATCAAAAATGATCAAAAAGGATCGAGATTTAAACTCGATCCATTTTCGATCAGTTTTTTTCAGCAGGGAAGATCTTCATATGTTAATGTTTTCTCTAAAAAGTTTGATCTTTTCTTACGTACATATGAAGATCTGAAATGTTTACCAAATTTTAAAGAATTTTATAGCAGATATCCTCGCTGAATCTCTGCTATCTTTTAAGATTTTTTAAGTACACTATATCTCTTAGGTGTTTTTTTCTGACCCCTTTAAATATAGGTATTTGATCCTGTAAAATCCATGAAAAAATAAATAAAAACGGTAAGTGCAAAAAAAAAATATTTTTGACGTTAAAATCGAATAGGATACAGCCAGCTGAGTGCGCGTTTGAATGCGCGTTGTGTGCGAATATTCTACATTAAAGTTAGTTAAAAGTAAACCGCTGCGATGGAAAGAGTTTTAAAACGCGTTGGTCTATCGAAAAAAACACAGTCAGACAAAGTCGAAGAACAACAACAAACCACAGAAGACAACGTCAAAAAACGTCGTAAACGCCGCAGCAAATCCCGTCGCCGATCCACTCAGGAAAAAAGAAAATCCAGAGGATTATTTAATATCGATTGGGAATCTGTAAAAGATTGCAAATCCTGCAAATCGCGGGCCATCACAAGGAGATTTTGTAGCAAAAGATGTGATAACGAACTCTATAGGTCTAATAGCTTTAAATTTGAAAGGTTCATTAGGGGCCAAGAAGAAGTTACAACCCTTGGAAAAAAGGTATGAGGAACCAATTTAACAAAACTAACTTCCCACCGAATATAAGGATCGCATCTTACAAATTTTATTTAGTCCCATCATACACAAAATATTACAGCTACTTTTCAGGTTTTTACGTTAAAATACCGGTAATTTGATTAACATGTTACACCGCGAATAAAACATGTCCAAATTACTGTGTTACCCAAATTACTGACCTACACCAACTTTTTTTTATATTTATATATTTGTGTATATATATATATAAACATATATATATACATATATAATTTTTTAATTAATAAACGAGTTCAATTGACTAATTGACTCGTTTTGTGTCAAAAGGCGCAAAAAGTGTTTCCCCGTCAGACGGTCTCCCTCTAGTGACTGATAAAACGGAAAGTGCAGCCTCGCGCGCATAGAGAATCGATTGGGGACGTTTTTCCGCTGGCGCGCGGCGCACGCGCGGATTTTCCGCCGCGATTGGACCAATCTGATGTCACAGAATTCTTGATTCTGTAAATAGCTGATGACTCATCTGCTCTATACAGTATTTCCCCGATTTTCACTGTACGTTTCTCTAATATTTTTGTTGTTGTGATCCTTTAATTGTAAGCATTATAACTTATTGTTCGGTGCGTGTGTTTTTTAAGTGTTTTATGTATATTTTAGGTGTCTTTATGCGACGATTATATACTGCCTATAGATCACCTCGATAAAATCAAAGCTTTATCTGCATCGGTTACAAATTTTGTTGAATCCAGTCCGAACGATGATAAGGTGAGTTTTTATTTGTTTTTTTTAAGAGCATGCTCAAATCGAAAGCCTTTGGATTAAGTGCGAATATATCGTTTATTTTAATAAATGGCCCTTCTTTATCATATTCCCTTTCCTCTATCATTCGCGGCTTTACCGCACTCTCTTTATTAAATTCACAAACGATTTATCGCCTTACATCCAATTCAGACAAGCGTTTACACGGAAAATTATAATTTTTCCGAGCGATTTTTGAAAAGTTGCAATAATGGCGAATGCGCCGGGATAAATCGTTCAATATTCGGAGATTGCTAGATATAATTTGTATCAAACAAAAAAAATGTATACTAATTTTAAGATATTTGTTAGATACAATTTGTAGGTATCTAACAAAACAATTTTTTTACTAATTTCAAGATATTGCATAACACCGTCTTTTTCGACAAATTTGTACACAAAAATAGTAAGGCATTTATTAATTAATTGTTGTTTAAAGAATTTTAAAAAAGTCTCACATTAATTAAATTAATAATAAAGGTTTTATTGTTTGAGCAATTTCGGAAAATCTGCAAAAATGGTGAATGCGCCGGGATATGCCCTTTAACTATAATATATAATATCGCTTAAAACAGATGTATTAGGAACATTTTTTAATAAATTAAAATTATAATAATAGCATTTTATCTATTTTTATGTGTTTGTATCTACCACATTGTAAAGAAAAGCATTGTTTGCGCTTTTATTAAATAGTTAAAAAAAATTACATAAAAGTTGTATATATTAAACTAAAAATTACAAAAAAATATTTTTTAAAATACGATCATAAATAACGGAGAAAAAAAGGTCAATAATTCGAAAACAAAAGCTCAAATAATAGTTATTTATGTATCAAGGCGTATTTTTTATCACGAATGTGGAAATTATTTGCAGAGGCGAAAGCCGAGGCAAATAACCACGTGAGTGATAAAAAATGACTTTAATGCCGAGGTGCATATTAAATTTTATCCAAAATCACATTTAATAATACTAATAATTAATTAATATTGATGATGAAATCAAATGTCATTTGAAGATCAAATCAAATGTCATTTGAATGTAGGAAGTGTCTAAGTATACTGTTTGTTTCGACGGTTATGATATATTTGCCCGCCGGGGCGATTTTTTAATCTAATTAATAAAATTAACTTATTATTTTTATTAAAGAACATTTTTTGAAAGGGTCCAATCGACCTCTGCGACGGTGCTTTTTTTAAATATTATTTAGTTGCTGCTGAGTAGCAGTAGACACATCTTAAAATGTATAATGGGTTGCATACAATACTCGTATTCAATCGGCAGTAAAATTCTACTTTACTGCCGATTTCGGATAAAAAATATTTATTTGAAAAAAGTGTTATTCTCGATGAGATCTACAATATATCGAATTATAGACCTTTTTTTGTTTTTACATAAACCTATCTATCTTTGTTGGATGATATTTTTGATAAAAATGTTTTATACAAAAATTGTAAATATTAAACTAACAATTTAAAAAAACTTTGAATAGCGATCATAAATAACGAAGATAAAAAAGTTAATGCAAAAGCAAAAAAGGTTGAAAATTCGAAAACAAAAGCTCAACTGAAAAATATTTATTTGATAAAAGTTTTATTCTCCATTTGGAGTAGAAAAACTCTATCGAATTATAGACATTCTAAATTGATAATAATCGATTAATAATTAAAATAGTTTCAAAAGTGTTTGAAATTTTCGTTAATTTCAGGTTAAAATATTAGAAACGTATTCAAGTCCTCGCGACCAAAGGACCTTTAATAACGAAGAAAATGAAAGTAAATGTTTTACAAGTCCAGATAGAGAATATTCTCAGCCTTATACAACAGGTTATTATTTCAAATCAATTCTTATTTGATGACATATAAATAAGTATTTAATATGTTTTAGATGGTTCATCAGAGCCTTCTTCAGATGAAATATTCTTTGAGAACCCAGTATCTTTAATAAACCCTCTAGAATTAACTTCGCCAAACAGTATAAACGAATGTGTCTTTCCACAACAGCAATTAGATGTACCAAAGTCCCCAGTAAAAGAGTTAAACCGCCATCCTTCTCCGTACTACTACGGAGACTTATTTAAGAACAAAACCGTTGAATCGCCAGCGAAAAGCCAACAATTCTCCAAGTGCAATAAAAGTTTAAGTTTAGACAAACCGCTCGAATCATCAAAACCGCAAAATCAAAAACGCAAAACGCTAACAAAAAAACAGCGAAAAAGCTCAAGCACCGACAACATCAACCTAGAAAGAATCCGAGCCAAAAGCCAAAAGTATACAAACACAAAAAGTTCCAGCGTCGATTCGCAAAGCTCCGCCGAGAACTGCAACAATTCTAAAACACGGAATAATAAAGACTTTCGTTTAATCAAAGATGAGTTAGATAACGACATGACCAGGCAACGGCATATTTACGAAACTGCATTCGATTGCGCAATCAGCAAGTCCGACGATGATCTCGATGAAATCGACAAAATTTCCAACCATCCAGTGCTTTTGCAAGCCAGCGAATCCAAATCGACCCTGGCAGCTAGCAAATGCGAACGCACCCAAGATATCATCACCGATCTATCACAAAATCTACAGGTAAAGTACATTCGTAATTAATTCGTTGGCCGAGTGACACTTTGGCATGCAATTCGGCACGAAATTTACCATTCACAATAACTTCAGATTCGAATTTAATGCATGCGCGTTGGCAACTTTCACTTTCTTTGTGAGGTTAGAGTTTTGAATATTTTGTTTTTGTTTACCTAGTGCTATTTGTTAAATGCAAAAATGGACAACACTCAATCAATTAGTGATAATATTTTATTACAATGTGTTTCAAACTACAAATTACTGTAATGTCATCTTCATTTATTTTGTTTTTAATAAATCACTTTGGTTTATTTTAAAAAAGCAAACCATCATAACAAAAGCAATGCGCATGTCACACTGGATGCTTCCGTGGACGAGTTTTGGTTCGTGCCGCGCATGACGTCACTTGATGAGTAGTTGCCGTGCGAATACACGAATAATGGTAATATTATCAAAGAAAATAGAGAAATATCTGGACATAGTGCGTTTTAATTAAACTTAATATTGAAAAAAGTGTATGGATAATATGAATGCTTTCAGTCCTTGATAACATTTAGGGCTGTTGTTTAAGAGTTGGTGTTTTAAATTAAACTTATAGTCACTGTCAAGAAGATGTTTAGAGGAAACAGAAGCGGTCTTAACGTTAATATTTTCTATTCTTTTTGTGGCATTTAACCCCTGTTTGCACAAATCAAAGTTTTTCGGGAATCGATGAAATTTAATGTTTTTCTTGGACTGGTTGTCCGAATTTCATCCAAATATGCCACATCGCATTTTAATAAATGCAAATGGCACGACACAAACTAAAACACAAACAAAACAGGTTTACGCAACACAAAAACAATAATAAACAAACAGAACTGGTTAACACAACGCAATAACAATAATTTGAACACTGAAAAGTAATTCGTACCTTACCGAACGCAAAAACAACAAGTTATACTTAAAAATAGAGCAAGAACATCCAACAGCATCACCAAAGAAGAATTTTAGCAGCAGATAATTAAAACGCACGTTCAAGATTTAAAAATACTCAACAAGTGACGTATTTAAGCCCCGCCCAACATGCGCACCATCCTATCTTAAGGTGTATGTATCTTGGGATGCTCCCGTGGACGAGTTTTGGTTCGTGCCGCGCATGACGTCACTTGATGAGTAGTTGCCGTGCGAATACACGAATAATAGTAATATTATCAAACAAAATAGAGAAATGTCTGGACATAGTGCGTTTTTATTAAACTTAATATTGAAAAAATAATAAATTAATATATAGTCACTGTCCAGAAAATGTTTAGAGGAAACAGAAGCGGTCTTAACGATAATATTGTCTATTCTTTTTGTGGCATTTAACCACTGTTTGCACAAATCAAAGTTTTTCGGGAATCGATTAAATTTAATGTTTTCATTTAAAGGGTTTTTCTTGGATTGGTTGTCCGAATTCATCCAATATGCCACATCGCATTTTAATAAATGGAAATGGCACGACACAAACTAAAACACAAACAAAACAAGTTAACGCAACACAAAAACAAAAATAAACAAACAGAACAGGTTACACAACGCAATAACAATAATTTGAACACTGAAAAGTAATTCGTGCCTTACCGAACGCAAAAACAACAAGTTAAACTTAAAAATAGAGCAAGAACATCCAACAGCATCACCAAAGAAGAATTTTAGCAGCAGATAATTAAAACGCACGTTCAAGATTTAAAAATACTCAACAAGTGACGTATTTTAGCCCCGCCCAACATGCGCACCATCCTATCTTTACTATCATTACCAAAAAACTGTTTGACTATTTATAATAAAACTCCCTTCCAGGACATGCATCTTCCGGCCGAAGTGTCATCCAAACTCCCTGACAGCAGCTCCATGCCTCTGCGATGCTACACGCCGTCACCTCCGTCCACAGCACCCCTGCCGAACAAGTTCCACGGCAAGTTGTTGTCGAACAGCATCAAAAGCGCCCCGAACCTGCCTTCGCATCAAAAATCCCGCAAGTCGTTGCACCATTCCGCCAAATCGCTGGGCAGCCGTTCAGCGAACGAGTCCAGCAATGAAATGCAAACGTCAAGCTCTCTGGGTTTGGACTTCGCCAGCACAAATCAGTTTATAGCTGAATTCAAGGGCCGGCCGAGTCACTCCAAGGATAACGTGCAGTTGAACAGAGTTTTCCAGATTAAGGACAGGCCGCCGCGAAAAGATTTTCGGCGTAAAGATAAAAAAGACAAAATCCATCGGCATAAATATTCTAGCACTGAAAGTATAACCAGCAGTAGCTGCGGCAGCATGGAAAGCATTAAGAGCAGCACTAGTGAAGGTAATAGAAGTACGTCTAGCTCTGAGAGTCGGCAATCTTCCTCGCTGAGCTCTCACAGCTCTGATTCAGGCCGAAACAGCAAGTATTCAGTATCGCAGAGTTCCAACTTTTTGACGCATAACAATAAGTTGCATATATTAAGCCCCATATCAGATAAATCATCCCAGGAACCGATATCAGAAACATCCGATAACAACCGTAACAACAACTCTGAAAAATGTTCACCTGAAGACGTAAATCTAACTCCACCGGAAGTAACAACAAAAATAAAGCGTAGAGTCCCGCAAAATCGGAATCTGTTGAATCTGGGCTTTCACACCGAAATCCAGGGCTCCGATAGCGGCATTTCGATACAATCGCGTTTTGGGTTCAACTCGGAATTGTCCGGAGCTCCGAGCCAGCAAGATTTCTCAGATTTACCGTTCGATATGCCCAAACTGCGCAGACGCAGGTTGTTATCGCAGGACCCGTGCACTTCCAGCAGCGCCACCTCTGTGGATTTAAGAGACTTGCCCTTCGACATGCCTAAATTACGTAGACGACTCAGAGTGCAAGACTCGGCCGCTTCGTCAAGCCAAAGCGTCGTGGAGACTGAAAGACCTGGATCATTTGCTCCAAAATTAACTTTGAATCTAAACGACATGCCTGTTTGTCAGCGCTCAGGTTTAGGCTTGTCGCTAGGTTTGGGGTTGAATTTTAACACCGCCAAGAATCCTGCGAGCGAGATTATCATTGATAAAAGACCGCTGGAGAAACAGGGGTATGTTAAAATAAACACTGTTCACTTAAGGGTTGATTTTCTTTGCTTTTTTTTAGGTGGTTTCATGGCTCTATAGGCCGTCACGAGGCTGAAACGGTACTGAAAGACTTAAAGGAGGGGAGTTTTCTTGTGAGGAATAGCGAATCGTCTAAACACGATTTTTCGCTATCTTTAAAGTAAGTTATTTTTAGGGTCGTTTCAAGGTGGATAATTGATGTTTTTTAGGAGTGCCAAAGGTTTTATGCATATGAAAATTCAAAAGGACGGTTCAGATGGTTGTTTTGTATTGGGTCAGTTTAGCCAGCCTTTCACATCAGTTCCTGAAATGATCAAACATTTTTCTCTAAATCGTTTGCCGATCAGAGGGGCCGAGCATATGTGTCTTCTGCAACCTGTAATGGCCCAACTTTTGTGATAAATTAAAGTTATTGGTAATAGTCCATTATATATCTATAGAATACAACCCACCATGGTGCATATACTAATTGAACTTTTTTTCAGATATTGGAAACCATAATAATTAAACTAGGCAGAATGGTAGACTAAGTCTTATCAATAGTAATTTTAAAAATGTAGACGATAGAAAATTTTCTATTTAACAGTTGTTACATAGTGTTAGATTCAAAATTATGTATTTAGTGTGTATATATGTAAATACATTTTTACACAGATAAAAATTGAGACAAAACCTATTGTAAATACCCAAGTATATTTTTATAAATGTTATATTTCTCTGTATGGGTATAAAATAATGTACACTTGGCTTCCATTTTTAGAATATCTCATACAATAAGTTCACTTTTAACCAGAAATATCCATAATATTAAGGTTTTAAACTAAATGGATAATTATTGTGTTATGGTTTTTAATTTTGAGAAAATTGTGTAAGGCAGATAGGTCCTTCAAAATTATTAAAATTTTAACAATTAATAATGTTGTTTTATTGTTTCCCTTTAAATAATGAACAAATCTATTAGGTACAATTTTATATTATTTATTTAACTCAAAAGATATTTTTATCCATTTGATGTACACTTATATATATTTACACGTGTATTTCTTAAAATATAAAACCATAAATAGTAATATAAAAGTCTGTTACTTTCAATTTAAAAACATATATAAAAGTGCTTTTGTAATGAATACAAAAATAACTGAAAAATATATAGATTTGAAATTACAACAAATTTTGCTTATTGTTTACTTTTCATGTATAAACATATACAACAGCACTTTTGTAATAAATACAAAAATAATATATAGATTTAAAATTACATCAACTTTGCCAGTGTTATAAGAATGGTTAAATTTCACTTAAATAATTAATTTGACTAAGTGCTTGGGAAAATTAAGATATTGAACAGTTTGATTTCTCACTTATATTGCCATCAGCTTTCTCTATTTCAGTCACCAACAATTGGAAAATATCCGAAACAGACTAAAAAAAGAAATTCAGAAGAAATATTTTTAAAGGGACAAAAAATCTTACAGCATTTTGTTTGGCAGATGTTTCCAAAAAAATGGCTCTCCATTCATCAGCCAACCGTTTTCCCTCATCTGCTGTTATTGTTCTTTCCATGTGCAAATCAGTTTTGTTGCCAACTAATACCACAGGTACACTAAAAAAATATTTACCATCACATTAAATTATAAAAATATATTTTTTATGAAATGGAAACGCCCATAAATATTAATCCACTTAGGTATATCATATTTGATTAATCTCTTTTTCCTTTGAAAACAATTCAATGTAAAACACATGTTTTATCATGACCTTGCTTTATGTGACCTTAATTTTATAATAATTATTATCTACTCACTGTGATTTTCCTGTTATATCCAATAACTTTTCATGTATTGTTTTGACTACTTCGAATGATTTTAAGCTTGTAATACTGTATACCAAGACATAACCATGCACATTTATGCTATATTGTGATGGAAATATGGAGTATTCATCATGACCAGCTGTATCAACTACTTTCAATTCATAATCTTGAGAATTAATTCTTATTGTTTTTGTAAATACTAAAAACAAACTATTTACCCCCAAACAAAATTATATTTAAAAACTTACTGTTTTCTATTGTTGGATCATAGGAATCAACAAACTGTCCTTCTACGAACTGTATACTCAATGAAGATTTGCCTAGAACACAATTTGGTTAATCTACCACCCCTTAAAAAACAAATACAACACTTACCAACAGACCTGTACCCCATAATAGCAATTTTACGTTGTTTAGGAGGCATTTTTTATGATATTAATATGTTTTTATCACAGTTTATCACGTTTACCAAAACTCCACACTACAAACCCAATTTATATTCAAAGCAATTTACATTGATTTTTATAAATTCTCTGAACATCCCAGTTCTAGGAATTTATCTTTCTTGAAAGAAAATGTCTTTATTTTGACATAAACCAAAAGAAAATTAATGCGCAGTTAACTTCACGCAACTCGAAACTACACACAAGACTTCGATAATTGACACACTTCAATAATAAAGGCACGTCTTCTATGTTTCCTTATACTTCTTTTTAAAATAACTTCACTAACCAATTTTAATTGGAAAATTCGTCGCAATTGCCGTGAAATTCCCAATTTCGTGAACTTTGAAGTTGACAGATCGACCTTGTTTTGGCAGTACTGACAACCAAAGCAGAGATAAAGAACCAAAGAACTCCTTTGCTGACAACCGCTCCCACCAACCCTAAAACAAAAAATATTAACTTAATTGTTTTAAGAAGCTGTTTTAAAAACCGTTTTTTTTAATATAATTGAAATAAAACACATTTAGAAATTATTAATAATAAGTGATATCTTTGTTTCGAATAAAATTTTACAGGTTAACAAATTTAAATAGGTGTTGTATTAGTTGCATAATACACTCCAAAAATTGTTTTTAATAAAAATGATAATAATAATAATAATTATTTACGAACCACCCCAACTGTTATAGCCTAATAATATTTATTTTAGTTTTTTAGTTGGTTATTTTAATATTTATAAATTTATTTTAATTGCTATTAAGTGATACCTACCTATTTACAAAGAAAAAGAGAGAATATATTTTTTAAATTTCTTTTAAATGGCTTAAGAAAAAAAAGTTAGTTTAAATAAAAAAATAATTAAATATTAGTTATTGTTGATAATAAAAATTCTGGTAAAAACTGTGTATTGCATAAATTATGAATGACTAACGGTAAATAGTGGATTATCAACAATGAAGATAAGAGTGACAGTTAATTTTGGTTTAAAATTTGAATGTTGCGCGCAAAGTTAAGAGCGGAGCGTGCGCGTTATATAGAATAGTATTTTTAACAAACATTTTTTGTACACCTACATAATATTTTTTTATATAAACTGCAAATTATGTACATTTAACATAAATTTAGTGCTTTAAATAATAATATTGGTATGGGAAACAAGTTTTATATTGATTTTTAAATCACCCGCCACAGGAACGAATAATAAACACGCCTACCCCAAACGCCGGCCAATCACCGTCTAGTGCTTTTTAGTGTCTGTAATGTGTATCGGTTGCTAGAGCACATAAAACGTTAAAATTTTACTGTATATACGTATTATTTATATTTATTTATTTTAATTGTACTTAGTTGAATATAGTTGCGATCTAACACACCAAATATTAATGATGGATAAACAGGATATATTACAAGTGGGAACCAGCATCAACATAAAAAGGACTGACGGTAAGTCCATAATAAAAAAAGTTATTTTTTACAACAATCGATATTAGTTTATTTTTAAAGGATTTTGATTTTACGGTTTACATGCTTTAAATTTGCTGGATGTTGTTAATAACGGGTGTTTTTATTGATAGGATAATAAGTAGTATTAATTTGTACAACTGATGGTAGCTATTTAGTTGTCTGTTAATTTGTGTGCCGGAATGAAGTGTTTTTCAATTGGAGTCAAAGACATCACTCGAAAATGTTTATTTTTTGACATAAACCACATATGCTTTGTAACTGTCAAATAGCTGCTCTAATTGGAGGAGTTAACCTAAGAAATATGGCATAAAATTTGATATGTTTATGTGAACTTCCGGCTGTCTAAAAAAATCGTGGGACAGTTAATTTATTCGTATCATTTTTATGTGTATTATGTTAAATTTACAATGTCAACACAACCATCAGGGTTGGTATAAAATAAAAGAGCATTGGTTTCGCCAAAAAAGGCAAAAATCATTCCAGTAAATGTTAATTAATTTTACAAAATCCTTATGAACTTGTCTTTGACTATGACTCACCTGTATATAGAAAGTAAATATTGATACTGTGATAGTGGGCGCTTAATTTATGTCTACTATTGTATTTTTTATTTCGTTAATTTTGTTTCTATCCACCCCCAATAGTTGTTCCATTATTGATACAATCTCGTTATTTTCGCAATATACCGGATGACTTAAAGAATCCCATTGCTAACAATGCTAAGGCTGAGTGTTGCAACTTTAATTTTCATTATTTATTTATAAAATTTAATCCAAGTCTAAGCAGTTTTTTATTGATTTTCTCCTTAATCGCCTGGTAAAAATTTTAAATAGTTCTTTGAGTATCTAAATATACAGCATTTATTTATATAAGGTCTATCATTGTACTATGCAAGTATTTTTAGATGCAACTTTAAAGGTATTCGATCTGCTGTACACGCTGTAATTTCTCCATCAATTAATTAACATTTTGAATTGATTAAAACCGCGAAATTTATCGGGATTACGATGACGTAAACTTATTATGATGGGACCATATATGGACACTATATAGGCAAGGTCGTATTACCTGATTCAAATAAAAACAGGGCCACGCCATACAGTTTATCTATGGGTTTTAAACAAAAAAACGAATTATATAATATATATATATATTATATAGGTATACATATTATGCAGTTATTTTTTATAATATGAACACTTCAAGGTCACACCTGTCAAAGCAGTGCATTGTTTTTAACGGAATTTTCGTTTGGTATAGGTTGTTTCTTAGATTATTTTTACCTTGGCCTTGAATTGGCGTTTTTAGAAAAATTCAAGGTCACAAATGCCAATTGCAAACGTTGACGTTTTCTTAAATTTCAGGTCATGTACATGGAACCTACACAAGGAGTACAAACTTTATAGGAGAAATTAACAAAACTTGCCCACTAAATCGCACAAATTAGGTTTTCTTTTTTTTACCATGTCAATACTGCTGTTTCGGTACAAACAAATAAACGGAACACCAGCCCCCTCTTTGTATAAAAATAATATCTATAAGCCTATAGTATAAGGTTATCTATCTGTCATTTTAACGCTAATTTAGGCTTATTTTCTAAAAATAATAAAATGGATGTATTTTTTGCTAATGAAGGTAATTTTGATAATAAAAAAAGACAAATTTTGATTTTTTATTGTTTTTAGAAAATAAAGCAAAATTTGGAAATAATTGAGGTTACGTATATGTATTTTTTTTTTAATAATACAATTTACAAATGTATTTTTTTGTATGTAATTGTTTTGTTTTAAAAAAATAAAACGAAATTAGCGTTAAAATTACAGATACATAACCTCAATTATTTGACTGAAATCCTTGAAACAAATGTCAAAGTGCGGCTTTTTAATGTGGAGCATAGTACATGTCAGGATTTGACAGTTTTTGTACAAAAAATAATATATTGATTAAAAGGTTCTACAGGTTCATTTTTTAGACCGTCTTTCTAAAATCTTTTTGAATCTGGATTTCTTATTTTGTTGATTTTAGATGGGTGTCTCATTTATATGAACCAAAGAGTTTTTAAGCTATAAACATTTTTCTTTGTATATATTTATATATCTGAATTAAATAAAAACAGTCGGTATTTTCTGTTACTAAAATGTTACAATTTTTAATTTTAATTCAGTTAAAGTTAGTACTATATAAAACTTTAATAAAGTGTAGAGCATCGTTTCTCAACCCCTCCAATATTATTTATTTCCACATTGACAAGCTGTGACTTTATGGAGTTTTTAGTCACGGGCTGAAGTTAGCAATAGTTTATTATAAATTGGGAAAAAATGAGGTTATATCCGTGTGACAGTTGTCAGATGTCAAACTTTTTGATTATTTAGTTGGTTTAGAAAATATCGATATTTGTAAATTTTTTGATTCATCAAAAAAGCAATCGATATATATTTATATATATTTAAGTATAAATTCTGTTATTTCAAATAAATTAATGTTTTTCGAATAAAATCAAGATAAAAATATAAGCTGATCAGCTGTTAATTTGGTGTGAAATACTCCAGCCAGTGTCGCCAACACTTTTTTTCCTCTAAAAATTGTATGCCATTTTCAAGCGCATTTTTTTATACATATACATATTAATAAAGTCCTAAACATTTTTCTCCCCAAAAAACACAAGCAGTTTTTCTCCCTAGATTTAGGGGAAAACCCCTAAGTTGACCACATTGATTCGACAATTCAAATGCTCGGTAGGAATAAACCTTATATTATATATTACTTACTTATATAATATAAAACCTATAAACAAGATATGTTTATACATAAAACTCGCTATTTTTGAGTTCTGAAAATCTAGTACTTTTTTTAACTAAAAACCAGGACTACTTAAAACTAAATTCTGGCAATCCTGGTCGCAACAGTAAAAAGATTAAAAAACGATGGTGTTAATTAAGTACGACCTTGAAATTTTGGGGACAGAAAAAATCGACTTTAAATTTTACTTAAAAGATATTTTTTATTTACAGGCCGCGTTCATTCGGCCATAGTAGCTGGAATAAATAATGATATGCGATGTGCTACAGTGGAGTGGTTCGAGCAGGGCGAGACGAAAGGAAAAGAAATTGACATGTCAGTCATAGCAAATTTAAATCCAGAAATATTAATACCGCAGCCGGGAGAGACAGTTCAACCGGATCGAATCATACCGACAGACAGACAAACAGAATTTCACAATTTAGCTAGGGTTAGTAACCGAGCAACACCCTGTATACCTGTATTGTTGTTTTTGCGTCGAGTAAAAAAACTCGACAACTTTATTGCCAGTATTATTTAGGTATTAATCGTTTGGTGTACAATGTCTATTACAACAAGAAGGCGCTCCATTTCGACGCCTTCAGAATTTTTAAACTCTTTAATACCATCCAAGGCTATTTGTAAGGTAAAATAGTGTAAATGCAGTTATTGATTATTTTCCCATTTTGTGTACATTGCCAGGTTAGCAAGAAAGATTGCATTCAAAGATAATGCTCCTCTTTGATTCACGATCTTAAATCAGGTCAATGTCAATTTTATTAGATCAATATATCAAAAAATATATCTTCCAGGATTGAATGTTGCATTTACAAGCCAATGACTTGTGTTTATTATATTTTAATAACTATTCCACAGCAATTGGTGCCTGGCACCTCATGAAAAGCCTTAATTATCCTTATTGAATAAGTGTATTGATTAAAATACTTAACTAATTTTTAATTTTGCGCTACATATCAAAGCGAAAACATGTATTACACTAAACTTAAGGTAGAGCCGAGTTGCTTAAAATTTTCAGTAAGAATAATTTTAAAATTTTCATTTATGCTGCTTGTAAAGGATTCGTCTGCTTCTTCGGAGGAAGAGACTAGCGCCGCGATGGCGCAGTCGGGAAGATACAGTCACAAAATCGACGAAAGTGACGACGATTTTAACTCTAACCAATTTTCGCCGGAGTCGGCCACCCTATCGGTATAAATCATACTAAAAAAAAATTTAATTTATTTTTTATGTGCCTATTATAATTAATTTTTGTGATTTCTAGAACCCGACAAGGCAGTCTATATCGAGCTCCAGAGCAAACAATGGCATTTCGCGAAGTTACAATCCTAGGGCCACACTTTTGCCCAACAACGGACACACACTACCATCCAATGAAGTTATCCAATCAAGAACTGAAACCAACATACCCACCAGCAGGTCAACCAGTTTAGCAGTACAGGTAACAAAACAAATAAATATAAAGTGATTTTTTCATAAACCAAAAACCTTAGAAATCAAGACAGAGTAATGTAGTGAAGGAAGTAGAAAAACTAAAGAAAAACCGCGAAGAAAGGCGACAAAGGCAAGCAGAAGAAAAAGCTGAGAAAGAAGCATTTTTACAACTTGCCCCTGGAAACCCTCATTGGGAACTTCTAAACATGATCATGTAAGTTACATCAATAGTTATTTATGTATCAAGGCAGTAAAGTCGTATTTTTTATCACGAATGTGGAAATTATTATAACCATGTGAGTGATAAAAAATGACTTTATCTACTCCCACCTTTAAAACGCCCTTTATTGTACATGTTTTCATGACACTAAGTGACCTTTTAAATACACATTGACAAGTTGTGGCTTTATGGCGCTTTAGTCACGGGCTGAAGTTAGTTTTAAGTTAGTTGACAGTTGTCAAATGTCATACAATCGTTAAAATAAAGTGCCTTTCTTGTAAAATAATACTAAATGTGAAAATTATTTTATTATCTAAATACAAAAATGCAAAAGTATTAAATTGTTTCTCAACGCCAATATTTGAAAAGTTTATATGAACATTGTACTGACCTTTTAATTTCGCCGGCAGTAAACTATAACTTAAATTCGGGCACGGACTCCACTGTAAAGTCCTCATAAAACATTTTCTTCACTTTCACTGTGAAAAACTGTCAATTTTCAAGAAATATATTTCGATTTATGACCTTTATAATCTGTTATAAAATGTAAAAATGTGACATTTGACGGTGACACACAGATTCCCCTATTGTTTAATAGATGGCGCTCTATACAAATTTTTGATTTAAATCCTTTTAAGATAATAATAAGTATTTGTTGTAGAAAAAGTATAGTATGCACCTCGTTTATAAACTTTTCTAAACACTCATCAATTTAAGCACTCGCTCGCAAGCTCGCTCGTGCATAAATTAAATTCTTGTATAAAATGGCGTTTATCAAACTTGATACATAATATACTATTAATGCCGAGGTGCATATTAAATTTTATCCGAAATCACAATTAATAATACTAATAATTAATATTGATAATTAAATCAAATGTCATTTGATGATCAAATCAAATGTCATTTGAATGTAGGAAGTGTGTACGTATACTGTTTATTGCGACGGATATTATATATTTGCACGCCGCGGCGATTTTTTTATCTAATTAATAAAATTAACTTATTATTTTTACAACATTTAGGCAATTCATTTAACTCTCCGTATAAGTTAAATTAACAGTCTTACTCTCGGTTGAATTATCTTTGTATTGAAGTAATAAGATTAAAATGTTAATCTTGCCATTTTAGAATAATTAAGTACTAAGATATGTTGACTCAATATTCTAAGTTTAAGGCAAAATACAAATGAACATGGCTTCAATAATTTTACAAATTCTTTTAATTTTTGTGTGTGTATCCATTTAACTAATAGAAAAATGATTTAATCAAATTTCTTAACAATATTTGTTTAATATTCGTTTAGTGTTGATATACTGATTTAAATAACATTTTTAATTTGACATTCTCAAAATATTAATTGAATGTAAAATTTAAGTTTATGTCAACAAAATGTTTATTGTTTTAATATCAAAATTATAAGATAAAAATGAGGTATACATTTTTTCATTGTAGTTTTTATTTTTTAATAAATTAATGACATATTTGATGGGGTGGCGCCAAATGAACGTTATACTTATATAATTTGTACTTTAAAATAAAAAGTCAAAAAATTAGACTATAAAATTTGTTTTGTTATAGGGATTATCGGCGTGGTTTAGAGATTAAACCGCTGTCAGAAAACGATGTTATAGAAGACCACCTTATAACGGTGTGCGTACGAAAAAGACCTCTGAATAAAAAAGAAATAGGAAAAAAGGAAGTGGACGTTATAACCGTACCAAGTAAAAATCAACTGATTGTCCACGAACCGAAGAACAAAGTGGACTTGACGAAATACCTCGAGAACCAGCTGTTCCGATTCGATTACGCGTTCGATGAAACCTGCTCGAACGAAATGGTGTACAGGTATACCGCGCAACCATTAATAAAAACCATCTTCGAGGGCGGTTTCGCGACGTGTTTCGCCTACGGGCAGACCGGCTCCGGCAAAACGCACACGATGGGCGGCGATTTCAACGGCAAAACTCAAGACTGCCAAAAAGGCATCTACGCCATGGCGGCGGCGGACGTTTTCAAACTGGCCAACTCGTCGAAGTACCGCCACTTGAACCTCGTCGTCTCCTCGAGCTTCTTCGAAATTTACTCCGGCAAGGTTTTCGATTTGCTCAACAACAAGACCAAACTGAGAATCTTGGAGGATGGCAAGCAGCAAGTTCAAGTGGTCGGGCTGACGGAAAAAGTCGTCAGCTCCACCGATGAAGTGCTGAAACTGATCCAGAAGGGCAACCAAGCGCGCACGTCCGGCCAGACGTTCGCCAACTCGAACTCGTCCAGATCGCACGCCGTTTTTCAAATCTATCTCAGATCGCACAGCAATCTGCAAAAAATACACGGCAAGTTTTCTCTCATCGATTTGGCCGGCAACGAAAGAGGAGCTGACACCTCCTCAGCAAACCGACAAACCAGTAAGTCAACTTCTATTACTCACGTTTTACTAACCGTTTTAACATTTATTTAATAATAAAATAATATATATTTATCTATCTATCTATTTCAAACCTGAAGTTATTACATATGGGTCATTTTCATTTACATTCACATTTAAAGAAGAAAAACTAAAAACAAAAACTGTTTTTTTTTCAAATTTAACACCTAAAAGTGGGCAGTTGGATTTTGTTAAATAATCCCTTAAAAAAGAAAAAAGAAAAAAATGGTCCCCTGGGTCACAAATTTACTAATACATATATTAAAAAAACTTATATAAAAATATTTATTTTTGAAAATATATTTTTTTGCTTGTTAATAATTCTTTTAAGGGTTTATTTACACTAGGAATGGTTTAAAAAAAGAACATAAATTTATTATTTATAAAAAAATGTTAAGTACAAAACTAAGTAAAAGCAATAACTATGTTCTATTTCTCAACTTTCTTACATATTATGTACATATGTAAGTAGAGATGTAAAAAAACGGTTTTTTTTAGATGTGAAAAAACTAACAAAAAATTGTTTTTTTTAAATCCGCTGCAATAAAGCATATTCTATCAATAAATAACATCAATAATAAAAAATAGACTAATTTTTCAAAATGAAATTTTGAATAAAATGTAATGTAATAAAGTGAAATGTAGAATATACAGTAGTGGCCATAATTAGAGCAACCACTGTAAAAAAAATCTAACTCCAAAACGCCTTTATTAATCTTTAAGAAATTTTGGATAAAAATACTTCAACTTATATTTCAGTTTACGTTTTTGAGGGTTTTTTTGAGAAAATATTTTTAAAGCCCATTTTTTTAATATTAAAAAAACGTTTGAAAAATAACTTTTAGGGATTTTTTTTTTCAAGTAAATAAAAAATATGCTGTTAAAGACCGTATTTTTGTTATATATACTATTTTGTACAAATCAAATGAACAGTAACGAAGATACATCGCTTCAAAGTCGGTAAAAATGCCCCCTTTTTGATTATTTTGCTGAAAAGTGGTCATTTTTGACGACTTTGAATCGCTGTATCTTCGAGATATAAGTTGAAGTATTTTTATCCAAAATTACTTAAAGATTAATAAAGGCGTTTTGGAGTTAGATTTTTTTTACAGTGGTTGCTCTAATTATGGCCACTACTGTATTACATTTTTCATTATTGAAAATTTTGACCGAGACTAAAAAATCTGATTTCTTATTATTTGGTAGTTTCCACATAAGAAACCAACAGCAATGTAAAACTTCTACACTAATAGAAAAAATTAAAAGATAAAAAAAAATTCCAAATTTTTTGCGATTTTTCGGATACCTGTATCTTCTTTAAACATGGAGCTGTAGTTTCTAGTTTTGAGATTTTTAGATGAAAAACATGCAACGTTCAATTCTAACGAATACTGTAATAAAAAAATTCGAAATTTTTTTGGCTTTCTTTTTTTATTTATTTATTTATTGAACTAGGTGGGGTACATATTATCATGCAGGTATACATAAAATCTGCTAGAGGTTTACTAACCTGTGTGCACACCTAGTTTCTATTTACAATTTTAACAACTTTAATTCAGATCCAGTATATTACTGTACATTTGGTCCACGGAATGTTCTGACTTAACCACCAATGAATAAATGTTCTACATGAATTTGAAAAATTATGAAAAAAGTGCTTTTGGTAGCTTTTTTAAAAATTAAGCGCTAAATGTATTTATACATTTACTAAATGTCATTTAGTGGCTAATTTTAGTCCACGAACTGGACTGGAAACATAAAAAATTAGGCAAATGGGACTAATCTTGAAAAAAAACCTAAAATATGAAAAAAACCATTTGAAAAAAAACAATGAAAAAAAAACAGAAAAAATGCACCGTTTTTTTTAAGTCGCATCTCTATACATAAGTTATTTTAATATATTTTTTGTATTTAAAAAATGTCCATTAAAAAAAGTGAGTTTAAGAAATTTTCTTTTAATGCGTATTAAAAACGTTTTTTCTCGATTTTTTAACTGGGCCCAGCAATTTAACAAGCAATAAATTTTACAGAGTTTACATGAAGCTTGAATCTTAGTTTTCCAGTGGCGGCTAGTGGATTTTGGGCACACCCATATCTCAGTTATTAGACATTGGACCCACATCAAATTTTTATGAGTTTATAATGACATTATATAGACAAGTTTGTTTTAAATTTAGTTAAAGAAATAATAAAAATTTAAAATGGTATAAAACCTGTAATTCTTGAAATTTTTTAATAAAATTTGAAATTTGTCGATAAACTGCAGTGAAATAAATATTGTACCACTTTAATTTGAATTATCTTAATTTGGGGGAGCAGGAGGCTGGGGGGGCACACTTAAAAACTAAGTTTTTTTCGCAAACTTTAATTTGAATTCTGCTTGCGCAGAACTTGTCTATATAATGTCATTGTAAACTCATATAAATTTGATGTGGGTCCCATGTCTAATAACTGCGATATGTGTGTTACAAAATCCACCAGCCGCCACTGTAGTTTTCTGTATAGTATAAGACCAAGATTTTTTGCATTTTCTACAAACATAAGTCACGTCTCCTAATTGACGTATCATAAATCATTTATAAATGCTAAAACGGCGTGCCATAAAGATGGCTTAAACGTCCATTGCTCATGTTCCAATAAACTTTCAGGAATGGAAGGTGCTGAGATAAACAAGTCGCTCCTGGCCCTGAAAGAGTGCATTCGCGCGCTGGGCCGCAAAGGCGCTCATCTGCCGTTCCGCGTGAGCAAGCTGACTCAAGTGCTGAGGGACTCTTTCGTCGGCAACAACTCGCGAACGTGCATGATCGCAATGATTTCGCCCGGCGTGAATTCCTGCGAGCACAGTTTGAACACGCTGAGGTACGCCGACAGGGTGAAAGAGCTCGGCGGGGGCGATCTGACAACTTCCAATCAAAACGACGAACAAGACGACAGCAACGATGATGGAGATCTGATGCAGTTAAGGTCTTTGAACGTAAGTTATATTTTTCGATTTTTACGATGTCCCCCCACATAAGGGTCATTTTCACAATTATTCTACATTTAAAGAAGAAAAAGTAAAAACAAAAACATAATCTACAAACCTGTTTTTTTCAAATTTTGTTTATTTAGGGGTGTTATTTAACACCTAAAATTGGGCAGTTGGATTTTTTTAAATAAGCACTTTAAAAAGAAAAAAAATGGTCCCCTGGGTTACAAATTTACTAACATATTAAAAAAAACTATTATAAAAATGCTTAATCATTTTGAAAATATATTTTTTGCTTGTTAATAATCCTTTTAAGATTTTATTTACACTAGGATTTGTTTAAAAAAAAACAAATTTATTGTTTATAAAAAATGTACAAAACCAAGTAAAAGCAAAAACTGTTCTATTTTTCAACTTTTTTACATACATGAGTATTTTTAATAAATTTTCTTTTAATGCGTATTAAAAACGTTTTTTTCTCGATTTTTTATCTGGGCCCAGCTTGTCCACTTAACGAGTAATAAATTAATAAAAATTTTAGGTATTAGTAATGATAATAAAATAATAATAAAATGTCAATATAAACATTGTTTCGTTGAACTATCAAAAAAAAAATTCCAGCTTCTTTGAGGCAAAATACATTGGCTAGGAAAATTACTATTTGGGTAACACAATATGTGATCCAGGAGACATGTGACCTAGGGGAAAAATATGTTTTTAGAACATAACCTCTTTACTGTTTTAAAAATAAAAATGTTTGCCCTTAAAACCATTACTATAGTATACTTTCATTTGAGAATCAAACAAAGTCCAACTGGTACCATTACTACTTTTTATTACTGTGATACAGGAGAATGCACAGTTTTGCCACGCTAGTAAAAAAAATACAAAAAAACGTGTTGTGGCTTAAAGATAGTTCAAAACACCATTTTCTACTGCAAGGGGGCAGCACCAAAAAATGTGCACTAATTCAAAAGGTCATTTATAATAGCTGTGACCCAGGAGGGTTTTAAATATTACCACAAATGGGCTTTTTCTGTAATATGTCATTTAAATTTTTTTACAACATTTAGATTTTTACAGTTCATTGATTATTTATTTTAATTTTTTTTTGTATATTTATAAAAGCCGTGTGAATTTTCTTGTGCAAAAAGTAGATGTGATGGTATTCTCATATTAAATACACTAAAACAGTGGAATACCATAGCTTGAGATCTATTTTTTGCACGCTAAAAATAGAAAAAATTTAGTTCCGTCTTAATAAAAAATATAAAAAAAAAATAGTTTAGTTTTAAAATAATCTTCATAAATAAAAGTGAAATAGGTATGTAAAACAAAAATTCTTAGGAAAAAGTTACAGTCTTGGTTTTTTTTTAGATTTTTTTTTAACTTCCTTTTTCTAAATTTAGCTTGAGCCATTGTCGTAACTACGGTAAATGTTTTTAGATTTTTCCGGATGGAGGCTAAGAAGAATTTTATTCCAATTCGGAGATTTTACTTTTTTTGTTTTTAAAAATTAAAAACAATAATATTTTTGGATTTCTAAGCGATTTTATTAGGTTTATGTTTGTTTTTTGTTAATAAGAAATTTACCGAAAAAATAATAATCTTCAATAGGGTGGCAATAAAATTTTAAGGTACCGCCGCAGTTCAGTACACTGCCATTCATAAATAGCAATAATAATCTAAACAATAAGAATAAATATAGCAGGAATGATTATCTGGATAATTTATTATTATAACTTAGCGTCGCACTTAAAACACACTCAACAAAGTAAAAATTGCCGAACTGACGCTGATTTGTGACTTCATCAAGAGAAAAGTTTTAATGAACTTTTCAAAAAGTTTATAAATATTGTTAAATAACAATATTTAGAAAATAATATAAATAAATATTTTTCCCTGAATGTTCATACAACATTTCATTTATAAATATTGTTTTCAGGAGCATGATATGACTCCGGAGTTGCTAAATTTCCATCAAGTTATTTCGGATATCCAGATAGCGGAAGATAACATGCTGGACAACCATAAGCAAACTTATGAGGAGTTGGCGACTATTTTCAAGAAAACTGGCGAACTTTTGAGAGTGACTGATGTTGTGACTTATGATCAAGAAGGTAATACAAACATTTTTATTTTAGTTATTTCTTATTTAATGTTATTTTGTTGTAGTTTATTCCAAGCAGTGGGTAGAGCTGATAGATAATACGCTATCTTTATTTGTAAACGCAAAAGAAATAGTAGAAGATTTTAGAGCAAAAATGGCAGCAGAAGAACAACTGAGTCGCAAAACAACAAAACGAAAGTAAATTTTACCTTACTTAAACCTATTGTAAAACGTTTGTTTGAGAGTACAATTAACTGCTGTCAAACAAACGTTTTCTTAACTTCAGGCCTCTAAATATAGGTGTATTGGCCGTAACTTACGCTTTTTTAAATTACTAACCAAATAAAGACATTCCTTTGAATGTATCAAAACATGTTTTTTTATAGCCGGCATTGTTATAATCGTTAATTCACATTAGAGCTTTTTAAAATACATAGATGCAGGCTATTATATGTATGATGCAAAACTAATTTTACATTTACACCACTTTATTTTAAGTGTGAACGCTTTAATTTAAACAATGTTTAAAAAATAAATATTCCCCACCAAAGTATGTACAAGGATTGTCTTAAACTAAATTATAAAAATTAGATCATTACTTTAGAAAATAGCCTGCATCTACGTATACCACAGCCCTAATGTGAATTAACAGAACTGGTAACAAAATACGATTATAACAATGTTTGTCAGCAATAATTTGTTTTAAACATTTGGTTAGTTTAAAAACGTTGAAGTTATTTCTTTGGACATTGGTATATTGGCCGTACTTTTTACGCTTTTTTAATGAAAAAATAAACTGCAACATTGTTATAATCGCATTTCTTGTAACCGTTCTGTTAATTCACATTAGGGCTGTGCTAATTTTTTTTAATAAATAGAGCAGGCTATTTTTTAAAGTATTGATCTGTTTTTCATAGTTTAGTATTTTTTTAAAGTTACTATGGAATGATGATCCTGATTGATAAGTAGATGGGGCCTTTAAAATGTCGACTGTTACAGTCTAAAGTATGTTGTATTTGTATATTGTTGATTTTTGGTAATTTGGTGAACATCGTTGAAATTAAAGCTTTTACACTTAAAATGATTTAGTGTTAATTTAAAAACTGTTTCGAAATGATTTTATATGTTTATTGTATTATGTTTACCAAATTACTTTTTTTATAAAAACATTAATTTTAATTGATTTTGTACAATGAGAAAATAATGTGCACTTTTGTTAGGTTTTCACATTCCAAGTGTGAGTAAGAAAAAAGTCACACAGTTCTATTCAACGCTTGGCTAAAAACAAAATGTAAGGGTCACTCCATTTTAAATTTGTCAAACACTCAAATGGAGGGACCCTTGCATTCATTATTAAGGTGATATTTACAATTTATATATAATTTCCTCACTGTACATAACACTTTCTTTATAAAAATATAATTTTAAACAATCAACTTGGTTTTTAATTAATTATTTACTGTTATTAAGATTTAAATGCTTTATGCTAAAAGATATGCCAAAGATCTCCCTCAGTTAATTATGCACCGTTTTTAGACCCATATAAGATATTGGATACCCAAATACAACTGCATTTGGAAGATATCCTTTTGACTCACTTGATTAGCCATTATTTTTAGAATTTCCTTTAGCCATTATTATAAGACATCTAAATATTTGTTGTAGCCTACCGGTATTTATAGTTGGCGAGCGTGCATAAGCAGTGGTGAGAGGTATCGCTTGGAATTTTTTTTAGCAATTATGTTTAATATTGACCATTTTATCTATTAAGTAAATAAAACTAATATTTTTAAATTAATACAAATTTCCATCTGGTTTAAGAAATCTATAGGACTTTTTATCCATTTGTTTAAAAATATCTGGAATGATGGATATCTTTTTTTAGAAGTGTGTGGGTTGGGTTGTAACAGTAACAAATTTATTGCTTGGACTTTTACGTTATTTTTTATTCTTAAAAATCGATTTATAGTTTTTTCAAACAGTTGTTCCTAATTACCAAAAACTGTTTGAAAATAAAATTGCGTAAAACACTTTTTTAATAAATCACTTATCAGCTTCCCTCCCCATCAAGGGCTTTAATTATATAATATTATATAATTTATTTATTTGATTTATTTTTTTAAATAAAATAAGTAATTTCGCGACTGGGGATTGAAAAAAAAATTCGTCTAGACTTATAAAATTTATTTGTGAATATTGAAAACACAAATCAAGAATATTTTATAGGACTTACCATTAATCTAAACTACAAAACTGATAAAAATTATCAAACATAACATGGCATAATTTTATTCCATCAGTACAAACAAACTATTTTGTATACATACAATTTCTCAAAAAGAAAAATATTCCACCTTTTCTCTATTGTATGGTTTTGATATAACCCCCTCTACTAAAATAATTACCTAAATTTGGTCAACATATTAAATAAATAATTTTATATTAAACTACAAAATGGTGGTCTTGAATAATACTTGAATTTTCGAGACATTGTACCCATTTTCCAAGCAAGTTAAATTAAATAAACCAAAAAATATATATATTAAACACTATAAATTATTTGATAATAAAGATAGAAAATAAGCATTTTTAGAGTGGTACATTATATTCCCACTACCTACAAAATAGTAGAAAACCCCAGTCTCAGTCGTCACAAGGCAGCCACAATAGAAAATAATTACATAGGCATATACCGACATTTCTAAATAAAAAAATCACATAGACATACACAAATTACGTCTGCAAAATCTGACTAATTTGGCAAATAAATTTTAGCCACCCAAATCACTTTTTTTAATAAAAAAAACCCTGTATCCAGACTTGACAAACACAATTTGTATACAAGTGTACCCCAATAATTTTAGAAAAATAAAAAATAAGAAAATACAGTCGGTGTGATTATTTAGCGGACCTTGATAGCCGGCACGAAGAAACCGTGTTTGCTCAGCCACAAACCCACTCCTGTGCCCAAAATCAACGAGATCAAATTCGTCAAGAACAACGTGCAGAGCCCCTTGCGGGAAAACACGCTACTATCGCCCACTCTGGCATACCGAATGCTCAACAAATCCCTTTTGGGAGCCCTGAAGCTCCAATTCTTTGGCGGCAACTGATCTGGACGACTGCTCCAGTCGTTAAAAAAATCAGAATCCTGAAAACAAATAAAAGAAGTCATTTACCCCATTTCAATGGGTCATCTACGGCTTCAGAGGAAAAAATGAAATTAAAACTCACCTCTTTGGCTTCTGAATTCATATAATAACTCTGCCATTCCAAATTTAACGGGGTGCCCTGTACAGGGCTGTTGGGAGGTGACTTGGGACTACTTCTAGGGGAATCCCTTCTAGATCCAGCCAACGAGACGCGCGCAGACGACTGGTTGGATTCTTGAGCTTCTTTTAGTAATCGTAAGTAGTCTTCGACAGTTAACTGTTGAGTTATTGAGCCAGGGGTGCCACCTCCTTGCGAACCCACTGTTACATCTACCCAGGACTCTTTAGAAAGGAAATAAAAGCTTATTTGTAATCATATATGGTGGATGAACAAGTGACATTTTTGTGCTGAGCAAAAATGTGTTAATCTTTATTACTAAACATGCTTATTTATATGTAATAATTATTTTTATCCAAAATCGGCAGTAAAGTAGTCAACAATCGGCAGTAAAGTAGAATTATACTGCCGATTTAATACGAGTATTGTATGCAACCCATTATACATTTTAAGATGTGTCTACTGCTCCTCAGCAGCAACTAAATAATATTTAAAAAAAGTACCGTCGCGGAGGTCGATTGGACCCTTTCATAAAATTTTGTTTAATAAAAATAATAAGTTAATTTTATTAATTAGATTAAAAAATCGTCGCGGCGGGCAAATATATAATAACCGTCGCAACAAACAGTATACGTAGACACTTCCTACATTCAAATGACATTTGATTTGATCATCAAATGACATTTGATTTGATCATCAATATTAATTATTAGTATTATTAAATGTGATTTCGGATAAAATTTAATATGCACCTCGGCATTAAAGTCATTTATCACTCACGTGGTTATTAGCCTCGGCTTTCGCATCGGCAAATAATTTCCACATTCGTGTTAAAAAATACGACTTTACTGCCTTGATACATAAATAACTATTAATATGAATTTTATGTACCATAATACCAGCAATAAATAAATGACATTTACCTACTGTGCTCGCTACTGTGGTACAAGGAATTCATATAAAAAACATTTATATTTATGACAACAAATCATTTGGTTTTTGTATAAGGTATCATTATTACTATAATAGTTATTAATGTCATTAGGCAGAAAAGTAAGTATTTTTGTGCTAAGCTCAAAATTTAAGGGCCGATGCGTATCCAAGGCCTACAATTGAGCGAAGCAAAAAAATACACTTTTTGGCTAAATGACATACATTTTATATTCAAGGCAAAATTTTATTTGTTAAACGATACACAAAACGTACAATTATAATAGGCTTGTTCCTACCGAAAATTTTAACTGTTAAATAGACATCAGCAACATGCGCAATAGTAAAATCGCGACCAACATTTTGTATTGAGCATGTCCATTTAACAATCCAAATGCTCGTTAGGAACAAACTAAATATAGAAAGTAGAAAAAAGTAGAAAGTGAGGTTAGATAGATCAAACGGGGTTTTTACAGCCTAGGAGGTAAAAAAATAACCTGATTCGTCTAAATTCTTTATACAGCCTAGGCAATACTCTAGTAAGTGAATGTTGAGAAGAATAAAGTTCCTTTCATAAAATCACTTGGGTATTTTAAAAATTTATTAGACTAAATTAGCAACTCCGCATCAAAAAGTAATACCTACTTTTGGATGTTGAGCATAGTGCATAAAATACTATATATATAATATAAAAAGCTCTTTATCAACTATTTCTGAATTTGTGTTTAAAATTTTGATTTTGGAGATTCCTCGTACATATTCAACCTACGCGCTGTTGTTATCAAGGATAACTTGCAAATTCTTTATGTCATTTTGTAGAAATATTACCAAGCCAAGGATTAAAAAAAACGAGAAATAAAAGCAAATAAATTTTAATAATATTAACCCCTGTTGGTGTAAAAACAAAGGAAAATTATATTTAGAACAACGGACGTTGTTTACAAAGAAACAGAAACCCTGAAACTGAAAGCGAAAAAAAATAGTGAACTGGTTTGTTTGGATTGAATTTGTTTTTGAGAAAAAATCGATAGTTTCTTTGTTATTGAAACGTGTAGAGGGTCTTTGACTGTGAAGTGCGTCACGAAATCAATTTACGTCAAGAGAAAAAATATCAGTTCGTCGTTTTCAATGTTTGCAAATAATAAAATGTGACATCCAGATGGAAGGTAAACAAAAGGAACTTACCACCAAGAATATCGTCGACACTTGATTTCGATGATGACATTTTGCCACACTGTTAAAATCACCTCTGAACGACTATAACGTGCTAAATTTTATACTTGTAATTTGTTAATTGTGATTTTTACGCGGAACTTCATATAAAACACTGAGCAAAGCGTACGTGACAGCAGTCAACAACCAACTACAATGTTGCCGCACCGATGCAGTTCAAGCCTTTCACAATGTTTATTTTGATACTAAAAATACCTCGCAACAAACACTTCCAACGAAAACAACTTGCTCAAATTAAACATCAACAACCAAAACATTAATTAGTGACCACATACCGATCCAAAATAATTGTTTTCTAATAAATTCTATTGAAAATGTAAATAAAATTTCTCCTATACTGGTAAATAAAGGACACTTGGCAACGTTGTGTCTGGATTTTCAACACGCCATCCGCTAATTATAGCGGCAAATTTAAATAACTAAGCTCTACGCAATTAAATAAAAATTGATACATTCATATTTTTTCTTTATTTTTCCAACACATTGCAACATAACATTGTTTAGTTCTTTGTCACACCACATGAAAAACAAATTAACAAAATAAACAATAAAATTCGTCTCCCTATCTTGTTTATAGGACAGATTTTCTTATCTGTGAACAATTAAACTTTTAGCTGTGTATTAATAAATGTACATGTGCCATTTTTTTTTACTTTGTGTCAAAAACCCTGAACATTTAATTTTAAATGCAGCTGAATCGAATTAAATTCTATTTTTAGCGATATATTAATTTAAAAGTCCATGCACTTTTATTCTATTATAGAAATTAATGCGTAAATTAGAAAGTTAAACGTCACAGCGTTAAAAATAAATGAATTTGGCAGCTGAAAATTATTTTTGCAAGGGAAAAAAATAAACAAACAAACCAAATATAGTTTACAATTATTTATTTACAAAATATCACAACTTAAAATCTTGTCAGGTACAGTATTATATACAATCAACACAATAAGAAGTGGGTTTTAAGGCACATCATGTAAAATACTGTTCAATAATTATAATACGTTAGTGACTGTAGGGGGGTTTGTTTTCGTTTTGGCTTTATTAAAAGCCTCTACGATTGAGTCCCTAAATAATTTTCTGTGAAAAATATATGCCCCAACATGACCAGATTCCACATATTTCACTGTAGCCCCTGGCCAGATATCTTCAAGTCTACTAATTCCAGTACGAGGCACATACCCATCGTCGTTGGCACATACAGAAATAATTAAGGAAGTGTCTACAGGCACAGAAAAATTCTTTAAATGAGTGCATTCGTCCATCATGCCCCGCATGAACCACAACGCTTCTTTGTCTCTCTTTTTCATCTCCAACGCTTTTTTACCTTTGATCAAAAGATTTATTACTGTGCTATTAAATGTTTTTGTAGTTTTATACGCCACCTCTGAGCATTGCCCGCTCTTCATTACATTCAGCATTTCGTACGGCGTAACGTAGCTATTTTTAAACTCATATAATTCTTCAAAATTAATCGCAAACTCTGAAACGTCAAAAAATTTGAAAATGACAGCTGTCAAATATACAAAAAAAGGCCAACTGTCAAAAATTTTAAAGCGTAAAATTTGTCAAAATATTAATTTACCTGGTATTCTTGTAAGATTACAAGCAAATGGATCGTCCACTATTTTACATAGCTTTGATAACATACAATTGTACTTATCATCGCTATTGTACTGATTTTGTAACATGTCCCAGTCAATGGATTCGCTCATTACCCCCTATAATGACTGACTTACATAAATACAGAATTCAATTATTTACAAGAAAAATACCTCTGTAAAAACTGATGATGCTGTAGACCAAGATAAGCAAGGTACAAGCACTAAGGGCTTAGGCCAGTTTGAAGCAGCTAATGAGGCCATCTAAATAAAAAAAAACTGCATTTTTACAATACCTATGTAATGCAATAGTACTTACATGTCCTCCCATTGAGATTCCTGTTACTCCCAAGGGACCAAACCCAAGCGATTCACACCAGTTCAATAAAACTAAACATTCAAGTATCAGGCAACCACCCATAATAAATATGTCTGATACATAGTGTAAGCTTGATCGAATTTGATCCTTGGGTTTTCTTAAGCCATAGTAAGGATTTTCTAGGATTATTGAGCCTATTCCTTCTTTTAGTAAGGGCATTGCCATTATATTTCGGCGTCTCCAAAAGTACTTTGAGGAAATGTTAGTTTTTTTGTATTGTTATGTTTTACTCACATGATCGCCTGTTCCAGCTAATTGTATACAGATTGGTTTGTATCTATTGTCTTTCCACTTAAGGGGCAAAACCATTTGAAAATAGGCGTCTTGCACCTCTAGGGATACTAGGTTGGGTAAATGTAGGGCAAAAGGGCTCCTAAACTTCCCTTCGATAATCCTACAATCTGATCTTTTTTGCTCCTAAAACACTTAATTAAATAGAATGATTAGGGTATTGTTCATCACTTACATTTAGTATAGTTATGGGGAAGTATTTTGGCACTAATTGATAGCATTTTTCCCTGTTGGATATTATTTTCCTAAATTCGAACAACCTAATTACAAAAATAGAAACAATTACAACATAACCTGCAAATTAGCGGCTAAAACATTTATCTTTAAAATGGTAACCTTAACAAATTATCTGGACATCCCCATCCCTTTGTGAAAAACCGCGTGAGCAATATTTTCCGGTAAATCACATCCAAACGGCTTACAGGCATTTCTGCATGTAAACAAGAATACTACTGTCACCAAATCAAGGTTATCTAATGTCAAATTACCCCGAATTTTTCTTATATAAGCTTAAATCTGTGCATGATCATATTTTTCTTTCATGCAAAAGTTTATAGCATTCAAAGTTTTTCAATCAAAAACAGTTTTGTACTTACCAAAACTACAGAATTTAAAAAAAATGTTTTATTTTACTTACCTTTAAATTGTATGCTTTATTTGAAAGGGTCATTAAATAAGGTTTTAAATTCATTTTCATAATTTTTTTATTCAAACAGGTTTTCAAACATTTTTAATTTTTTTTTATTTTTATACAAACATACCAAATTTACACAAGCACAACCTTAATAATAAATTAACTAAATTAAGTTAATAAATAAAAATACTTGACTAGGTAATCATCAGGTAATTATCAGGTTATCAGTCAACTTAAAAATTAAAACTAAAAGTAAAATATTTAGGAACTTAAATGCGAGCTTAAATGACAACTTTTGAACTAGTTGTTTTAAAGCTTATTTAACTAGAGAAAAATTTTGATTTCAATGAAGGAATTTTAACATTTTAAAAGCCCTAAAAGCCCTTGTTCAGGGTGCCTCTTCGCTTGGGTTTTCTGAAACAAAAATTAAATTAGAATGTACCTTACAAACTATTTTGAAATTAAAAAACTTACTACTTAAAAATTGCGACGTATTAGGCTGGATAAAAATCCTCCTAAATTCTGAGGAGGAGTTTTTGGTTTAGGAAGGGCCTCTTCAGGGCCCCCACCAGATGGTGGTGGGGGTCCAAGTGGAGGCAGTTCAGGATTCTCTACTCTTTGATCGGCTGCATGAGTTAAGAAGGGGAAATAATGTTTCTTAACCTTAATGCCCCTAAAGAAACTTAGGTTATCGAAAACTCCCTTGGAGAGTTTGATAACTCTGCCTCTAATAGTTGAAATAATAAAATTTGGATCAGGAGCAGGGGCTAAATAGAGAGAATACATAAAATTAACAAAACATAAAAAAACCCAAGAAAGGCTCAAGGAAATCTGTGAAATTTACAATAATAAACGACTGAAATAGAAAAGCTTTAGTTAGTATTATACTCACGATCATCACTGCTGCTGCCTGAGTCAGCATCTCCAACTGGGTCATCTGGTTCGGCATCGGCAACAAGGAAATATTGGAGGGGATTATGCCAGATATCCTCACGCAAGACTTCAGCTATATCATCAGTCCCTGCGTCTACATTGTCTTCATACCAGTGGAAGAACGAAGAAGCATCAAGTCTGCGACGACGACTGCCTGATGCTTCACCTGGAGCTCGAGTAAGTTGCATGCCCTCTTTCCAATCAATAGGGGTACATTCAGAAGTTGGCGCGTTTGCTAAAACAAAAAAAAAGAGAGACATTCGAAAATCTTACCAAAAACATTGAACCTACTAGTAGGGTTGTGGTAAGTCTTCATTAGGACAGTGTTTGAAAAATAGGGATTTTCATTGAAGGAAAACTTTAGCTTGTAACCCTCTTTATAATTGTCGAAATCCTCCACTTCAAACTTTTCAAGGTGGGCAAGAGAATCCTCCTCGGACTCATCAATAAATCCTTGCAAATCAGGATGGTTTTTAATCTGAAACAATATAAAAACGCATTTGTAATTTTACATTTTAAAAGCGCTTTGAAAATAGTAAATTAAAGACTAAAATGTTAGGAACAAACCTAACATAACATAACCTAACATAACAAACATAACTTGGCGGGAAAAGCGTAACCTTAATTTTACTCACCGCTGTAAGCCAAAAGTTGGGTATGCGGCTTACGGCCAAGTTTCTTCGCAATAAATGCGGCCTTTTGAGCAGCATATATCTCTGCTCCAGGTCAAGAACATCTTCGTGGCATCTTTCAGATATGGTATCCAAATCAGTCTGGATTGAGTCGGCTTCTTCAAGGATATTTTGCGTCTCCAAATCATATTCAGCAGGATCAATGCGGCGACGTTTCGGTACAGAAGGATTTTGAACCTCCGCAGACATGATGTTGTGAAATTTCGACGAAAACTGCGTATTTAAAATAAAAGCGCAAAAGCAACCTACGTGGACGGCTTCTAAAAAACGACTGAGGACTGTTGCCAAGTGCCCTCCCTTATTTATAACCTTCGGGTAAACGGAAGTACACCGCAATTAAAATCAAGTTTTTTTATGCTTAAAAATGATTATTTACTAATAAAAATTGGTATAAATCCTTTATAAATCTTTATAATAGATTTACATTTAAAAAAAATCTAAAGATATGGAGGTTTTAAGAATTAAATCAAAGAAAGCGGAAGTTAAAAACGGCACTGTCCTTTGAATTGTGGGAACCAATTCAAATAATGGCGGGAATGTTACTTTTTTTCAAAATATTCAAAAAAAGATAATTAGAAATTGGGCTGAATAAACGCTAAAAGGCAAGCGTTTCATAAAATTAAACATTCTTGTTCTCAGTAATTAAGTGTAGTTTGCGCTTTTAATTTTTTTTTAACAGTTTTCTAACGTCATTCTTTTACTAGATAATTTTAACGTAAATACGTAAAATTAGGGCCTCTTCATGTTGTAAAGTAAGTGTTTTAGAAAATTAAACATACCTTTTCACATAAACTTACTTTTGTTCGAGTTTTTTAAAAGTTTTTACTTACTTATCTGACATCTCTCCAGTAAACTATACCAACTACCTTATAACTTTTTAAATACATTATATTTCTGCGTAATTTTTGGGCAGGATTTGAGGAAAGGTTGGCCAAGTACAGGGTTAAAATTTCAGGGCATTATCTTTAAGGGTTCTTGAGATATGAAAGAAAAGGTAATTTTGATATCGTAGGATTTGACATATGGTGTTTTTTTTATTTTTAACGAATATAGTGGTGATATTTCGTCTGCAGAAGTTAAAGAGAGGCTTGCTAAATGCTGTGTTAAAATTTTAGTGAGATATCTTTTAAGATTTTAAAGATTCAAGTGAAAATAGAATTTTACTATCGTAGGTGTAGTTTTTTTGTATTTTTTAAGTTAATAGTTGGTTTTCTGGCATTGATAGACGAAATAAAATAACAGAATATATAATATAGAATTTTATTGTTATCATTTCATTCAGTTTACTCATAAAATGTACAATAAAACGAATAACAGATTGATAGAAACAAATGAGCAAAATAGTGAAACCTCCGTCATAAAAAGGACCAAGCAAGTAGTCCAACACTTATATTATACTAATTGTCTTTCTAGTTTATGGCAAATATACAAATCCAGAGTAGTATGAATGCAGGCAGACAGGCAGGCAGACGGGCAGGCAGACTGACAGCATATGGGGGCTAGTGCTGCTGCTCACTGCTAACTGCACTTGAATTCGATGCGTAATATACAAAATCATTCTTACATTCTTATTATTGCCAGATTACTCATATTAGTTAGTATTAAGTAATATCAAAAATAAAAGAAAATCCTCTGATTCACGCACTCAGCACCACATTTGCTATTTGGGATTGAAATAGGGAGGCTGCTGCATGTGCGGCGGCGGGGGGCCCGGGCCCGGTCCGCCGGGCCCCATGCCCTGCCCGCCTCCGCCCATCTGACTGCGAGTACTCGTCGCGTACAACTGCTGCTGGAAGTTGTGAAACTGTTGCGCGTAGTTGGGATCGGCAGTCGTCGGGCCTACGAACGGGCTGTTCTTAAAGCTATTATTCTGTCCCATCGAGGGCGGCAGAGGCTGGCTGGCGTCGGGCGCGCCGCCGCCCATCGGTCCGCCCATGGGGCTGCCCTTCGGCCCGCCGACGAACATCTGCGCGTTCGGGTTGCCCATCGGCCCGCCCGGACCCTGCTGCTGCTGCTGCTGCTGCTGGAACATGTCCGGCGGCCCGCCGCCGTGGCCGCCGCCGGGCCCGCCGTTGTAGCCGCCCATCTGGCCCAATCTCATCATGGGCGGCGGCCGCATCGGCGGGCCTCCCCTCATCATGGGCATCATGCCCATCTGCCCTCCGCCCATCATCGGCGGTCCGCCTCCGTTGCCCATGTGGCCGATCATCGGGCCCATCGGTCCCATGTGGTCCTGCGGGCCCATCGGCCCGCCGCCGCCGCCGCCGTCCATGTGGCCTCCGCCCATGTGCGGCGGCATCGGGCCGCCTTGCATCGGCGGCCCGTTCTGCTGATGGAAGTAGTGCATGTTGGGCGGCGGCTGTTGCTGACCCATCTTCTGCTCGACCATCATGTTCATCGGGGTCGCGAGCCTCGTCAGGAAGTCCAGGCTGGGCGGTCCCCTGGGCGGGCCGGGCGCCTGCCCGCCCTGAGGCTTGGCCGGCAAGTATTGAATCGTGTTCGGAGCGTTCGGTTTCACTTGAACGTTGGCCCCGTTGTAGGGGTTGGGTCCCGGAGGACGGCCCATCATGCGCGGCATAGGCATGTGGTTGGGAAAGGCACCTTGCAGTTTTGGCGAGAGAGAGCGTATGGGGCCCATGGGCCCTTGGTTCGGATGAAAGCCCTGCTGCATCTGCATGCCCATCATGCCGGGCCCGGGGCCGGGGTCCATGTCGGGGGGCATCTGGTGGCACGGCGGCACGCCCATGTCCATCATGTGCATGGACGGCGAGCCCATCATGTGCATCATCGAGGGGCCCTGGTTGACGCCCTGCCCGTTCAGCGAGCTGGCCACGCTGTTCGTCAATTGCTGGCTCATCTGCGCCAACGACGAGATCGGATCGAAATGAGACACTTTCGGATTGCCCGTCATCGTGCTCGAAGTGCAGTTCGGATTGAGCGGTACGTTGTCGCCCCCTCTCACGACGCAACCGTAGTTCTGGAGATCCATCGGGCTGGGCTGCTGCTGCTGCTGCTGCTGCTGCTGCTTTCCCTGCGGCGACACGTTCACAAACCCTCCTCCCATTTTAGCACCTGGAGAAGCATTCGGACCGGGAAACCGCTGCACGTCCATCATGTGTGGACTCGGCGTCGGGAAGAGATCATTTTTCAACGGGTCAGAACCGGGACCGGGAACCGTCTGGGGACTAAGGCCCGGCGTTGCTGTCGGACCCATTCGCGGCTTATCTCCTACAACAACAAAAAACAATTTAGATCCACCTAAATGGCTCCAATCACATTAAAATTACATTCATACCTGCAGCACGGTGCCTGAAAGTATTCATTGCAATTATGTTTTTAAGATTGCTCAAAATGGCCGTTTTTATGAAAATATTGAAATTATAATAATAACAATATGACTTTATTGCAGTAACATTTACATACAAGTAAATACATTGGTAAACTGCAAAAGACGAAGTTCAGTATGCCACTTTGTTCAATGTACTACTGCTCTTTCACTGAACCTTTATTTTCCGGGTATTATTGTACATATTATAGATACAATATGCCACGGATAGAGGGCCCAAGAGGACAAATTGACTAAAATTTTAATTTTTCCACCATAAAAAGTTCTGCTTGTTTGAAAAGTCTAATGCCATACTTTAAATTTGAAAATATTATACAGGGGAGTCGAAAAACAAGAAACCATGAAATACTATCAAGAGTAAACTACCTTTCAAAACAAGCAGAACTTTTTATGAAGAATGACTTTTGGTCGAAAAATGAAAATGTTAGTCCATTTGTCCTGTTGAGCCCTCTATCCATAGACATACTTTTTATAGAAAATAGAGGAAAAAAATTAAGGTTGGTTAAAAGTAAAGAATACATTTGCAACAATAAAGGTACTCAACGCTAATAATAAGATAACAAAACAAATTTAAAATAAATTAAAAAAAGAAAACTAATTTTTTTACATTATTAAAGGATATTTTGATTAATAAATATTAAGAAACTAAGTTTATGTAATATATATAAATATTAAAAGTAAAAGATTCAAACATTTTGTGTTTGTGTAGCGGAGGAGTTATAAAAATAAATAGGATTTTACAGAGTTGGATTTTATTTAGGTTAAACCCGCTTAAAAAAGCTCGCAAGGTTTTTTAAAAGTTTTTTTTTTAATTTATTTTTTCTTAAACTATACATTTAAAAACTAAATACATTCTTATATGTATGTATCTGTAAAAAACTCAAGTCTTAATTAAAAGCAGTACCCTCATTAACTTGTTAAAGAACACCCATAAAGCACCAATCAAACTAAAACTGCTTTTGTATTAAAAATTCTAATTCTAATTTAGAATACAAAGAAACGATCAAACAAAACTTTATTTAATAATTTTATTTCCTTTTTTAAGACTAAAAAGAGAATTTCGAAAGTTTTTTTAACATTTAAAACAATAATTATTGATTAATAATTTAAATTAAATAAATTATAGCTTTAAGTTACTTTTTTTACATATATCAATAACTTACTGATTTTACAAGGGGGCAATTCCATGCGTAATAGCGTAATTTTCTTCAAATTTATATCAATCGAAATGTTCCAAATGTTATTAAACTAGGAGCATACATGTCTACTTGTGTCTAGAAAATTATTACTTTATTTATTAAACCCAATATTCCATAAAATTTTAAATAATTAAAAAGTCTTAACTGCTTTTGAATTCTGCACTAAAAATATGTTATGTCCCATGAGTTATCATATTAACCAATTTTTTTAAAACCTCACACAATCAAAGCAGTTAAGTTGAATGTTTTTTTAATACACTATAGGCAAAGTATATTTTTAAAATAAGATTATGTTTCATACAGTTTAGGATTCAGAGAAAAAGGTTGCTTCATTTAACCAATTTTTTAAAGAAAGTTTTTCGTGTCCCATGAGTTATCACACGTTTTGTCTGCATTTTGTCTAGAGATCAATTGGTGAACTTATTCAAAAATGTTAAAAATGTACATTGGCCTATCCTTTAAAGTTTAAACATTTTATACATTCCTAATAAATATAGGTATTCTGGTATACCAAGTTAAATTTTATTTCTGTCATCTGAATGTCCCGTGAGTTATTAAAATTAAACCAAGAACAATTTTTTTTAATAAATTATTTTGAATAAAACAATTTACGATAAAAAATGTATTGCAACATTTATTTATATTGACAAATTATAAGAAATAAATGATAAATATCCTTAATTTTTAACTATTATCTTGCAAAATCTGCAAGAAAACTTAATTTTAAAGTTCGGGGATTCCCCTGCCACTCCACCTATGCATTTTATAGTTGAAAAAAAAGGAGTGATATTTTCACTACCTTATTTTTTTATACAGAATTTCACTGTGAAAATACTTGAATTTTCTATCTTTTTAAATATTTTTTAAACCCATCATGAATTAAGAAACACAAAAAAACAACAATAAAACCCAAAAAAGCCCAGTGGATCGGGTTTTTTTAATCCTGGAAAGTTGTGTCCTAGAGAGAAGTGGGCGTGTTTTCCGTGTATCAATAAATACAGTTACCTTAGAAAAAGTATCTTAGATCTAGAAATACTTTTAGATAAAAATTCTTTTTTGCTTTTCTTCCATCCAAAATTATAAAATAGAAATAAAATGGCGTTTAAATGAAACAACAAAAATATGAACAACAACATGTTTAGTAGATTTAGTATATTTCTTCACTCAACAACTGTAGATTCCTTAAAAATGTCACCTTTGAACGTGTTTTTTGTGTCTCAATAAATGAGGTATACAATTAAAAGAATGTATCATTTTATGTAAAGATGCCTAGTTATTCAAAAAAAGTTATTACCATATTTCATTACATTTTTAAGTAAGCATTCCATTGAAACTTTTTCATAATTACATCTAAAGTGGGTAGAATAAAAATTAAAAATCATATCAACCAAAGTTATAATTATTGTTAAAATTTTTATTTTTTTATTTTTTACATGCTTTACTTAAAATTTTCAAATGAAAAACTATTAATTTGACGAAAATAGTCTAAGAAGCTGTTATGTGTAGAATTTAATAAACTTTTCTTTTAACTACATTGATGTTTATGACATTAAAATAATAAAAAAACGAGTTAATTCTATACCTTGTGTTGTTGGTGTGTGTGGGCTTGGATTTGAAAATCTGCATCCGTCTTGTGGCACACCAGGCGTTGGAGGAAAGCGCGGCACATCTATGGAGGTGGGGGTATTAGGACCTGATACTCTATTCAGTCCCAAATCTGGATTTGTTCCGGGAAAGCCGCTGTCCATTGAAGTGGGCAAAACCCTATTGAGAAAAGTAATTTATTATAACGCGATTAAAGATAACACTATAAATGTTGATTAATAACGCACAGTGATTCAGATTACAGTTAATTCTATAAAGAAAAACTTGCTTTTAATTTAATTTTTAAGAGTATTATTTTGTAGACAAACAAAAAATATTTTAACAATACCCTGTAGAAGATAATGATAAAATTTATTTTCATACAAAACATGTTACAAAATCTAATTGTATCAACATATATTATAACAATGTGTTTGCTATTTACCTAGAGAATGGTAAATACATTTTTTTGGGGGTTTGTACAAGGTTAAAAAATAAAAGTAAAGCAAAAAATGTATAACATAAAGTTTTGCATAATTGTATGGGGCCGTCCATAAATCTCGTGACAGTAGGCAAGGTGATCAACTCCTGAGAGCGAAAATCCGTGACAATTTTAACACAAAAAAGCACCATTTTTAAAACGCTGTTATCCTAGGTTAGGTTAAGTAGCAGCTAAACCCTTCACCCAAAGGGTGAGTTCAGAGACACACTTATGATTGGGTGGGATGTCAAGACCAAAAATCTCATTTTGTCTGAAGTTAGCAACAGTTTCTTTCAGGGTTAATTTATTTTTATAGTATATTATGTATTAAGTTTGATAAACGCCATTTTAGACACGAAATTAATGAGTGTCTACAAAACTTTATAAACAAGTTGCATACTATACTTTTTCTACGACAAATACTTATTATCTTAAAATGATTTAATCAAATATTTGTATAGAGCGCCATCTATAAAACAATAGGGGAATCTGTGTTGCAAATGTCAAATTTTTAAGTGTTATAAAGGTTATAAATCGAATTGTATTCCTTGAAAATCGATTAACAACAGTTTTTCACAGTGAAAGTAAAGAAAATGTTTTATGAGCACTTCACTGAGCACGGCGAAATTAAAAGGTCAGTACAATGTTCATGTAAAAATTTTAAATATTGAGAAACTATTTAATGCTTTTGTATTGCGATAATAAAATAATTTTAACATTTAGTATTATTTTACAAGGCACCTTATTTTAATAATTGTATGACATTTGACAACTGTCAACTAACTTAAAGCCAACTTCAGCCCGTGACTAAAACGCCATAAAGACACAACTTGTCAATGTGTATTTAAAAGGTCACTTAGTGTCATGGAAACATGTACGATAATGAGCGTTTTGAAGGTGGGAGTTGAAAAAATTATCTAATCTTAGTGTTCGTCGTAAGAAAAATTATGCAACTCGTTTTATATACTTGTCTAGACACTCATTAATTAAACACTAGCAAGCTTCGCTCGTGCATAATTAAAACTCGTGATTAAAGTGCAGTTTATTAAACTTGCTAATAGGGATGCACCGGAATTCCGGCGGTACCACTAAATCCGGCCGATCCGGCCAGTTGGCCGGAACTACCGTTCCGGCCGGATCGCTCCGGCCGGATCGCTTTCCGGCCGGAATTTTCGGAACTTTTTGGAAATGTTTAGGTTTTAAATTTTTAATATTAATAATGTATAAATATCACCTATATAATATAAAAATATTATAAATTAAACTCTTCTACGAGACATAAATCGTAAATAAACTGAAGACAACTATGGTGAAAACATAGCCACGCCTTGCGCATACCATTCCCCGCACTCCGCGAAAGCGGCTTCACTTGTTTCAATGATACGGAATAGGCATCGGTCTGTGTGCAGCCCTGTGCCTTTGCTTATGATTAGCAGGCGTCTGGGATTTCCCGACTTTCGCGTCTGTGATTCCCCGACTTTCGCGTCTGGGATGCCCCGACTTTCGACCAGATATATTTTGTAATTGGTCAACAGAGAAGGGTGTGCGTGTTTCCTTGCCTATGATAGACCGGCGGCTGTGGTTCCCCGACTTCTTTTTATTTTTTTTATTATTGGCAGGTGGCTGTTATTCTCCAATTGAATGAGTAGAATTGTTTTAATTTTGTTAACGCTAATTAAAAATTAATATTTAAATAAACAGTAATTTCTATCTAGGTAAAATTAATAGTAATAAACACTCTGCATACTGTAGCTAGTTTAAAAAAGAGTAAAAATAAATCAGCCTCAATATTTTAAGTATAAAAATACGCATGCACATACATTTTAAATTTTGGTCCCGATCCGGCCGGAATTCCGGCGATCCGGTCCGGCCAGCGGCCGAAATTCCGGTTCCGGCCGGATCGGCAAAATACCCGATCCGGTGCATCCCTACTTGCTAAACTAAAATTTAAACTAATCATCTTAATTCCCAAAAAATACTTAAATTTTATTGAAATAAATGCAAGTATATATATATATTAGTCTCTATTGTTTATAATATGTTGTAGAAAAAATACTTTTTTCTATGACCACTATGTAAAAGTCACATTTCATATTAGCATCGTTGCTTAGAAAATGAATCTTTTCATTGGCAATGCAAAACACGAATGTAAAGTGACATTTCTGTGTGAAAAGTGACAGGTCTGTGTGAAAAGAAATTGACAGCATCGTTTGACATTCGTTTCAAATTTTGTATTGTATTTGTATATGTATGTCTAAATATCATTTAGAACACAGTGCCTTTATTTAAATTGAGAAGGTAAGTTTACTGATTTTAAGTAACTTATACCTTAAAAATTAAAAGAATAAGATGAAAGAATTTTAACAGCTGTCAAATACGTTTTTAGGTTATTTTGTTTTGTATTTGAATATAATAAAAAATAATACATTGTGTTTCACTTGTGAGAAAAGCTTTCTTCAAGCTCGTGTTAATGCACACTCGGCCTAACGGCCTCGTGGGCAACTTAAACACTCGCATGAAAAAGTCGCTTTTCAACACTTGTAAAACAAATAACTATTTTCTACAACCACTATGTAAAAGACATATTTCGTAATGGCATTGTCAAGACAAAACACAAATGTAAAGTGACATTTCTGTGTGAAAAGTGACAGGTCTGTGTGAAAAGAAATTGACAGCATCGTTTGACATTCTTTTCAAAATTTGTATTGTATTTTCATATGTATGTCTAAATATCATTTAGAACAGAATTAATTGTGTTTGTATAAAAATTCCAATTTTAGTGCCCTCACTTAAATTGAGAAGGTAAGATTATTGATTTTAAGTAACTTAGAACTTAAAAATTAGATGAAAGTAATTTTAACAGCTGTCAAACACGTTTTAAGGTTATTTTGTTTTGTATTTTAATTTAATAAAAAATAAAAGGGTCGTAGAAAAAACATTGTGTTTCACTTGTGAGAAAAGCTTTCTTTAAGCTCGTGAGCAACTTAAACAATCGCATGAAAAAGTCGCTTTTCAACACATGTACAACAAACAACTATTGTCTAGTAAGTTTTGCAAAATGAATCACTGTGTAATACTGTTTACATCATAAATAATAATAATCAATTAAGTGCCCCCAAAGGTCAACGTAATTTTTAAGTCGAGAATACAGATAATTTATAATTGCAAATGTTAGAAAATTAATTTAGTAGCCACCCCCCTGAAGGAGAAGAATAATAAATATTGAAAATACATACGGTGGTGATATGATATTTCCTTCTTTGAGACTTGTATTAGGTTGTTTTTGTATGATCAATTCCTGTCCTTCGAATGTGTTGAGATACTGGATTTGTTGGGGAGACGGCACCGGCATCAGGTTCGGCTCTTTCACTTGGCCACCAGACGTCGGGGTTGTGGCGCAACTCGTTGATGTGCTCATTTGCTGTTTTTGCTGTGCCATGGATTGCAAGGTGCGACCAAACATTCCTCCTCCTCCGTCCACTAAGCAAAGTTGGCATTAATTTGGGGGAACAGAGCCGGTCTATCGGGTACCTACCTGACGATTGATGAGTCGATGTCGGTTCAGTGCTAGTGCTCGTCACGCTAGGAGATAAATGGGAGGAGAGCGGGGTACCGGGATTGCTGTGATTAAGTCTTGGGGCCGAGGGGGAGTCTTGTGATGTGGGGCTTTGTCCAGTGCTCATGTGCCGGCCGATGCCGAACGGTCTGTTCGGATCGGCGGGCGAGTTCAGAGCGGACGAAGCTCTTGGAGAAGGCAAGGAGAGGTTCGACGTGGGGTTGTTGGGGGACGCAGGGCTTGGACTGCTTTGCAGCGCGATCGGAACACTGGCCGAACGAGGTGTTTGATGGTAGGGCGGCGGAGGGCCCTGCAGACGCGGTCCCGGCCCTGACGCCCCACCTCGGGGCACCGGAGCCGCGCCACCCCCGCCCACCGAACCGCCCCCACTTACAGGTCCTACAGGTACTTGCGCACCCGGCGGCTTCTTCGGATCTTCGAAGTACTGCGACTGCAGTTTCTGCCACTCTACCTGTTGTGCGGACATCGACTTGGGGCCAGGGCCCTGCTGCTGCTGCTGCGGTCCTCCCATGTTCGGATCCATCGGGCCGCCAGCTCCTCCTGCTCCTCCTCCATCCCCCATGGATTGGCTCTCTGGAAAAAAGAGCTGCTGCATCTTGCGGATGGTGGCCAGCGACTCCTCCCGGTGTTGCCGCTGCTGCGGCGTTAGGTTCTCATCAGGCACTTTGACACCCTGCAATGAGGGCTGAACATTAGACAATGAAGGACTACATTCATTCATATTGAGTCCCACATCAGGTAATCCGTTGCTGACAGCATCCAGGCCATCTAGGTGATGGTTGTTCTTTTGATCCCATGGCAGGTCTGCATCTCCTAAGCCGACCATGTCGTCCAGTCCTTCAGGTCCAAGGAAGTTGTCCAAGGTGGCTGTGGCTTTGGGTCCAAGACCAGGACTGCGCGTGCATCCTTTGTTCTTTATCATGGCAAAATTGTTAAACCACTGGGCTTGATTCTGTCTACTGAACTGGTTCACTTTGAGGGGATTTTTCTCCAAGTACTTTTTGGTGCCAGGCTGAGCACAATGGTAGGCAATGATCGATGGATACCTGCCTTGCAGCACCTCATCAGCCCCCGAATTGGCCAGCACTGTTGAGAAGACAAAGATCTGACTTTGTTGTTGCATGTAGTGCACTTCCATAGAGCTGGGCTGTTTGTTGATGACATTGCTGGCCAGGGGCTGCACCCCATCTGGAGGAGCTGGATGCGGGCCTCCGCCGCCAGGGCCACCGAGACCCAAGGCAAACGCATCACTATCCAGACATTCTTCCTGTTTCAGAGGCAGAGATCCTGCCTCCGTGCCACTAACACTGACAGAGTCCTCCTCAGTCTTCCGGATAGGGTTGTTTTGCATAGAGCCGGTGTTCGTCGAACCGATAATACTACCATTTTTTGTGATTGGCCCCGTATCAGGCTCTTTTTTAATTCCTACAGTGGCAGTAGCATCCTCCTCCTTCTTGACACGAACATCAGCACTTGGGGCAGACTCCTTATCAGAGCTGCTTGCCTCCTCTTTCACACTGTCCGAGCCCTTTTCGTGCTTCTCTTTGATCATTTCGCACTTCTAACACATTCCCCTTCCTTTCATGCTGCACATCACACACTATCACACTTATACCATGTCCTAGGCCAATATGAGCCCTTAAACTTATCAAAATACTATCTTCCACCACGAACAGTTCATTATAATGCCACTAAATTATGTCTCACATCACATATGTTCTAATGTTTTTATTTGCATTCCATCATTTTTTATTTTCATCTCTTAACCAAATTTTAAGAGACGCATACGGGCTATTCTGGGCCTCTGGGGCATTGCACGATCACTGGAAATGGAAGACTTCTCACTCTTTGTCCAAATTAATCCGATTGGCATTAATGTTTACTCGCTATTTCCCTAATTTATCATAATAAAAACTTTTAATAAAAATCTCACATCACAAAATGCCAAACTGTCCACACGCGTTGCTACCAACTTAAACGACACAGGACACAAGGAACACAAAATTCCCTGCTTTAACGTTGGCATCGCCTTTCCCCCCAGACGCCATAACTGCGGAAATTTTAAAAATTCAACTGGCCTTTAATTTATTTAAATTATTATACACAACTTATCGCTAAAAATTTTCGAAACCTTGGAAAATTTTAGCCGTTCCTTAACGTGTTTGTATTTATTTAACAACAAGTAATGCTTTATAATAGTAGTTTTTTAACATTTGACATTTTTTGTTTATAGTTGAAAAACGTCAGAAATGACATTTTGCGTATATTGTTGGAAAACGTCAGACAGTGACATTTTTACATTGCCTGTAGAAAACGTCAGTTGATAATTTCAACATGTAGGTATTTAATAAAAATGTTGTATACATTTTATATCTTTTGTTCGCTATCTCCATAAAAGGCATTCCACAGGACAACGGGAATAATAGAAAATAATAAAAAAATAAATAAATAAAATTCAATTTATATCGACAAATTCTTTGGAATAAACGTTTTAATTTATTTTTTTTTATAGTAGAATTTTTTTCTCTCCTAGCTGTGATTTCATCACGATTACAAATATGAAGAAAGAATTTCTTAAAAGTGAGGTTAACGTAAGGTATGTCAAAATGTCGACGACCTAAGTTAAGACGAATTATGTATATATGTATATGAAATAAGGAATTTCTTTTTAAATACTCATTTGAATGGCCGTATGTAGAAATTTAGTTTTATTTACTTTTAATAAGATATGAATCAAAACCCATTTGGGCTGGGCAAACACAAAATACAACCTATGGTGTGCCCCTTAGTGCATTTGGGCTACAATAATGGGACTAATAAGAACATAAACGGGGCCTTGGACGAAGATAACTACAATTCCATGCAAAATGACCACTATACTGCCAACAAAAAACCTATGCAAATGAACAGCAATAATCTTAACACAAACTCTACATATTATGTAAGTAGTTTTGATGATCTATTTACTTAAACTAATCCCTGCATTTTAGTATTATGACCAACACAATGACTCATATTCAACAGAAGAACTTAACTACAACAAAACATTAGAAGAATCAAATACTCATTTAAAAAATCTAGATCTGTCAAGTGAAAACGATGATTTTGCTATGAATCTAAGAAAATCCTGCTTGAACTCGAATTATTGGGAAGAAGAAAGATGCTGTGATAAATTAAAAAAGACCAGTTCTATATTAGGAGAAACTGTACAAAAAAATTACCTAAAACTAAGCAAATTTAACCCTAACGTCGACCAGGGCTATCACACTTTGGTGTCCACCAGCCCAGGGCCCCTACTAAGTTACTCTGCTTGGACTGACGGGCAAAATCCCTACAAAGGCAAGAAAAACCACAGTAAAAACAACTCCTTTGACCATCTATCAGACAAGATTCTTGTCAGGATATTCTCCTTCCTATCAAGCGTGGATCTCAGCATATGCGCGCAAGTCTGCAGGAGATTCGAAATATTAGCATGGACGCCGATATTGTGGCGCATCATACGCCTAGAAGGCGACAAAATATGCGGAGACAAAGCTGTCAGAGGCGTTTTACGACAACTATGTGGCCAGGGCCGAACAGGCGCCTGCCCAAGTGTGGAAAGGGTCCACGTAACCGACGGTGCCAAACTATCAGACAAAAGCCTGCTACTACTTTCAAGAAGATGCCCTGAACTCACTCATTTACAACTACACGGCTGTCTTACTGTCACAAACAATGCATTATTCGAAATCGCCACTCGATGTGCCAATTTACAGCATCTAGATGTTTCAGGATGCATTAAGATTTCCTGCATAAGTATTAATTCCGGCCCTGAACCTCCCAGAAGGTTGCAGCTTCAATATTTAGACTTGACTGATTGCATAGCCCTGCAGGACAGCGGCCTAGAAGTTATTGTACATAATTGTCCACAACTTGCTTATTTTTACTTAAGGAGATGTATGCAAATCACCGGTAAGATTTTTTTATAATGTTTTTAACCTTTAAATACTAATAATAAAAGTAACGCTTTAACCGTTAACTAACAAGTATTTTTTGTTTGTGTTATAAAAGTACTATTTTTTAAAATTTAAAAGCATTTTCATAAAAATGTTGTTTCTATAATAAATTGGGCAGTGGCGTATAATTTTCTACAATTTTTTAATGTGGTGTGATTTGGGTGTAAGTTTTGATGAATCAGTACTATCACTGTTCAATCATTATGGTACTACGGTAGTACTACTACCTATACCTATATACTACTACCTTTACCTATTTACATAGATGTATACCTATTAACATTTAATGTTCTTGCAGTAAAAAAAAGATGCCCTCTTCTCTACTACACTCTAGAGTCTAGTGACTAGAGTGTCTTAGGCGCATGCTCAGTGAGCCTGCGTAGAAGGATTCTATCCAGTAAGCATTGCTCACGCCATCTTCTTTGTGACTTACGCACTATAAATAACGGCAAATTTAAAATTGTACTGCTGACCCCGCCCACAATGTCAAGTTGCCAAGTTTCTAATTGCATTTTCATTTTTTTTTTAATTTTTATGTTGCCAAGTTTCTAATTGTATTTTAAATATTTTTTTTAATGTTTTAATGTTGTATGTTCAAAACGCACGCAAAAGGCACGGTTTCTCACGATGTTCGCAAAATGCACGGTCAGGCGTGAAAACGCACGCAAACCGTGCAATTGCACGGTCATTGGCAACACTGAATTTTAACCTCAATTATACCTATACGCGCGCATTCTACGCATGCGCAATTAAGATTTTGCTGTTAATCACATGCGGCGGCACTTGAATGCGTTTTGAGGCCAAACGTGCACAATAGTATAATATGTATCAAGTTTTATAAAGGCCATTTTATTAGGCACGAGCGAGTGTTTAATAAAAACGAGTTGCTACTATACTTTATCCTCGACGAACAAAAAACAGAATTTAAAGCCATTTTTATTTGTTAAAAATTTGACGTCTGTCAACTGTCACCCGAAGTTAACCTCACTTTTTCCAAATTTATAATAAAGCTAACTTCAGCCCGTGACTAAAACACCATAAGGTCACAATCCATAAATATTTGACATTTGATAAATTTAACCTCACTTTTTCGCAATTTCCTATAAAGCTAACTTCAGGCCGTGACTAAAAGGCCCTACAGTCACAGCTCGTCAATGTAGGAGTAGATAATAGTAAATTATATACCAAGTTTTATAAACGCCATTTTAGTTACGAGTTTTATTAGGCACGAGCGAAGCTTGCGAGAGAGTGTTTAATAAAAACGAGTGTCCAGGGAAGTTTATAAAACGAGTTGCATACTTTATCTACCACTAACAGAAATAAAAATTTAAAGCCAATTTTAATTCATACACATTTGAAATTTAACGAATTAACCTAATTTCTTCGCAATTTATAATAAAGCTAACTTAACTTCAGCCCGTGACTAAAATGCCATAAAGTCACAGCTTATCAATGTAGGACTAGATAATAGTATATTATGTATCAAGTTTTATAAACGCCATTTTAGTTACAAGTTTTATTAAGCACGAGCGAAGCTTGCAAGCGAGTGTTTAATAAAAACGAGTGTCTAGATAAGTTTATAAAACGAGTTGCATACTATACTTTATCTACGTCGACCACAAAGAAGAATTTAAATCCAATTTTATTTGTTAAACATTTGACATCTGTCAAATGTCAACGGAATTAACCTCACTTTTCTCTAATTTATAATAAAGCTAACTTAAGCCCGTGACTAAAATGCCCAAAAGCCACTATTACTAACTTCAGCCCGTGACTAAAACGCCATAAAGTCACAGCTTATCAATGTAGGAGTAGATAAAATTAATGAATGGGTTGTTTTAGCAGTTAATAAACTTAAACCATTATTTTCTGTTCCAATTCTGTTAATTTTTGTAGAACTGGTAAAAAAATTAACCGTAAACTCAAAAAACTAACGGTTAAATAAAGATTTACTCAACAAAGTATCGCTTAAATAATCATCAACAAATCTCTACCCGCAACAGAATTGCGTTATAATAACGCTTATTTGTGGCGTTAATAGTTGTTAAGATTTCGTTAACTTTTGTTAAATTGTTAAAATGTCGTTATTTTCAGATGCTGGTTTGAAGTTTGTGCCAAGTTTTTGCCATGGTTTGCGCGAGTTGAGCGTGAGCGACTGTTCGAACATAACCGATTTCGGTTTGTATGAGTTGGCCAAGCTGGGCGCGACTTTGAGGTACCTCTCGGTGGCAAAATGCGACCAGGTGAGCGACGCAGGTTTGAAGGTTATTGCGAGGAGGTGCTATAAGCTGCGTTATCTGAACGTGAGAGGTTGCGAAGCTGTTTCCGACGATGCCATGACTGTTTTGGCGCGATCCTGTACGAGGTTGAGGGCTTTGGATATCGGGAAGTGCGATGTGAGCGATGCCGGGCTTAGGGCTCTGGCGGAAAGTTGCCCCAACTTAAAGAAGTTGAGTTTGAGGAACTGCGATTTGGTTACGGACAGGGGTATACATTGTATAGCCTACTACTGCAGAGGTTTGCAGCAGTTGAACATACAGGATTGCCAGATTTCCTTGGAAGGATACAGGGCCGTCAAGCAATACTGCAAGAGGTGCGTCATCGAGCACACTAATCCTGGATTTTTTTAATATATATTTTTTTATATAGATTAGTTTTTATATTTTTATATCTTTTTACAAAGTGGTGATTACATTGGATACCTAACTTCTAATAATTTATTTATGTATGTGTATATCTATTTAACTTAAACTTAAAAGTGTTGTACATTTTTTATTCTGGTTTTATTTTTCCAATGCTAAAAATTATTTTCAGCAGACAATACAAGTAAAAATAAATAAATAAATAAATCTAAATATAAAGTGAATTGAGATGCACTAAAAATACCAAAACAAAAACAACTAACTCATGCAAGTGACCTTAAAAGAGTTTCTCTTATATGGTCATGTAGTTGTCATTGGAGCGTGTATAGCGGTAAGTTATAATCCTTTATTTAAATTAATTTCAACAACTGTATGTATTTTTGTGATATTTTGAAAGCAAAATATTTATTTTCATTGACCTTTGCATTGGGAATGATAATATTGTAAATAAACAATGATTTAAGTAAAAAAATAATTTATTAACACATTCTCATAATACTATAAAATAATTTACAAAATTAATATTTTTTTACACAATCTATGGTATATACAAAAAAAGACTATAAAATTGTCCACCAAAATACCTAAGTACAAGTAACAAAATTGATAATCTGACTGTAAAAATTATCACCCTGAGGCAGATTTTGATAACTTCAGCCCCTTTCACTCAAATATACAAAAAGCCTTATATTTACATTTAGTATCGCCGTTTTAAAAAAAATCTCAGTCACACCATTGTACTAAAACGCACAATACCATTTATACTTAATATTAAATAATTATGGTTAGTTGGGTAGAGTATCATATAAAATATCTTTGACAGGTTGCGCCAGATGGTCGGGGAATTTGATGTCGAAATTCACAATCAAGTCTCCGCGTTCCTTGGGCTCCTTGGGCAGGGGCAAACCATGGCCTGTGATACGCCTGACCGTAGTGGGCTTGATGGTTTCCGAAGTGTAATGGAGGGGTATCTTGTTCCCTGTCATTGTTGGTACTTCAATGGTGCAGCCACATAAAGCCTGAAACAAAATAATCACAATAAATGATTTGAATAAAAATAGATTGCAAAAATGTTATTTTTGACTGTGAACGTCACGCCGCGCTATTTTTAGACCATTACTTAAATTCGCTAAAATGTCTCTAAATTTGATACCAACCTGTTTGAGTGAAATTTTAGCTGTGTATCTGATGTCACTGCCTTCTCTCTTGAACTGTGGATGGGGTTTGTCTCTGATTATGAACACTATATCAGCGGGAATCTTATTCCTGCCTTGATCCCCTTCCCTTTGGAATGTGATTTTCGTTCCAGCTTTCCAACCGGGCTTCACATTTATTGTCAGAACCTTGTCCTCCTTCTTGGTGGTGCCATCGGGTTGCAAAACCTTCCTGCTGATCTTCATCTTCTTCATGCAACCTCTCGCGATATCGTCCAAAGAAACGTACAAATCGTGCTCGATTGGAGGGTCCTGATTCACTTTGTCCTTGTTTCTATTGGGGCTGCCGTGGAAATTGAACGAGTGGCTGCGGAAAGCCCCGCCGGGACCTCTCGGTGGTCCTCCGACCCCCAAAGAAGCGAACATATCGTCGTCCACGTCCATGCCATCGTCGTGAAGATTGAACATGCGATTTCCGCTTCCAAAGTCGAAGAACGAGGAAAAGGGGCTGCTGTTGCCGAAGAATTGGGCGAACGTGGCCCTCGGGTCCCCATGGAATGTATACTGTTGGAAGTTTCCATGATGACCGCCGCCTCCGCTTCCTCCAGATCCTCCTTTCAGACCTTCCTCACCGTACGCGTCGTAGATGTCGCGTTTCTTCTTGTCGCTCAGCACCTCGTAGGCCTCAGCAACCTCCTTGAACCTCTCCTCGGCACCTGGTGCTTTGTTCTTATCAGGATGGTACTTTAAAGCCAATTTTCTGTATGCCTTTTTGATGTCGTCGTCGTTGGCCCCTTTCGACAATCCCAGGATTTTGTAGTAGTCCTTTCCCATTTTAGCACTAAACACTCGATCACTTTATTCAACTCAATGCACAGATGTTTTGGTTAATTAAAAATATTAGGTCGTATGATTCACAATATCTCTCTCAAACGTCTGCACTGCTGCGCTCATACACGATCACTCCCTGGTCCGCTAGCCAGTTGCCTTATATATTTAAAGGTTATGAGTTCTAGACTTGGCGCGCGACTTCTGGAACATGCTGGAAACTCATGAGCGTACCGCGCGCTCGGCCATTAAAGCGCAATCGTAAAAATTAAATACTTAATTAACTCGCCACACAATAACAACCAATTATACTTAAACACATTAGAAAATATTTAATCTTTAAGAATATAATGTAAAATACACAAATTTGTACGATTTTTTACACCGATTTATGCGAATAAATATCGCCTATGGGACGACTATTCAAAATTTTGCAGATGACAAGGCGGGCTTTTCAAATGTCCAACATTTTAAAACCAAGCGCGCTATTTATTTTGCCTGCTTTTAATTAAACCAATCAACAAATTTAACTACAAATAATTAAAATAATTAGTATTTCCAACGCGGAAAAACATTACCTCCTACCAATTTAGTGTTAATTTAATACCTTTTTTTTACAAAGTAAGATATATTTATTGAAATTAATACTTTGAAACATTTGTTAAATTTTGATCAAGGTGTATGCCTTATCTGATGACTATGATGCAAAATAAAACACCAACCCATGCAAAATTTCACAAGGCCAGAGTTATATTAGGAAAAAGTAACGTTATTATATTTTAATAAATGCTGTCTCAGACAATATAAAACAATGTTAATTTAGCTGGTTTTGTTTAAATTTAGTAAACGCCATCGATTTATAAAAATATTTCGAACACCCAATGGCATTTAGTGTAGGCAAATATTTTGTCAGTTTAATAAATTATTATATTTATAGGCTCAAAACATTGTGTTCTGCACTTTCGTTTTATCATACCTACTACTGATTTTACACCTCCACACATTTTAAGCGAAAATTATTCTATAAAAAATATAATTTTATTTAGTTAATCATTCCCACAATTTGTTTTTTGCCCTTGCTATAAAGGCTAAGTATAAATACAATGCTTAAAATTATATTTCCTTCAAAAGTTTGATTTTATTTTTGGAAATTGCCTATTCATTTATAAAAAATCTTCTAAATCAAACAAACGAAATTTCCTTGCATACTTTCCAAGCAATTATCTCATTTTATGATGTTACTTAAATATGTAACGTAAATATTTAATTATTTGAGTAATGGACTAAACAATTTTATAATTTAAATTTTCCGCCATTTAAATTTCTCTACGTTGGCAGCATAGATTTTTGACAGCTATGACATAAATATTGACGGGGGAGCGGCAGAAGTTTGTTTTCGATAATTTAAAGCGATAAAAATACAGTAAGTGGCAGGTTTTTCGTTAAAAAACACATAGAAAATTAATCTTTTAATTTTAGAGATGGATTTAAATTTCTCGGCTTTTCAGGAACCCAGAGGGGTAATGAGAATTTTACATTTTGTAAGTATTATCGTTAATTGAAATGCGTGGTTCAAATTTCTAACTGTTATCTTTGAAATATCTTAGGCATTACTTATTTTAATTTTAGGTATTTTCAATTTGTGCATTTGCCACTATCACAGGATTTTCCGGATTTGTAGCTATCAAATGTCCAAATGATAATGAATTTACCTATGACTACAGCTATCCATATAATTTCCAATTAAACTTAACCGAAAAAGCCAAATGTCAAGTGACTGTCGAAGGTGATTTTTCATCAGATGCTCAATTTTTTGTTGCCACTGGAGTACTAGCAATGCTATACTCAATTGCTATAATGGCTATATATGTTAAATTCGATGAGACCTACAAATCAAACAACCAATGGCCTTTATACGATTTTATCATGACTGTTATATTTGGGGTTTTATGGTTATCAAGCAGTGCAGCCTGGGCTAATAGTTTATTGGGCTTGAAAAATATTGTTGACAGTCCTTTCTACAACTGTAAAGGCTGTGTTGCTACTCCAGGTAGCTATTCTTCGTTAAATATATCTGTGGTATGTTGGTTATATAAATATTTCTATTTTTTTTAATGTTTGTTTTTAGGTGTTTGGTTTTTTGAATTTCTTCTTGTGGGCAGCTGATTTATGGTTTTTGTACAAGGAGACAGCCTGGTTCCAAGGGAATCCCCATCAAACCGATGGTGGAAATTAAATGATGAGATTAGATCAGTAATTCATTTTTTATTTTGATTACTAGTCATATCACTTGCTGTTTATTTTAACAGCGTGTTATTTATTATATAAAATCGTGTTTTAAGCTATTCTCATGACAATATTACTTTTGCACAACTAAACTTAAATGTTAAAATACGATTTTATGTTTTTTGCTTATCTTTTTTGGGGATTATTGTTATAGTAAAAACTGGAATATTATGTTCCATTAGAAGCACAAGAAATTAAAAAATGTTAGATTAATAAATACATACAATGTCACTGACTAGAAACTAGGGCATTAGAATTTTATTTTTTTGATTTAATCCATCCATTTTTACATATTTTTTATATATAATTACTTTGTAAAAATCTCTTTTTTAGTTAAATCCTAACATATCACTTTAATTTTGGGCCTATTAATATTTATAAAATATATTTTGTTACTAATTGTATAAAACTACCTATTTTTTATCTGAATATATATTTGTATTTTATTTTTATTTTAATGTTACCTCACAATTAACATTAAGCAATAATTAACTACTGCCAAAATATTTTTATACCCTTTTTACTTTTGAGAAAGTAAAATTAAAGATTTTAAAAATCTTTAATTTTATAAATGTGTATATACATACATATATATACACACATATATATTTGTAACCTTGTTCAGTTCAAATAAATGTAGCAAACATTATTTTATTTTTTTTATTAAAAAAATAACAAAATACATACATACAATAACATATTATTATTATAACTAGAAGAAAGGTACTTTAAATAGGATTACAATGTAATATTTGTCATATAATTAATTAGTAGATATAAGTAAGAAAAGTATATGGTAAATATGAGGTTTTTCAGTCTTATTCAAGCACCTCAGTCATAAAATATTTTTATACATAACAAAAAATATAACAAGTTAATCTTTGATAACTTGCAAGCCCCTTTTCATTGAATAAAATATAACAAGTTAATCTTTGATAACTTGCAAGCCCCTTTTCATTGGATGCCCTAATATTGAATAAGAAGCGCTAACAAACTTTTTATAACTTCTACCAATAGGAACAAAAATATTCTGCTTGTTAATTTTTTGCATCAATTTGAATACTTGACAAATATCGTCAACTCTATTATCTGTCCCCTTATTTTCATGGGACATTATGATATCCAACGCAATATGACTATTTTCCAGATAACCCTTGTGACAATTATCAAACATGGGAATTGTATAGGATCGGTTATAAAATATTATCGGGTGCAATATGTAAATAGGTGTATCATTGTTAGGACTTTCATGATGATTGGGCTGAGGGATCTCTTGTAAAAGTTCAAAAACACTGTCAAAATTAAAAATGTCCTCAACTGGAAAGCTTTCCAAATCCCAAATTTTGTTTTTAACCAAATCAGTGTTCTTTGTGAAGTTTAAATACCAAAAGGCAGAATGTGTGGTCATCACAATAATGCCAAATTCATGTAACCTCTCCTGGCTTAAATTTTTTTTTTGATTGACATACATGCAAATTCTTAGTTTTATTGCCTCCAAGGCACTTAGGTTTCTGTTGTTTATGTTGAAAGGAGTTACGTTTTCATCCTCACCACAGTCAATAATAAAAACTACTTTTTCCCAAACATAGGGCTTGTCAAATGAGCTTAGAATTTCAATTTCATTTTTAAATTGTCCCTTAAAGTGCATGTATTTCTTAAAGTGTTCATCCTCTTTAATCAAAACTTGAGATAGAGTTTTAATATTATACTTTGTTATTGCATCTTCTCTTAGAAGTCTTAAATTATTTTCGTTTGAATTCCTTTTAAGTGTTTCATTATCACATTTTTTTGTTATTTGGGAATATGACATCTTTGGTTTAAACTCTTTAATATCGTTGATATTTTTTTTATTGAAAATGTCCGTGAATTTTGATTTTTCCACCTGACTGTTGTTGTTTTCATTATGGGAAATACTTGCAATTTCTATATTTGGTGATAATGAGCTAGCCTCTTCTAGATTATCTAAATCTGTTGTGTTTTCTCTTCCCTCGATTTTTATTGGAATAATTCGTTCGTTTGGCTGCGACATTATTGAACTATAATAAAAACTATTAATAAAACTATTTATTTGCAAATAATTACTACTTACTTACATATGGTTTTATTCGAAAAAAATCATTTATTGTATTTTTATAGGTTAAGTCAAATTAAAATTAGTCACGAAGGTATTCGTCCATGAAGACCATAGAGAAACGAATGATGAAGACTAAATAAAGGAGAAGTAACTAGCAAATAGGGTACGCAGGGAAGGATACGGATGCGCAAAGTGGATATTTAGTATTTGATTCCAACTTTAAGCTAATAAAGTCCAAATAGTCTGGAATAGATTAAAGGCCAAGATCTATAGATATAACAAAGAAGCTAATAAAGCTCACCTCAAGTATAATTAATTGACCATTAAATGACCACATTTTATTTGAAATTTTATAGGTTTACCGAGAGGTTTACTAACCCACTAAAAATGTTTCTGTGAATTTAAAAAAAAAATTACAATCGAAAACCTATTTTCTTAATTTTTTTTCAAATGTTTTTTTTTAACTTACCAAACGAGACTTTTTAAATTGTTTGTTTTTAAACTTAACTAAAAAAATACAAAATAACATTTAAAGTCATAATCTTCCATGGTCACATTAATAAATAGAATATAGAATATATATATATACTGCAGTATTAAAAAAAAACAGTTAATTATTGGGTTTGTTCCTAAGGTGTATGTATCTTGGGCAGAGATAAAGAAGGTTGATCTTGGGTTTGTTCCTACCGAGCATTTGGACAGTCAAATGGATGTCAGGGACATGCGCAGTAGTAAAATCTCGACAAAATGTTGGTATTGCGCATGCGATTTTGTTTGTCCCGTTAGTAATCCTGGAATCGCCTCTCGTTTCCGTTTCCGTTTCTGTTTTCCGTCCCTGTTTCCCGTGCCGTTTCTGTTTCCGAACGCTCGTTTCCACACTAAGGTGCTGTGGAGAACGCCGTGCTATGATTGGTTTAATAATTTCTATAGAGATAATTTTCTATAGAGAGTAAATCCCAAAATTTTAAGGATAGTTTTCGGACCTATATCCCCATAAACTTTTTATTGCATGGTCTATCAAAACGAACTAAATTAGCTGATATTTAAAAAAGAAGAAGTTTCATCTCCAACTTAAAGAATCTAATAACAATTTGACTTACGACCCCTAACAAAATAATTAATTGACCATTAAATGACCACATTTTATTTGAAATTTTATAGGTTTACCGAGAGGTTTACTAACCCACTAAAAATGTTTCTGTGAATTTAAAAAAAAAATTACAATCGAAAACCTATTTTCTTAATTTTTTTTCAAATGTTTTTTTTTAACTTACCAAACGAGACTTTTTAAATTGTTTGTTTTTAAACTTAACTAAAAAAATACAAAATAACATTTAAAGTCATAATCTTCCATGGTCACATTAATAAATAGAATATAGAATATATATATATACTGCAGTATTAAAAAAAAAACAGTTAATTATTGGGTTTGTTCCTAAGGTGTATGTATCTTGGGCAGAGATAAAGAAGGTTGATCTTGGGTTTGTTCCTACCGAGCATTTGGACAGTCAAATGGATGTCAGGGACATGCGCAGTAGTAAAATCTCGACAAAATGTTGGTATTGCGCATGCGATTTTGTTTGTCCCGTTAGTAATCCTGGAATCGCCTCTCGTTTCCGTTTCCGTTTCTGTTTTCCGTCCCTGTTTCCCGTTAAGGATAGTTTTCGGACCTATATCCCCATAAACTTTTTATTGCATGGTCTATCAAAACGAACTAAATTAACTGATATTTAAAAAAAAAGAAGTTTCATCTCCAACTTAAAGAATCTAATAACATTTTGACTTACGACCCCTAACAAAAACGAAGTAAAAGAACTAATGTTTAAATAAAGAATAAGTTCCATCTCCAACTTTAAACAAGATTTGACCTGACAAAAAGAATCTAAAAAGTTTTCACTTATGACCCCTAACAAAAAAAAAAGAACTGATCTTTAAATAAGAATAAGTTCCATCTCCTACTTTAAACAAAACTTTGATTTTTAAAGATCAGTTATTTTAGTTTGTTTTAATAGATTATGCAATAAAAAGTTTATGGGGATATAGGTCCGAAAACTATCCTTAACATTTTAGACATTGAAAATTATCTCTATAGAAATTATTAAACCAAACATAGCACGGCGTTCTCCATAGCACTCAGTTGTTTCCGTCTCCGTTTCTTCTGTTTCTGTTTCTTGCACTTGTTGGCTGTGTCTGTATCATTGTATCTATCTCCGCCTCAATCTCTTGATCTCTCGGGCGATTCCATGATTACTAACGGGACAAGCAAAAAAAACCAAAATGTGTTCCTATAAAAATTTTAAAAAACATTTTGTCTTGTTTTTGTTTGTCCCGTTAGTAATCCTGGAATCGCCTCTCGTTTCCGTTTCCGTTTCTGTTTTCCGTCCCTGTTTCCCGTGCCGTTTCTGTTTCCGAACGCTCGTTTCCACACTAAGGTGCTGTGGAGAACGCCGTGCTATGATTGGTTTAATAATTTCTATAGAGATAATTTTCTATAGAGAGTAAATCCCAAAATTTTAAGGATATTTTTCGGACCTATATCCCCATAAACTTTTTATTGCATGGTCTATCAAAACGAACTAAATTAACTGATATTTAAAAAAGAATAAGTTTCATCTCCAACTTAAAGAATCTAATAACAATTTGACTTACGACCCCTAACAAAAACGAAGTAAAAGAACTGATCTTTAAATAAAGAATTAGTTCCATCTCCAACTTAAACAAGATTTGCCCTAACAAAAAGAATCTAAAAAATTTTGACTTACGACCCCTAACAAAAAAAAAAGAAAAAGAACTGATCTTTAAAAAAAGATTAAGTTTCATATCCAGCTAAAAGAAACTAATGACAATTTGACTTACAACCCCTAACAAAAACGAACTAAAGGAACTGATCTTTAAATAAAGAATTAGTTCCATCTCCAACTTAAACAAGATTTGCCCTGACAAAAAGAATCTAAAAAAAGAATAAGTTCCATATCCGACTTAAAGAAACTTTTTGATAATAAAAACTTTTAGTTAAAAAAATTAAAAATAATAAATTGGTAGGTACTTCCCAAATTCCTTGATGAGTTCTGGTTAAATCGTATTATCCTTATATGGTTGTCTTATTTCTTAGGTTAAAGAAACTAATGACAATTTGACTTACAACCCCTAACAAAAACGAACTAAAAGAACTGATCTTTAAATAAAGAATTAGTTCCATCTCCAACTTTAAACTTTAAGACTTGAACTGACAAAAAGAATCTAAAAAAGTTTTGATTTACGACCCCTAACAAAAAAAATAAACTGATCTTTAAAAAAAGAATTAGTTCCATCTCCAACGTAAACAAGATTTGCCCTAACAAAAAAAATCTAAAAAAAGAATAAGTTCCATATCAAACTTAAAGAAACTTTTCGATAATAAAAACTTTTAGTTAAAAAAATTAAAAATAATAAATTGGTAGGTACTTCCCAAATTCCTTGATGAGTTCTGGTTAAATCGTATTATCCTTATATGGTTGTCTTATTTCTTAGGTACTTTCCGAATTCCTTGATGAGTTCTGGTTAAATCGTATTATCCTTATATGGTTGTCCTAGTTCTTAATATCCACGGTTTAATGCTATAACATGTTGAACCTAGAAAAAAAAATACAATTAGACGATTTAAGGGCTGCCACTTTTATGTTTTTATTTTTTTAAATATCAAAAAAAATCGTAGTAGTAATATTTGAGATAATAGATAATAGAATTCTAATAATACCTAGCAATTTGTAGATGTAGATCAAAGTAATAAATGAGCATGTTTGTCGTATCAAAGCCAAATTACAACTAAATGGTTGATTGCGTTGTAGGGATTATAATTATTTTTATTAGCAAAAACAAAAAAAGGGTGAGTCAGACTTGCGCGATAAACATATTACGTTAAGGTTGACAAATTTTTATTAAAGATATATTTGTTATTTATTATTTTATTAATACTCAAATAATCTAATTTCGATTATATTATTCCAAAAGTATTCCAAAAATTATGCACCAAACATCTAACAAAAAAAAAGAACTGATCTTTAAAAAAGAATAGGTTCCATATCCAACTTAAAGAAACTAATGACAATTTGACTTACGAACTCTAACAAAAACGAACCAAAAGAACTGATCTTTAAATAAAGAATTACTTCCATATCCAACTTTTATGAAGATTTGACCTAACAAAAAAAATCTAAAAAAGTTTTGACTTACGACCCCTAACAAAAAAAAAGAACTGATATTTAAAAAAGAATAAGTTGCATAAACAACTTAAAGAAACTAATGACAATTTGACTTACGACCCCTAACAAAAACAAACTAAAAGAACTTATATTTAAATAAAGAATTGGTTCCATCTCCAACTTAACAAGATTTTCCCTAAAAAAAGAATTCAAAAAAGTTTTGATTTACGACCCCTAACAAAAAAAGAACTGATCTTTAAAAAAGAATAAATTCCATATCTAACTTAAAAAAACTAATGACATTTTGACTCCTAACAAAAACGAACCAGAAGAACTTATCTTTAAATAAAGAATTAGTTCCAAATCCAACCTTAAACAAAATTTGACCTAACAAAAAGAATCTAAAAAGTTTTCACTTACGACCCCTAACAAAAAAAAAAAGAACTGATCTTTAAATAAGAATAAGTTCCATCTCCTACTTTAAACAAAACTTTGATTTTTAAAGATCAGTTATTTTAGTTTGTTTTAATAGGTTATGCAATAAAAAGTTTATGGGGATATAGGTCCGAAAACTATCCTTAACATTTTAGACATTGAAAATTATCTCTATAGAAATTATTAAACCAATCATAGCACGGCGTTCTCCATAGCACTCAGTTGTTTCCGTCTCCGTTTCTTCTGTTTCTGTTTCTTGCACCTGTTGGCTGTGTCTGTATCATTGTATCTATCTCCGCCTCAATCTCTTGATCTCTCGGGCGATTCCATGATTACTAACGGGACAAGCAAAAAAAACCAAAATGTGTTCCTATAAAAATTTTAAAAAACATTTTGTCTTGGTTTTTGTTTGTCCCGTTAGTAATCCTGGAATCGCCTCTCGTTTCCGTTTCCGTTTCTGTTTTCCGTCCCTGTTTCCCGTG